TCCTGATAGCTTTTACCATGAACAGCTGAAGAATTTAGTCCAATGCTTTTTCTGCAACTACTGACAGGATCATATGGCTTTTTCCTTTCCTCTGTTAAAATGACAACTTTTGGGGGTGGATCTTCCAATGCTGAACCAACACTGCCATCCCTAGAACAAAACCACTTTCTACATCCTGCCAGATCTGACTTCTAATCATTTGTTTTGTTAAACAAATTTCTATCTATGTTCATACTTTTTTGTTCTATTATCTTTATCCAGTTTTAGTATTAGTGGTAGGAATGCGGCACTGAGGGCCTGGAGCCTGCAGATCTGGATCCCACTGGGGCTTTCTTCTGAGGACCACACATTGCTCTGCCCACAGTGATCAGAGGGAGGAAGGCACAGTCCTGTCCAAAGGAAAGGTGTAAAGACTTCTGGAGGGGACAAAGGGCAGCAACCCCCGTAACCCGATGTCAGCTCTTCTTCTGGGGTCTTCATGTAAGCCCATCCCCTCCACCAAGATCTGGCTTCTTTTCCTAGATCTATGACATTCTTTTCCCCTCCGTCTTTAAATATGTTCAAACATCCTCCTGTCTAAAAAGGCAACTTTCTCCACACTGTATTTCTTAATTTTTTCCCTTTACATCATTGCATAGTTTGACACAGTCTAGGTGTGTTATAGTCTTAAAATACTGAATGAATACAAGTCATAATAACTTTTGTCTGGACTTCTGGGATGATGGTGGAGGGGTGAGCAGCAGAAAAACAGCCTCTCCAAGATTTGGTGTCCAGACACCGGAATATAGCAACATGAGGAAGAGAAGAAGGAGGGAAGTGGGCCCCGGGGAGCCAGCAAGGATCTGAAGGGAGAATTGAAGCCCACAGGGAGAACAAAGATAGAGACTTCAATGAAGAAGAAGGAGGTGGCAAGTGGTGCTTTCTCCTTGAGCCCTGACTCACTGTGTGGGAAGGGTGGCTGGAACCTGCAGACTCATGGTAACTACTGGTGACCCCAGAGACCTCCACAGAGAAGCACACCAGTGGACAGAGCAGTACACATAGCAGACTGCAGTGGCTGGTGAGTTACTTGGATTCAGACATCCCTCAGGAGAGGGCAGTTCACCAGGAGCCGTCTGGAAAGGGACCAGCTGAGCTCAAAACTCAGACCAACTGTGGCTGGCTCCATCAGGGTGAGGCAGAACCAAGTTCAAGTCAGCAGATCAAGGAGCCAAGTTCAAGCCAGCAGGAGGCACATGGAGTGTTGCAGGCCAATAAAACAAGTTCCAGCCTCCCAGCCAGAAATCAGCCTGAGCTTCAGAACTAAAGGTGCATGCTGGTATTATCCACTGCTCCTCTGTAAATCTATGGCTGGCTTGTTGGGATTACTCAACACAGGTCTGGACTCTGTTTGCCTACATTGTCTACCAGTTACAGTAGAGACATGCTTTGAACAGGGCTTTTTTTTTTTTTTTTAACTTATTTTCCTCTTTTTTTATTTCCTTGTTTTTGTTTTGTTTTCTTTTTTCTCATGGGTTCTTGTTTTTATAAAAGTGTGAACATTATTTCTAGGTTTTTTTTTGTTGTTGTTGTTGTTGTTCTGTTCTTGTTTTTATTTCTTCCTTCTCTCTTTCCCTCCTGTCTTCTTCACCAGTTTCCCAAAGTTTGTGTATCTTCCTTTGTCCTCCAGCTTTGCTTCTAGTCTTTTCTTCTTTTTCTCTCTATTTTTCTTCCAATCCCTTTTAAATTTTCTCCCAAGGATAAACTCACTATACTGAGAGCATATGTAATATATAGAATTTTCTAGTTTGTTTTAGATTTTGTTTTATAACCATAAATCTTGTTCATATGGTTGAAGGTGGCAAGTTAATAGCTACCACAGTTTGTCATTTTCTAGGCTATTTGATGCTATTGTTTTGCTGATTATACTGCTTTAGCCAAGGTGAAATAGTTGTGCTAATCAGTTACTCTTCCTGGTAAGTCAACACTGAGATTGTCTAAGGGTCATAAACAATACTATAGGCCACTGCCAAAGAACCAGGGGCTAGCCAAATAGATAGCAATTTCTCATTCCCAACAAATTAAAGAGGTAGGATCTAGCAACAGACTCAAAAGCCCAAAGCCAGCTATACCTGGAAGACATCTCTGAGAAGTAGTCATTTCCTAAGGGTTCTAAATACTAGCAATAAGGGGCTATGGATTTAGCTCAGTGCTGCCTGCCTCACAAGTGGAAAGCTAATTGCCATAAGCAATTTACAAGAATCAACCCAAGAATTAAACTAAAAAAAAAATAGAAAATGAGAAGACATTTAAGGAGGATGCAACTCAAACGTTCAAAGGCAAACTCAGGGGGCACTGAGGTGGAACAATTCAAAGCCCAATCACCTGGACTCTCTGAAGTGGTAACAGTAGAAGTAACAAAGCAGAGAATGAGGTTCTAGAAAAAAATCTGAAATAGTTTCTCAGATTGAACAGGAAATGTGTTTCTCTGCAGGTCAAGCCAAACTTACCGGTGGAAAAGTTTTCCCCCATTCCCTCAATGTGTCCAGGCTTCTGGACACTTCCTATCAAGCATCTCAGGTTTTCTTTGTTCTCAGTTTTATTACTTCTATGTCCCTGCCAAATGCAAATGAGATGTGGCTCTGTGCACTGAGCTTGCTGTCTGTAATATCTGTAACCGGTGAATTTGCTGGGCCTAGATGACTTGTACTGTACGTAACCAATGCAAAGTTGTCAACTCCTGCAAGCCCAACCCTTTCCTGAGAGTATAACCTGTCCTGCTCAACCCCAAAGGGGCTCAGTCTCTTTGTGGAGAAGTCCCAGACTGACCCGCTGGCATTTAGAATAAAAATGTACACTTTGCTTCTGAAACTTCTGGTTGCGTCTTCCATTCTCCTGGACTACCTGTGTTAAGCTGTAGACACTACAGCTGTATATCCTAGCTGGCACTGTGCCGCTACAAGATAATTACAGAGATGGTGACCATGATGAAAGACATAGTGACTCTAGACCAGATAGATAAATTAAAAAAAGAGGAGCTTAGGAAAATGATGGAAACCATGAACTCCCAACATAGGAAAGAAATGGAATCCTTGAAACAGATTCAAATAGATATCCAGGAGATTAAAAATGCCATTGCAAGTATACACAGCAGAGTGAGCTAATGTGAGGACAGAATATCCGATATAGAAGACAGGATTGCAGTTAGCAATCATGAAAAGAAAAGTTTCTTAAAAATAGCAAAGGACCACAACAAAATCAATCCCACAGCTACTAGGTGATAAAAGAAGAATAATGTAAGATTGATCAGAGTCAATGGAAAAGCAGGAGATAGTGCAAATGACATAAAAAAATCTGTTCACAGAAGTAATGGCAGAAAACTTTCCAAGCAGGGAAAAGAATTTGACATACAGATAAGTGAGGGATATAGAACTCCAATTAGCCATGATAAAAAAAAATCTACACCAAGGCATATAATAGTCAAACTTCCAGAAATTTAGTTTCGGTTTTTTTTTTTTTTTTTTTGGTACTGGGGATTGAACTTGAGTCCTTGTGCTTGTGCAGTAGGTGGCGAAACCACTGAGCTAAATCCCTGGTCAAGCTTCCAGAAATTTAACACAAGGACAGGATATTAAAAGTTGTTAGAGAAGAGAAAGAAATCACCTATGAAGGAAAGCCCATCGGAATCACAGCAGATGTCTCAACACAAACTTTCAAGTCAGGGAAAGCTTAGAATGAAGTATTTCAATCCCTAAAGGAAAACAATCTCCAACACAGATTGATGTACTGTGCAAAACTATCTTTCAAATTTGATGGGAAAATAAGACACTTCCATGACAAATAACACCTGAAGTAATTCATGAGCACCAAACCAGCACTCTAAAATGTTCTAAAAGACATTCTAGAAAGAGATAACAAGGACTACAACTCCATGAACCCCAACAGAATGAATCCACCAGGCAAGGAAAGCAATTAAACAGAAGGGAAAAAAGCAAATCAAAAATAGGAAAATACATGACAAGGATAAGTCAATGCATATCAGTTATAACCATCAATGTAAATGGTCTCAATTCACCAATCCAAAGAAACAGACTGGCAGAATGAATCAAGTAGCAAGATCCAACAATATGCTGCACACAAGAAGGAAGGGAGAGCTATGGGGTGGGCAGAGTTTAATCATTCTTTGATATTTCTCCCTTGAGAAATGGGGTCCACATCCTCACTTCTTGAATCTGGGCCCCACGACTGCTTGATCAGTACCATAGAGTGCGGTGGACGGGGCAGTCTCCAGTCAGACCTCAAGGACCTGACATCTTCCACTTCCTGTTCCTGGGGACCCAGCCCCAGACAGGGAGGTGGCCACCCAGGAAGTCAGTGAGGTTCTCTCTCTGCTTGTGCTCCCAGCCCACAGTCATCTCCACTGCCAGCCGTGTGCACAGGGATGGCTTCAGATGGCGTGGGCCCAGCCTGAGGATCTCTAGCAGATGCCCAGGTCCTGTGGAGCAGACTGGCCCCCTCCATGCCCTGATGTAGTTTCTGTCCCACAAATTCCTTAGGTATGATCAAATGGTCATGAATTTCTTCAGGTGTTCTTTGTCATGGCTCTGCATTCAGAGGTGGTTTTTCAGTCACACAGCCCTAGATAACTGGAACCGAGCCAGGCTGCTTCCTCCCAGCCCCATCCCATTGCCCTTTAATCCCAGCTGACAGGTATAATTGCCTCCACTCACCCCCCCCCCCCGCCCCGTACTGGGTATTGAACCAAGGGCCTCCTTCCTGACCTACATCCTCAGTTCTTCTTATTTTTTATTTTGAGACAAGGTCTCTCTAGGTCACTAAGTTGCCCAGGCTGGGCTGAACCTGCAATCCTGCTTCAGCCTCCCAGAGTTCTGGAACTACAGGCACTGTGCTGTGGCTCAGGGGCCTCAGGTCCCCTCTGGATTGTCCAGGCCCCTGAGCAGGTGTCCCCTGCATGGAGGCTGCTCTCTGGCCCTCCTGTGGGGACTGTGCCAGGCTGCTGTGCAGCTGGAGGCTGCCTGTCTCCGGCAGGAGGGCGACACAGGGAGGGGATGGCAGGGGCGGACAGGAGTCTGCAGACCTGGCTGCAAGGAGCGCAGTGGGCCCAGAGTTGGGGACCTCTGCAGGTGCTGGTGCTGTGGGTGGCAGGAAGCTGGAGAAGGGCCGGGGTTGTTCCTTACAGCTTCAGGCCGTCTCTGGCAGAGACCCAGACTTGGGACCAGCTCTGATCCCGGTGCTATGAGCAGCCAGCAGGTAAATGCCCTCCTGACGGAGGCTCGCTCAGAAGGGCTCGGCACATCCTGTCTCCAAGTAGCACAGTGGTTAAGGCCGTCAGTGCTGAGCCAGGTTCACAGGACTTCTGTTCCTGGCTCCTCTGCCGGTGATTTCCTGACCTTATGAAATGTATTCACCCGTTTTGCACCTCAATCCTCTTATCTGTAAAAATGAGCATGAGAATAGACATAGCTGATAGGATTGCCTCGAGAACCATGGGGCCCCGTGCTATTAAAAGGTGAGCGTTACTCACCTCATAGTCACCAGCTGTCATTATTTTGAGCATGGCAGCGAACCCTCCCTCAGAACAGGAAGCCACTGCCGCTGCAACAGGTAATCAGGAGATGCAGAGAGGCAAAGTGGAGATCTCTCTGATGAGGGACCCGGGGCCCATTGCCGACTCCCCGAGAGCTCTGTGCACAGCCGGTGTGGACACTGCCCGCGAACACCGGCATCTACTCACGCGCGGAGCTGGCCAAGGTTCTTCTATTTTTGTATTTTCCTTTTCTCTTTCTTTTCTTAGAAATAATTTCAAACTTACGAAAACAGAGAACTCCCGTGCTCCACAAACCCTCATTCTTAAGATTTTGTTCTGTCACTTCCCATATTGTTACTCTGTGCAAGCAGATTACCTTCCCCCTTAAAGTGCTGCCCATTTTCCCCTCATGTGGTTTAGCAGAACTCTCCTAAGCATGAGGACGTTCTCTCGTATAATCACAGCTCAATTATAAAATTCAGGAATCTGCTGGGCCCAGCAGCATGTCCCCCCACCCCCATGCTGCTGGGCCCATAATGCCAGCTACTCAGAGGATCAGAAGTTCAAGGCCAGCCCTAAGCAACTTAGTGAGACTCTGTCTCAAAAAATAAAGGGGCTGGGAATGTAGCTCAGTGTGAAGGCCCTGGGTTCAATCCCCAGTGCTCCAAAATAGACAAGTAAATAAATAAATCCAGGAAATGGAACCTTACAATGTGGAGTCGAGGTTTTCCACTGGTCCCAACATCCCTGAGGTGACCCCTTAAGCGCCTCGGATCTGGAACTGCTGCCCACCCTTCACCTCCCCTGAGCTTGGTCCTTTTTGAGTGCAGGCAGTAGTTTTGGAGAATATCTGTCTGCCCGGGGTTGTCTCGCATTTTCTTGTGTGTAGAGTTGAGTTGTGCATTTTGGTGGGACAGCTCAGGAGGGGCGTTCGTGTATCCCACCAGTCCACCTGTTCCAGCATCAGTGCTGTTAACTGTTATCGGGTGTTTCAGTCAGTGCCGAGCCAGTGAGACCGGGAACAAAGCACAGGGCTGGGGTCAGTTTCGTGGAAGGCTTTTGCAGACTGATGCCATACATTCCTGGTTTCCACTGCTGCCATTTTGTTGTGTTTGTGTTTGTTTCCTTTTGTGCACACCTAGAGTTTTCAATGAGTTTGGGATCAGCAGAGTCTGTGGTGAGATGGATCTAAGCGAAGAGGGTTTGGGGTGTTTCCTCGCCACTTGGGTGGCCAAGCTGGGCAGACCCCTGACAGAGCGGGGAGCTGGTCTCCCAACCTGCCTCCCCTTCCCACAAGCATCCGCCTTCGCCTTCAAATGGCCACCGGGCTGCGTGGGCGAGGAGGGAGCTCCTGCTGTGACCCTCTGGGACTGCTCCTTTCTCGGCAAGCGTGAAGGCCAGTCACAGCGGTGAGGGACAGTCCACTGAGTGATCGGGGTCAGCAGGAGGGGCTCAAACCAGAGCGGGGCAGCGCACTCCGCCTGCGGAGGTCCCCTTCCTGAGGATTCTGCCCCTTTCCCTGCCTTGTCACTGAGGCGCTGTCCTTTCGGGGGGCCTGGTCTCTCTTTTGAGGGTACTGATGATAACTCTATTTAAAGCAGGCCGGAGATCAGGTGTTGCTGTCTTCCTTACCCAAAGTATCGCACAGGGTAACCAGGTCTTGACTGAAGGATGGGAACCGAGCTCTGTGGCGAGTGAGCACCTTACAAAAGGACCGTGACTCACGGGGTGCGTTTCTTTGTAAACCAGGCAGGGTTTCTGCCCAGTGGCCTGGAGCCCAGGGCCTCGTGCTTGCTGGTGAGGCACTCCTGCCGGCCGCACCCGGGCTTCAAGCAGTTCTTCCTGATTGTTTCCTAACACAACGGACTGCTACGCTCCTGGAGAAGGATGAGAGGATGTAGGGGCGAGGGCATGGCTTGGTCATTCCCAGGCGGGAGAGATGCATTCTGCACACGTGTGTCCAGAGGGAGGGCAAAGGAGAGGTTAGGTTCACCGAGGGTGCGAGGAAGTGCGGCTGAGGACCCTGGCAAAGGCGGACCGGAAGTGGCGAGATTCGGAGGAAACAGGGGCGACCAGCTGGGAGCCGGAGAAGGTGCTCCGCGCCCTCGTGAGCGGACCAGAGCGGGGTGGCCCATGCGGCGGGGCTTCCTGGCCTTGATCCTCAGTCGTCTGAGTTGTAATTTCCGGTGCAGCCACTAGATGGCCTCGACTTCCCTGCCCGTCGGCCACCGGGCGCCATCCTGTCCCGGGTACTCTGTCCTAGTCACTCTCCCCGTTGCTGGGACACGATGTCCACACCCACAGTTCACAGGAGGAGAGGTCCATCTTGGCTCACAGGCTGTAGAGGTTTCAGTCCGAGTCCCTGGTGCCGAGGCAGGACAGTACGGCAGAGGGCCTGGTGGAGGGGACTGCTCAGGGCGCGGAGACAGGAAGCACACAGGGACAGAGGGCAGGGGAGAGAGAGAACCTTTGGTGTCCCTCCCTGGGGTCCTCCTCTTCCGCCCGGGCCCTGTCTCCTGACAACAAGAGGTGTAAACTCTGGAATTCAGTCTCACCCAAAAGCCTGTCCCCTTAGCCAGGCATGGTGGGGCACACCTGTGATCCCAGCACTCAGGAGGCTGAGGCAGGAGGATCGCTATGAGTTTGAGGCCAACCTTGGCCACATAGTGAGTTCAAAGCCAACCTGAACTACAGAGCGAGACTCTGTCTCAAAAAAAGACAGTTATTTGACTTATATTTTAGAAAATAAAATACTGTTTTCAATGTGCTTATCACTTTTTCATTAATATAAAAAGCATGGATAAAAACATAGGCATTTTAGATCCCCAAGCAGAATTATTGGGTCAAAGACCGACTTTTGCCATTCTTGTTATACATTCTCAGGTTGCTCTATAGGGGAAAAAAGCCTTTGCAACTGCTGCTTTCCCCTAAGCCTCTAACTGATGGTTAAATTATGTTGTGTGGCTGCATCACGGAGGGCCTCCTTCTGCCCCTCGCGCACCCTGCCCTGCTCTGGGCGGTGGACCTGCGAACCAGCTCCCTGTGTGGGGCCAGGCCAGGCTGTGTTTCAGCCGCCCGTGATGTATTCCAGCAGCTGTGTTAACACTGTGTGGGCAAAGGCTCTCCTGGGCCATCAGACGAGTGCACCACTGAGCAGCTCGCAGCTCGAGGCTGGGGTGTTTGTTGTTTTGGTAGAAAGGCTTCTGATGGCGCTGGCACTCTGCTTCTCTCCTGCTGGTGAGGCCCTCCCGCCTCTGCCAGGACGCCCGGCCGTGCTTACCTGTCTGGGAGCCACTCAGCAGCTCAGCTCTCCTGCTGTACCTCGGATCAGCAGGGTCCCCAAAGGCCACGTGGCAAAGTCTTGGTCCCAACTGGTGCCACTGGGAGGTGGCCGCGTGTCCGAGGCAGCGGGGGTGGGGGTGGTGGTGGGGGGTGGTGGTGTCTCCAGGCCCTGGGGCTGCGCGGGGGTGGGGTGGGGGGGTGGAGACTCCGCACCTTTCTGTCTTTTCCCCTCAGGCCAAAGCAGGGGCACCAGGGAACCACAGCCCGAACCCAGGGCGGCCCTTCCTCCCTGTCTACTTGATGTCTCTGCCACACTGAGGAAAAGCTGCCTGACACACGGTGACTCCCATGGGAGCGGAGTTCTGGCTCCATCAGCTTCTGAGCGTTACATCGATAATGTCCTTGTCACCTCCCGGTCCCCGATACCCACACCACAGGGAGGAGGAGAGGTTCATCTCGGCTCACTTTCAGCTGGTCTTGTGGAGGAAGAGGGCCCCAAACCTGGCAGCCAGGAGCAGAGAGGAAGGGAGGCCCAGGACACAAACACCCCCCCAGGTCACACCCCAGTGCCCCCCACCAGGCCCTGTCTTCAGGAGTGAGCATCGGGGAACATAGTAGGTCTAAACTGTAACAGCAAGTTATGTTTTTCACCCTCATTTCCTCACTTTTAAGTTTCTGTTAACAGTTTAAAGTTGTATTTTTCTTGTGAAAAACCTGTTTCGAAGTTAAATAATTGATTACTTTCGATAGGCTAATACAATCCCCCAAAGTTCAAGAGAATAAAAGTGAAGAGTAAGTTTCCGGCCTTCCAGCTTCCTTTCCTAAAGGTAAGCACTGCTGCTGGTTCTCCCCATCCTCCCAGATGGACTCTATTCGCGCAGGGACGCCTGCCTTTGTGTTTACGCTGTGCTTCTCTTGTTATGCACGGAGAGCAGCTACACACACACACCATTTCCGCCCTTTGCTCGAAGCAGCTCTCAGGGGCTGCACCCGGCGCCCCACCCACAGAGCGGGCTGCTGCAGTGTGAACCCCTGCCAGGATTGATGCCCCGGGCTCTGCAGCCTGGCGTGAGCGTACTCATGGCTAGTGTCAGCGGAGCGGCTGCGTGCGGACAGGTGAGCAGCATGTCCTACTGTTACTGAAAGCTCAAGCATTTTTTGGTATAAGAAATCATCTAGGTTTTTTCTCTTCTAAGCAATATCTGCTTGTGTCCTTTGTATATTTTGCAGGATTGTAAACACTGATTTATAGAAGCTATTTAATGTTAAATGAATTAGCTCTCTGCTGTGTGTCATATTTTCTTCAGCGTTTTACTTGTATTTGTCATTATTCATTACATTTTCTTGTAGAATTGAAAGACATAAAATCAAATCTGTGAATTAAGATACACCCTACATGAGTTTATATATCATGAGTTGAAATTCCTATTCACATTAACATTAGAACCTTCTCCACTTTTCCCTCTTCTCTGTTGTATTTCTTACTCCCACAAGAAAACCTTGTTCTCTGAAGCATCAACTGATTTGCTTGCTGTTCTATACACAGAGAGAGCTTTGGACCTATCCGCCAAGGCCACTGCTGACAGCACACCTACTAAGGCAAGCTCAGGAGTTCTTCCCATGTCTTTCTGTCCGGAGAGTATGTCTCACTAATGGTGTATTGAGTTTGCAATTTCTTTTGATGAACTCCTTTGTGTGGTTCTGGAATCAAGCATTAACTATTACTTAATTTTTAGATGATTTTAAAGTGCCATCTGGATTTTGTGTCACACTACCGCTTCTACACTAAGATCGTGACTTCTCCCATGCTCACCGAAGCACTTAGAACTTCCACACCTACCTGATGCGGGGAGTAAGAGAATTCAATAGCTGAGCCCTAGAGGGAAGAGAGAACTTACAATGATCACGAAGGACACGGAGAAAGGCCCAGTCCGGCAGGGCTTCCACCTTGGGAGAGTCAGAGTGGGACGGCCTGGCCCTCAGGGCTCCTGGCAGGGGGTGAATTCCCACCGCCCGGAGCTGGGCCAGAGTGAGGCCCTGTCCTGGGGATGGACCAGAGGACAGTGCCGGCCTGGGGGACGCGCAGGCCCAGCAGACAGTCTTGTCCCACGGTGGGATTTAGGACTCAGTTTCTGCATTCCAAAGCCCTAAGTTCCGGTTCCCATGCTCCTCAAGGGCCTTTCTGGGTGCTGGGGGCACTGCAACCCTCACGAGCCAGAGGTGGTCTTACAGTGACTGTGTGCAGCTGTAGGACAGCGTCGGAGAGACCGAGTTAGGATCAGAGGCTCCAGCTTTCCAACTATCCTTGTGGCTATTTTAGAAGGGGGGCTGTTGTGACAGCCATGTGGCAGGTCAGTTGTTACCGTGGGGGGTGTGTGTGTGATCCAAGTGTGGCATCTGTACAGAAAGCTGTGCCAGTCATGAGCACACCCCCAGGTGGCCGCCCCGATCCCTCCCTGCTACTAGGTGGCCCCACGCTCGACTTGGTTCACACGGCCTGTTGCTGTCCATGCCGGCAGCATCCAGGCTGCCTCGAGCTGTGGTGGCAGCGATGTGGCCACGCACTCCCACCTGCGGGCCACAGCATCCCCAACTCTGCTGTTGCCGTCAGCTTGGGCCCTTCGGCTTTTATCTTGCATGGTGTTCTGTGGATATTCCTGTACGTGGCTTCTGTGAGCCTGTTTTTGCATTTCTAACAGGGCCATGCCTAGGAGTGCACTAGTTGGTAATGGGGCACACCCATGTCCCCATTTGGAGGCGACTGTCGAGAGCCCGCTGTGGTGTCCTTTCACTGACCTGAAAGGCAGCCACTGAAACAAGTATTTGGCTGCTTACTCCTCAGTCAAACCAAGCATTTTTACTGCATAGGGCTCTTTACTTAAGTGGCCATAAAATGCATACCATGTCTGTGAGCATCACGTTTCTTCTGGAGTGTGGTGTTTACACATCCTGACAACTGATACCTGTCAAGAAGAGGGTTCTACGCCACCGCTGTCTTGCATAATTATGAGAAAGCTCAGCATACCATGTCTGTGAGCATCACGTTTCTTCTGGAGTGTGGTGTTTACACATCCTGACAACTGATACCTGTCAAGAACAGGGTTCTACGCCACCGCTGTCTTGCATAATTATGAGAAAGCTCACAGAATAGCATCCTGATGGGCTTATGAAGAAAAGCAGCCTAGTATTTCGGTGATTAAAGTTGCATTTAGGGCTGGGGTGTGGCTCAGGGGTAGTGCACTTGCTGAGCATGCACAAGGCCCTGGGTTTGATCTGCAGCATGGAAAAAAATGCATCTAAGTAACTGTGCTAAGTAACTGCACAGATTTACCACTTGGAAGACTGCGCTGTTCCTCTCTACTGGTAGAAACTAGATGAAGACTTGAAAACTGCCTCTAAAATGAAAGAGTCATTCCTCCCTTCATTCAACCAAAGATTTAGGATTTCTTTGGCCTATGTACTGTGCTTCTAGGCTGGGAAGGAGAAGGAAAAATTAACAGAAGAACTCAGTTTTAGCACTCTTGGTTTTCATATCTGCAAAGGGTTGAGCCAAGTGCCCAGAGTGTTATGAAACGCAGTTAAAGTGTCAAGAGAGGACTGAGTCAAGTACGCTGGTGATCCCGGCGAGAGGAATTTCTAGCTTGAAGAATTTGCTGTGACGCCCTGGGCCTCAGGGCAGCTGGACAGATGCAGCGGCCTGGGAGCTGACCTGGTCCTGGCACAGCTGGCGCTGTCGGGCACCCCCCTGCTGCCCTGGTGCACCGTAAGGTGTCAAGGGAGCCAGTGCTCACCCGGGCGGCTGAGGGACTCAGGGACGGGTGAGGCACAGCTGGGACACCGTGTCCTGCAGCTGGAGAGCGGCATGGACCAGTCTCAGTTCCCTCAGGCCCTCCAGGGCTTTGCAGGTTTTCACCAACGGGCAGAGAGGGTAGCTGATGTCCAGACACTTGCGTCCTGACACAGACACTTAAAACAGCGTTACAAGGTGGGAAGAAGAGAGAAAGAAGAGGTGCACACCTGTGCGAGTTACATGTTAGGTCCATTGTGGGTGGAAGGAAAGAGTGGTACCTCAGAGACACCCACTCGGGCCTCTGCTCTGTCCTTGGCACTAATGTGAATCTCTACAGGGCTATGGTGTGTCGCCGGGGTGTGTGTGTACCTGTGTGTGTGTGTGTGTACGTGTGCGTGTTTCTCCTAAGAAAACTCTAGACGTTGCAGTAGAAATCCCTGTACCATCCCTCCCAAGTGCTGGAGCACAAGCTTGTCATGCTTGGACCCCAAGGCCCGAGGCCATTTGAGCGGAAAACCCGAGGATGGATGCAGACAGGGCTCAGGCTGGATGCCCACTTTCAGGGCCTTGGCAGGTTGGTGCCTGGCACGGGCGGCTGGCACGAGGCGTTGGGGACAGATGATTCGTGCCTGGAGTGCAAAGTTTCAGAGCTAAGTGTTGATCCATGACGACTTAGGAAAACCACTGGGCTCCGCTGTTCTGGAAAACAAACACAGGCAGCCCTTGTGCTCCAAGGCGAGAGGGGGCGGGCCGGGGCGGGCCGGGGCGGGCCCGAGGGAGCAGTGCGCAGCTGCCTCCGTCCGAAGGCCGCCGGCCCCGGGCGGGCGGGCAGTGAAGCAGCCGGGGTTTTCATTTCAGCGCTTCTACCTTCTCTGCTCGGATCACGTTGTCTTTTTGAGCGTTTTTTCTCTGTAAAGTGGATGTGTAGTCATGGCCTCGCGGGGCTGTGACAAGTTAATCAAGTGATCCGAACATGTGCCCAGAAAATTGTAACTGCTGCCTGGAAGACTGGAATGATGCTGTGTTGCCTTTGTAATCAGCTAAGAGAACAGACGTTTGACCCCCCTTGAGCCTCATCTTAGGTTCTGGCTGTGAGGACCTTGGCTCACAGAGTTTGCTTTTATTTCCGCAGTGCCGAGATCCAGCTGCAATACCGCGGTTTTGCTGGACGCTGGGAAATGCGCATGCGCAGGATTTGCCTGCAGGTCCCTGGGGGCCTTGAGTCCTCTCCCCGAGGCAGGCACTGCGTAGTTCTGGTGACTCTGAGCACCTGGCTGCTGGCACGGTCACGGCACAGAGTCCCCAGAGCAGGTGACAGGGCCCCTGGCGGAGGCCGGAGTCGTGGCAGGACCCAGATGCAGAGCTGCCTGTGGCCCATGTGGGCACTGACATTTTAGGAGCTGCAATTACCAGCTGGGACCTTTCTCCACTGTTCCCCTCCTACACAAATGACAACTGGCATCTGTGACCCAGTACTCTGTGACAAAGGGTGGGGTATAGGGCAGAAAACAAGGAGTTGGGTTATGGTACCTCAGAGCATGGTCCGTGTGCGTGTGTTAGCTCAATGCTGTATAGAGGACACTTTTGTGCTGGGTGCGGTAATGATCTACACCTGTGATCCCAGCGCTCTGGGAGGCTGAGGCAGGAGGGTTGCAAGCTTGAACCCAGCCTGGGCAGCTTAGTGACTGAGCGAGACCCTGTCACAAAATAAAAAGGGCTGTGGATATGGCTCAGTGCAAGCGCCCGGCTCCTTCCTCTGCAGCTGGGTATGGGTAGCTTGCCCCTCCTCTGTCTCACCGTGACATCCCAGCCTTCCCTTGAGGACAGTACATGTGTCTCGCGTGTCAGCTTTCTTCTGCTGCATAGAAGTGGCACAAATATTGGTGCTGTGATCTGAACACTTGTCCCCTCTGATACCCATGGGGAGAGATAACCCTTGAAGTCCAGGAAGGGGCCTCAGGAGGTGTTATGGCTGTGTCTAGATGTCCCCTAAAGCCTTCTGGGGTCACAGATGGGGCTCTTTCAGAAGTGGCTGGGTCTAGAGTGTGTGACACTAAAATTGATTCATGGTACATTTCGAGGGCACTAGGATTAAAGGTGTGAGTGCTGCCTGCCCTAAGTAGCCTGGATAAGATATAAGAATAAAAAGAGCTGTGGGTGTCCCTTGCTTGCTCTTGTCTGCCTGCCATGGACTGTTTCTCCTCTGCGATGCCCCTCTGCCTTGCCAACCTACCTTGGAGCCAGCCAACTATGAGCTAAGACCTCTACACACTGTGAACTCAGTAAACCTTTAACTTTGGGTGTGGGGTATTTTGTCTCAGCTATGAGAAAAGTAACTAACACAGAATTTGGTACCAGAGAAGTGGGGTCATTGCTGTGACTGTACCTGACCCTATGGTTCAGGAGCCTTTGGAACTAGCTTGTGGGAAGCATCTGGAAAGGTTTGGAGATGCCCGCTGAAAGGGAAGAGCTGGAACACCCGAGGCTGTACTTGATGAGAGATTATGGTCAGAGCTCAGAAGTCCAGAAGTCTGATAAAAGTGATGCTGGTAACCACAAGGTTGGGAGATTTTTGCTGGGAAGAAGGTCTGCATTGGCTGTTGGACTCCAGATGATGTGTGTTATACCTTGGCAGAAAGTTTGTCTGCATTTTGCTCATGTCCAGAGACTTTGCCTAAGGCTGAGATTAAGGGTGGTGGACTAATTAATCTGGCAGAAGAAATTTCAAGGCAGTCTAATATTGAGGCCGTGGCATGGCTACTGTTGGGGGTCTTTAGCCAGATTTATGTTGAGAGTCAAGAGCAAAGAGCCCAGCAGAATGATTTAAAATGCTGTGAGTTTGGCCAGAAAGAAAGTTCCAGCAAAGTTTCGACCTGCAAAGATGAAACAGAAGAAAAATTGGTTGCTAAAAAGCCAAACAAGGAAAAGCCAAGTATTTCAAAAGAAGACAACAAAAAAGATGGCCTGAGGACATCACAAGAACCAACAGGACTCCAGCCTCTATCGCCTCAGAGTTGCAAAGGTCAAAGACTTTGCTTTGAGAAGACAGCCCAGAGCACCATGTTCCAGAATGATGGTGACCTAGGGAAGTTATTCCTTGGGGTTAGGTTCATAGGCAATGGATCCCTAGAGCCAAGAGAGAAGGAAGCCTGGCTGCTGCTCCAGTTGGCAGCAGAGCTTGGCATCATCCATGTGGTGCTGATTTTAGGCCCATTGAAAATGCAAGAGTCGTGGGGTCAGGAAAGCTTCTGCCCAGATTTCAGAAGAAGGCCTGGGAGGCCAGGCAGGGTGGCCCTGAGAGGGCAGTGTGTGAAGCTGTGAGTGTGCAGCCGAAGGTACAGTGGATAGACCAGAAGTTTGGAAAAGCCAGGAACTTAGATCATCTGAGGAAAACTGCAAAGAGGGAGCAGAGCTGGCCCCAGAGAGAAGCCATTGGAGCTACAACCACCAGCAGTGCCATGGGGTGGAGCCACCCAAGCTCTTTGGAGTTCACAACTTGCCACAGGTTGCTGGGGATGCTAGAAGTAAAACTGTGGGATTTAATGTTTGCCCTGCTGGATTTTAGTTCTGCTTTGTTCCCATTCCTTGCTACAACCCTGTTTGTAGCTTTTAAAATAAAAATGTCTATCTTGTGCCATTAAATGTTAAAAGTGGGGGTAAAAGGGCTGGGGATTTAGCTCAGTGGTTTCACTGCCTGCTGTGCAAGCGCAAGGACCCGAGTTCGATCCCTGGTACCCAAAGAAAAAAAAAAAGTGGAGTAAAAAAAAGTGGGGCCGGGGATTTAGCTCAGTGGTGCCGCCGCCTGCCTTGCAAGCGCAAGGTCCCGAGTTTGATCCCTGGTACTCCCCCCAAAATGTTAAAAGTGTTTAACTTCCTTTTCATTTGTACAGGGGCTTGCAGCTAAGAGTGTGCCTTAAATCTTAAAGGAGACTTTAGACTTAAACTTTTCAGCAATGCTGAAACTATTATGGCTTTGGCAACTCTTAGAGATGGACTGAACGCCTTTTGCATAAAGTGATGTGCATGAGTCTGGGGGGACAGGGGAGGAATATTATGGCTGTGTCTAGATGTCCCCCAAAGCCTCATGTGATCATAGGTGGGGCTTTTTCAGAAGTGGCTAGATCTACAGTGTGTGACACTAAAATTGATTCATGGTACAATTCTAACATCAAGAGCACTAGGATTAAAGGTGTGAGTGCTGCCTGCCCTAAGTAGCCTGGATAAGATATAAGAATAAAAAGAGCTGTGGGTGTCCCTTGCTTGCTCTTGTCTGCCTGCCATGGAATGTTTCTCCTCTGCGATGCCCCTCTGCCTTGCCAACCTACCTTGGAGCCAGCCAACTATGAGCTAAGACCTCTACACACTGTGAGCTAAATGAACTCTTCCTCCTTTAACTTTGGGTGTGGGGTATGCTGTCTCAGCTGTGAGAAAAGTAACCAAGACAGGAGGTGAACAGGCCACCAAGCCTGCTGGAGTGGGTGCTCTTGGCCCTTCTACCCCTGCCTCCCGGCTCTGGGGACGCAACCTGCAGGGCACCACCTTTCAGGCAGAGCCAGCTTCACCAGATCCAGGCCTGTGGGTGCCGGACCAGTGCTTCCCGGGCTCCAGAACATGAGTCAGTGTCTCTCAGCCTAGAGTGTTCTGTCACAGCAGCACTGGGACACACAAAAGCAGCCTCACCCTGTCACAGTGAAGGACTCGGAGTCTGGGCTCTGCCACACTCTCACAGGGTAGAAAGCACGGGGTCGGCTGGAACAAGACGGGGCTTCTGAGCTCGTGTGGGCTGTTGGCCACACTCCGGCCCACGTGGCTACGGACACAAGGCCCTGTCTTACCAGCTGTTGGGGGTCCTCCTGCCACCAGGAGAGGTCACAGTCACAGGAGAGTCTCACGGTGACAGGTTGGCCACACCCAGAGGAGAGGGGTACGGGCCAACCCAAATCCTGCCTGCCCTGCCACCTCTTTCAGAAAGCCCACTGACCCTGTGAGGAGAGCAGCTCCTCCCTCCCGACTGACTTCAGAGCGCTCTGCAACCGCGAGCCCCTGAGCAGCACAAGGAGGCCACTGGCTTCCTTCCCCAGCTGAGCTGGAGGTGACAACTCTGAGTGCTGCACTCCAGGCAGACGCAGTTCGGGGGGCGGGGGGGGGGCAGCGCTGTCCAGCGACCTCCAGGCTGACTTGGCTGAGGATGACTCACCCGACCCCGAGAGGAGCCAGGACAGCTTCCCCCTGGTGTGGGACGGTGTGTGGCCCACAGCAGGCTCACCTGCCATGCACCTCACCATCATATCTGAGCAGCAGCTCCTGGGCGAGCTGTCCCTCTTGGTCACACAGCGGCCGTCTCACCTCTGGCCGACCTGCCTCCTGCACGGCCCTGGGACCCTGTCTCTGGGGCTGCCAGGGGCCCAGCCCGCACACTGACTGGTTGCAGTCCCCTGTAGCGCCAGGAGAGGCTGCAGGAATTCGGGACAGGGGCCTTATCGGAGATCCATCTCCAGCGTCAGCCTGGCCAGGGCTCCAGGCCCAAGATCAGAAGCTCTGTGCTCAGTGGGAGGCTGGCTCTGAGCCCTGGGACACACCACGCTCCTGCCTTGCGGATCCTTTCTGCTCCAGGGACTGTTCCCTTCTAACTTCCTCCTCCGTCCTTTCTCGGCTACTGCTCAGGGATAGCGACAGGCAGACCGTCCTCCGCTCCTGTGCAGATGTGGATGGGTCTGGGAGTCTGCCGCTCCCCTAGCGCTCTGGAAGCTGCCAGCCTCCCTGCCCTTGGCTCTGCTCCCTGCCGGCTGGACCCTCTGTCCAGGCCCCTGGGGATTCTTGGCTCTTGACTGGCTCAGGCATGGTCTCTTCAGACAGCACTTCTGACCACCGTCTCCCAAGTGTCTCTCCTCACTAGCTCACTTCAGCTTCTTCCTTGCCTGTGTCTCGTTTCCTTGCTTATCACCTGTTGTCCCAATCTGAGGACAGCTGTTCTCGGGGGAGGGCAGAACTCACCTGGCTTTTCTCCATCGACTCCCTGGAGCTGGACTAACAGCACCTGCAAAGTGAGTTCCTAGAAAGTGCTCACAAATAAGCCACGGCTCAGCCCCGTAAACCTCAGGTCTCTGCCTGTAACCTAAGATCGTCGCAGTGACACTCACATTACGAGAACATGTTTATAGGAAGCTTAGGGTGATGCTTGGCACATAGTATGATTGTGCTACAAAGGTAGATCTACCCACGTTTCTCTCTTTTTGAGTACATAATCTCCTCTAAGGAACACAGGTTCCCTTATTTGTATATTTCATGTTTCTGTGCACATAGTAGACACTTGGTCAAACTTTTTGTTTATTTATGACATGCAGTCTCACTTTGTGGCCCAGATTAGCCTCCCAGACCCAAGTGAGCCTCCTGCCTCAGCCTCCTAAGTAGCTGGGACTACACTGCATAGCCCTGGGGCTGGCTATAAACTTAGTGTAAATGAAGTACAATGAGCTGTGAATCAGGGCGTCACGGTGGTCCTCCCTGAGACTCCGCTCATAAGCCCGCTCTGCTCAGTGACAGAGAGAGGGCTGGGGACTCCCCCGAGGTGGGCGCTGGCTTCACTCTGCCCGTGGCTGGACCTTCCGCCACTGACCGGGAGCCCGAACCTTCTCACCTCTGTGTCCCGCTGAGGGAGAGCACGGTGGGCAGGCGCCATGGGCAGGAGGATGCAGCTCCGGCAGAGCCGCCGCCCTGACCCAGCGGCCGCTCCCCTCAGGCCTTGGTCGTCCCCACCTCGGTGCCACCAGCACCGGAGAACAAATGCAGTCGCACAATCACGGCGATGAAATGATTCTCTATACAGAATTTTTTTAAAGAGTGCCTTCAAATCAACTCAAAGTGAATCAAGGACTTTAATGCAAGACTGGAAACTTTAAAAACACTGGAAGAAAGCCAGGTGTGGTAGTGCACGCCTGTAGTCCCAGCACCCAGGAGGCTGAGGCAGGAGGATCACCATGAGTTCAAGGCCCGCCTGGGCTACATAGGGAGACCCTGTCTCAAGAAGCCTCCTATCCTAAAAAAAGTACTAGAAGAAAACAGGGGATTGATGCAGGCAGTGGTCTCCTGGGTAGGACTCCAATAGCTCAGAAATCAAGGCGACTTGACAGATGGGACCACATCAAATGAAAAGGTCTGCACAGCAAAGGAGACCATCATGGAGGGCCAGCTGGTGTGAGCAAGGGCTGACCGAGCTCTTGTGCAAACACCCAAGCGAGACCCACACACTGTGCCTGAGGTCACAAGTCAGTGCCCCAGGCCTCACATAAGCCCAATTGCACACAGAGGCACCCGGGCCACACAGACAAGGCAGATACCAGGAGCACTCAAGGGATGAAACCAGAAAGCTGTGAAAAGTTATGGTGAACAAGAGCTACCGAAGAGACGGGAATCTGTAGCAGTTGTTTTTAGCATACGACAACAGCTGTAATGAATGGTTCCTTCAGTCTCACATCCTGCTAGATGTTGGAGAATAGATCTATCCTCTCCCAAACCAGTTTATAAACACTTTCAGGAAACAAATTACTCCAAGAAAAATATCCATAGTTACCATTCAGGGCCTCAGCAGTGTGAAGTGAAATTCCTTGAGGCAGGTACCACTGTGCCCTTCAGGTTCTGCAGTGTCCTAAGTTCCTTTGGTTTTGTGAGCCCGGGATGACCCAGCGCCTCCCGCCTGCTGCTGGTGTAGAGCGCTCACCGCTGTGCCACCCCAGCTCTCTGCAGAGCCTTGGAGTTAGAGTTCTTCCAGGATGGTCAGAAATGTCCCTCGGTCTTCCAGGATGGTCAGGCACCTTACAAGGTGGTGGCAGTCGGGGTGGGGCAGGCGCTCTACCAGTGATTAACAGCTAACTGGAATGTCATGCCCGAGAGTTGTTCTAAGTGAGTCTCCACACAAGGGGCTTTGAATGACCGTACCCAAACATGTCCGATTAGGTTTTCCTTATCTAATTGATTTTCTTTAGCTCTTTGGAGAAAACCAACACGATTACATTCTCAGGATCATTCATTGATAGGGAGATATCAGTAGTGTGCTGGGGGCAGGGAAGATCAAGAACTGCAAGAACTGGGCCTCCCCGAAGACACTGTGTCCTCTTATCACACAACTGTGTTTGGAGGTGTCTGCATTAGGTTGCACTGTGGCAAAATTCCTTACACTTGAAAGGAAGAAAGGTTTATTTGGGGTCACGACTTAGGGGATCCATCTGTGTGTGGCCCCACGGCCCTGGGGAGGCAGAGGCAGCAGAACAGAGTGGATGGTGGAGCAGGCTGCGCACCTCACCCTGGCCGGAAGCAAGAAGAGCGAGGCAAAGGGGGGGCCTGGGTCCCCATACCTTTCCAAGGAACCCTGTGGCCCCGCTGGGCCATCAGCATACGGCCTCTGGGGCCATCCAAGACCCTAAGTGTGCAGTAGCTTTGAAAACTCTTGAAAAAGCCCGAGGCCAAAAATGACTGGGACCAAGTTCACCCTGATTGGACAGAGAGCAGAAAGGAGCCTTGGCTTCCTAGGGCAGCACGAGCCCCTTGCTGCAGCCGCCACCTGGGGCTGGCACCGGGACCCTCAGGGATCGGGCCAGACCTCTTGCTTCCCTGGAAACTCAGCCTCCCCGGGCGGGCTCTGCCTCGACGCCTTCCTTGCTCCACGTGAAGGTCCTGTCGGTGCTGGGCCTGGCAGACACATGGGAGCCCGCTTCGCCTCCCAGCCAGGCAGGCCACACTCACTCCTAACCCACGTTCACTCACCCTGCAGCCGTGTCCTGAGCGCTGTTCAGGTGCGGAAGAATCAGCACCAGAGGAGGAGCAGAAGTCCCAGCCTCGTGGGCAGACAGACACCAGCCGGCCTGGGCCAGGGACGCGGCCAGAGCGAACACCCAGGCTCTGCGTGCGTGGGAACTCGAGGGGCACTGGACAGAGATAGAGCAGCCTCAGGGAGGGGAGGACGGCACGACCAGGGACGAGGAGCTGAGGAGGGCTCTCGGCGGGCTGTGTGTGGTGCCAGGGTGACAACCGGGGCCCTGCACATGCGAGGGGACTGCTCTATCCCCAGCCTTTAAAAATAATGAGTTTTGCAGATGGAACACAGCGCCTTTGAGCTGAGCTCTATCCCCAGCTCTTTTTGGTGTTTTTGAGACAGGGTTTCATTAAGTTCTTAAATTGCCCCGGCTAGATCTGAACTTGTGATCCTCCTGCCTCAGCCTCCCAGTGTGCTGGGACTACAAGCATAGGCCACCAGGCCCAGTTTCAATTTTTATTTTGAGACGGAGAGTCTAGGTTGGGCAGGCTGGCCTTGCACTTCCAGCTTCCTGTCTCATCCTTCTAAGGAAGTGGGATTACAGGCGCGGGCCACCAGGCCTGGCTCGCAGGGGTCTTCTGATCAGGTCTGAGCGAGGGTGGCCCCTGGACAGTGAGGTTCTGGAGACAGTGGCCGGGCGCAGAGCAGACGGCTCAGGACAGCGCAGTGCGGCCCCCAGTCTGTGCTAGAAAGCGCACACTGTGCCCTCTCTGGACAGGAACAGGATGTGCTGGCTGAGGAGTGGTGGGCTCGCCGCTTCAGCGGAGGAAGGGTGGGCAGGCCTCGGGACAGGGCCGCGTGGACTCCGCCCGGGCCTGCACAGCCTCCTGGGCGCCGGTGCTCCTCGGCTCCTCCGCCAAGCGTTCTGGCCACTGCCCACGCGTGCCGTTCACACGAATCCCGGTGCCACTCCGTTCCCCACTGCACCGGCCCAGTTCGTGCCCAGTGGTCACATGGCCAGAGACCAGGGCGAGACAGCGGTCCTGGCCGCAGGCCGGGGAGGGCAGCAGTGCACGGGAGGGCGGGCGGAGGGGAGGACTCGCAGGGGCGGACAGAGGCCAGACCCAGGCAGGGCGGACCAGGCAGGGCGGGCAGCAGTGGACCAGCAGGCCCGGCAGGCGCGGTCGGGGCCCTGCAGGGAGCGCGGGACGCCGCCCGGCCCTCGAGTTCACACGGCTCGAACCCAGGGCGACGGCCCCGCCCCTCGGGACCTCGTCCGCGCACGCGCAGCCCCGCCCCTTCCCGCCCCTCCCCCCGGCGGTGCAGCTGGGGCCGCGGAAACAAAGCCGCGCGGCCGCAACAGGTCCCCGATTGGGTCCGCAGTCCCGGACTCCGGGGCCCACGGATCCATGCGGTCCGTGCCCAGCATGATGCCGGTAAGCGGAGCTCCCTGGGGTCCGCGCTGGTCTCCCGCGTTGTCCCGGGACCCCGAGCCCCTCCCCCCGCTGCTCTCCCCGTGGTCCGCACCCCCCCCCCGATCCTCCCCGCCTGGTTCCCAGAAGCAGAAGAGGTTTCCTGACCTCCGAAGTGAGCTCCGGGGCAGGCAGGGGAGGGCGGTGTGGACGGCCTGGCGGGTCGGGAGCCGGGATCGGTGTGTCCTGGCCCGGCTGTGTTCGCGGGGGAGGGGGGGCGGGTCGGGGTCCGCGTCTACGCCGGGGTCTCGAGTCGCTGCGGGTGCTCCTGAGGGGAGCTGGCCAGGCTGCGTGGCCAGGCGGCTTCTCCCCGGGTCGGGCCGGAGCCCGCGGTTCCGCCTCGGCTGCGCCCTGGCGCGGGTCGCGGGGGGCCTGGCGCACCCGGCCCCGTCCCGCCCTGTGCCGTGGGGACAGGACCCGGAGGGTCAGCGCCGCTGGGAGCCCGAGGTGGACGAAACCCGAGCCGCGGGGGAGGCGAGCTCCTTGCAGGGACAGAGGACGGCTGCTGGGCTAACTGGCTTACAGGCCTCGGAGACGAAACTTTACAAATGTACTGCTCTTCCTTAACTTTCCTTTCTTTTTTTTTTTTTTTTGGTACCGGGGATCGAACTCGGGTCCTTGCGCTTGCAAGGCAGGCGGCGGAACCACTGAGCTAAATCCCCGGCCCACTTCCTTAACTTTCGGTATGATCGGATTGGTTTTCATTCCAGAAGTAGTGAGTAAGGTTTATTGTGCTTTGTTACTTTGGAAAATTCTAAGCAGTCTGAGAAAAAGCATCGTGGTTTAGATGAAAACCGGGTCATCTCAGAAGGCGCTGCTGGGTCGTTCCCATGGCTTCTTTTGGCCGAGGTTGAACCGAGGAGAGCTCTGCGCTGAGCTGCCTCCCCACCTTTTTGTTTTCTGAATGTCAGTAAGTTCCCCAGCAGGCCACATGCTTTCCACCCTCCTGTCTCAGCCTCCCTCAGTTCTGGGATCATGGGTGTGCGCCGAGGTGCTGGCTGATACACGTTGTTATTGGAAATAAACGTGATTTAAAATGTACCATTCTAACCCTTTCAAAGCGTGCAGTTCTGTGGCTTTACCCGCATCTCCGGATTTGCTGTAAAGGCATCCCAGAGAGACGCCTGGTGCTCACACTGCGTGGCCTTAAAAATGTGCAGAGGGGTGTTCATCTGTTTTCTCACCAAAACAGTTCGGAATCAAGTGCTTTTCTTTTATGTGGGACGAGAAGTGATAATTGGACCCCAAACCAGGGTGGGAGGTGGATTTTAGTAGGCCAGCTAAAAATAAAGAGGGGCTGGGATCACCCTGGAGATACTGACAGACCCGTAGGAGGTGCAGATTGGCCTCAGAGCGGATGCCTCTTGGTTGGGCGTGGCCTGGGTCCGGGAGTTCCACAACCTGGTGAGGAGAACGCGTAATCCATTAGTCCTTCGCCCCCACCCCTTGCTGTTCCTCCTGAACCAAGGGTTTTCAGGCTTTGCCCTTGAGAGCGTGGCTTTTTAGTGATCCAGTCATTGTACTTTGCTCTCAAATGGAGGCTGTTCTCAAAAGTGACAGTTTTCAGCCATTTGAAAATTGTATTAAACATCTTCTATTCATTACTTTCATTTGTGTAGTGTTACACTGATTCTTTTTGAGTTTGCCTAACCCTAAAAGCATTCACCATTCTTTTCAGATAATAGTTAAAAAACATTTCTATTTGTACCTGGTGTTGAAATGGTAAGTTAAAGAAAAAAATAAACTGCACTCGGTGTCTGGCAGTGCCACACGAAGCTGGAGAGAGGGCTGAGGCAGCTGGGTCACCACGTGGCCAAGCGGCAGGGGGCATGCATGTCCGGCCCAGTGGGAACGTCCTGCTTGTGTGCTGTCCAGGGCGGTGGGCACCAGCCACAGGTGGCCACTGCGATGGAAAGTGGGTATGGGACCGGGGAGCGGAACTTGGGAAACTTTGATTTTAATTATGTTTAAATAGCTGCCTGGGCCTGGTGGCTCCCGGGTTTGAAATCCTTTCACACCGGATGTCGTCATGTAGGCCCAGCACAGATTACAGCTGATATATATATATAGTTTGGTTTTTTTGTTGTTTTTTTGTTGTTGTTTTTGTTTTTGGTGGTGGTGAGCTGCATGCCCAGCCCCACACCAATGGTATTTTCAAGGAAACAGTTATTTTATAAAGGCTCATCTGGGCATGGTGGCACATGCCTGAAGTCCTGGCACTCCGGGAGGCTGAGACAGGAGGATCACAAGTTTGAGCCCAGACTGGGCAGTTTAGCAACTTATGGAGACCTTGTCTCAAAATAAAAAATAAGAAGAGGGTTGGGGATGCAGCTCAGTGAGAAGGCGCTGGATTCAATCCCCAGCACCACCGCTACCACCACCACCACAGCAAACTATTGAAACAATCACGGCTTAATTTTTATCATCTTTTCATGTTTTATCTTTCAGTGTTGCAGAGGCACTGGAATTATTTCTACTATTTTGTGATGTTGCAAAATAAATCTGATTGATTGCAAAATAAAATCTGATTTGGGAAGTCTAGGACAAGTAAGTTGGATACCACAGTCTGCCTTGTCAGCTGCACACTTATGGCGTAGAAATTATCTGTTTCTGTAGGTAATTATGTGTTCACAGGACAACGACTTTTTAAAATTTTTTATTATTTTGGTACCTGGGATCAAACTCGGGACCTTCCACTTACGAGGCAGGTGGTGGCACCACTGAGCTAAATCCCCAACAAAGGTTCAAGTTTTATTTGTGGGGTTTTGTTTTTGTTTTTGTTTTTGTTTTTTTGGTACCAGGGATCGAACTCAGGACCTTGTGCTTGTGAGGAAGGCAGCAGAACCACTGAGCTAAATCCCCTGCCCCATAACTTCTACTTAAATAGTCATATTGTTTTCAAAAGTCTAGTTCTATTTGCACCTATTTTCCAATCTAAAATTGTGTTTTGAAACTAAAAATCTTTCAAGGTACAGATGTGGAACATTGGATTTATATGATGATAGCATTTCAGAAAAAATTCCTTTCTGTCGAGTAATAATGTAAAAACCTCCTTACATCAGGTTTTGTTCCAGAGTGAAGCTGAGATTCAGTTCTGAAAGATAGGTGTCTCTCTCTATAGACTTGACAACTCTCAAAAGCCAGTAAACAAACCATCCATTTCAAAAAAATGTTTAAAATACCTCACATTTTATGTGTAGTTGTATTGTCATGTGATTTCAGGCATCTTAGTGAAAAGCTGAAAGACATTTGAAATTGTACTTTTGCCTATTCAGAGAAACCAGATTTAGACTTATAAAGAAATGCACACAGGCTTACAGCTACTTAGACTTTAAAAATTAAAGAGGATTTATTTATCTGGAGGGGATGGGCGGCCCCTGACTCATGCACTGCCCTGAGGAAGAGCAGTCCCTTCCCTCAGCTCCTCCCTGGTGCACAGTAGAAACAGTGAAACAAAGCTCTCTGGAGGTTTCAGGAAAACTGCAGTTGTTCATCTCTTTGGGTCGGTGTGTGGCACTCCTTGGAGTCCTTCCAAAGCTAGTCTAAGCCCCTGTGCTGCCCGGTTGCTCAGCTCCCTGGGGTGGCCTGTGGTGTGCGCGGGCTGCAGACTTCTCCGCAGCTCTCCCAACCAGTGTCCTGAGAGTGAGGCCCGTGGGTGTGAGAGGTAGCATTCTGCCACCTCGGCAGCCACGCACTGCTGAAATGCTCGAGTGCGGCGGGGTGCCAGGTACTGAACGGAACATTTTTCTTTAATCAGCTGGAACTGAGGGAGGAACACAGCTGATAGGACTGGAATGAAAGGTGCACTTATGTTGAGTGGTGGATGGGACCTGAAAGTGCTGTCTTCCTGAGCTAAGCTGACCCTAGGAACTCTAGGGACCACGGGGCGTTGGGGAGGCCGTGAGCGTTAAAGCACGTAACATCCCGAGTTACCCAAAGCACGTGTCTGTCTGCTAGAGACTTCAGGTCCTAAACGTGATCGGGCCACGGGCAGGAAAAGCAGTTTCACAGACTTGTACACCAGGTCATTTCTAGCCTTTTTTCTCCATAAAATAAATTTAAAAACAAATCACCTGGATGATAATGGAACCAAATTGTTGATCAAAATGCCCTTTTGGTTGGTAAGTACTGAACTTTTGAAACACATACTCAGTTGTTCTTCTAGAATCAAATTTATAACTCAGTACTATTTTAAGTTTCAAATATTGTAACCAAAAATCCCTTAAGGCACAAGCATAGGAAAGTGGTAGATAACCATGGTGTGACCTGTTACAGAGCCGCAGCTTCAGCTTCTCGTGGTAGCGAGTACATGGTCAGGCAGGGTGCGCATTACCGGTGCTCCACTTCGGTGTGCGTGCTGGGGCGTCCGGTCGGGTCCAGTCGGGCTCAGGCGAAGCGCTGCTCCGGGAGCCCTCGTGGGCGCTGTGCCTGTGCTCTGTGCCCCGTGCACTGTGGGTGGAGCATCCCATTCCCGGGCCATAATAGGTTCAGGTCTGAGACAGGACACACAGTGGCCTTGATATTCCTTTGGCTGATGGTTGACTCAGTGCTGCTCTTCAGAGCATAACCATAATTACTTAGAGCAGAGAAAGAAAAAATGGAGACGTCCCTGTGGAGGTCCAAGCTGACCAGAAGGTTGGCGGATCTCTCAGGAGCTTACGGGAGCTGCAGACTGTCTTTTCTCCACCTCGAGTTTGCCCCAGAGCTCGCAGCTCCTCACCTCTGCAGGCGAGGAGAGGGGCATAATCGGGGAGAGATGATGGTGCTTGCAGGGAGGGCGTCCAGGATTTCCACCTCCCTGCACTGTCCTTACACAAGGCGTGGTCCGAGCTGCTGGAGGAAAAGGCCCAGGAGTGGAGCGGGCGTGGGGTCCCCCCCAGCACAGTGCAGCCAGGGTACTCGGGCACGTCCAGCTGGCCAGGGCCCTGCTCTGGGAGCTGCGTGCCAGGGGGGACACCAGCTCGGGGAGCTAGGGACAGCTGCTTCAGATTTGAAGGTGGGGAGTGACACTTAGCCGTCCTGTCCTGGGAGATCTGCAGGTGGGACCTCTGGAGGCTGTGGGGCCGGGGCGAGCTGAGTGGGGATGGTGGGACCCGGGCTGGGCAGGGTGCTGTTGCCCCCAGAGGTGTGGCGGGCAGTTGTGGCAGATGCGGTGGAGTGGAAAGCTTGCTTTTTTGCCCTTGGAGGACAGATACTGGAGAGGCCACATGGGAGTCCCGGGAAGGTGGGGAGGGCAGCTAGTTTGGAGTCCGAGGAGCCCAGGAGGGTAGGGACTGGTGCAAACTCGGTCAGCACTTTGCTGCCTGCCCTCCCTACCCTCACTGAGTGACGCCTGCAAGGCCCAGGTGTGGGCAGAAACGGCCGCCCCGGGGTTGGGAACAGAGGAGGCTGCGTAGTGGCTCCCCTGTGCCACTGGAGCGGAGCCACCTTCTGTTCCGAGCTCTGAGGGCCACTTTGCAGTTCCAGTCCAGGCCTTCTTGTACCGTGTTCTTTAAAACCAAGCAGGGTTGGGGCCTGGGATGTAGCTCAGTGGGGCTGCGCCTGGCAAGCTCAAGGTCCTGCGTTTGATTCCTGGTACCAAGAAAAATGTAAAATCTAGCAGGGTGGGTCAGGATTTCTAAGGAAGCCTTGTGACCATGAGGCCCACTGCCCTGGGCGCTGGGGATGCTCCTTGACCTTCTTTCCTTTAAATCAGTGTGTCGTCATTGTCCCAATCGAGGTACAAGGCAGGCATAGGTGTAAGGAAATCGGGTTGGAGCTGGCCTAGTCGTAGAAGGTCCCTGGGCTGGGTGCAGCTCAGTGGTGAGCACTGTGTCCCTGCAAGGGGACTGGGTTCCAGCCCCAGAACCACAAGAATGAAGCAGAATGGACTGGCGCTTCCTGGGTGTGAGAGACTCGGGCAGTTTGGAAATGCATGCCGATTTCCTGGGAGGGGCCGCTTCGAGGAGCAAGCTGGAGTCAGAGGCGGCTGGGTCTCCCCGGAGCCTGGGTGCGGATCTCCCATCCTCCTCACCTGCAGTTTGGCGACCCCCCTCCCTCGGTGCCTGCCGGCCCCTCCCACATCCACACCTTCGCTGTCCTGCCTCAGTGCAGCCCCAGGCCTCTTCTTGAGGTCCCCAGACAGCACTGGCTCCCCTGACTCAGTCCCGGGGCAGACTCCGCCAGAGCTGAGCACGAGCAGCCCCCGCCAGGCCAGGCGCCCGGTTTGCTTGCTGTCTCGCATGGTGCATTCCCTCTCTGTCTCCAGCTCATTTCCCTTCCAGAAGTTCTAGCCACGTAGAGGAGGGGACCAGGACTCGAACCCCGAGCCCTGAGCCAGGCTGGTGTTGAGAACAGAGCTGTTGGGTGAGCAGGGTTTGGGTGCCTGCCTTGTGGGAAGAGCTTGGGTCGTGTGTGTGTGTGTGTGTGTGTGTGTGTGTGTGTGTGTGAGAGAGAGAGAGAGAGAGAGAGAGAGAGAGAGAGAGAGAGAGAGAGAGAGAACAAGCTGTATACCTTCAACACTTCTGCAGCACAGGTGCGGCCCGCGGTTGAGCACTGACTGCCCCTTGTCTGGCCTCCGCATCCTCCCATCCTCGTATTTCAGCAGCTTCGCCTCTGGCTGTGTGTGACAGCATGCTGGGCCTGCTGGAGCCACCGGGACATCACATGCTGTGCAGGCGACACGGTCCTGGTCCTCTGAGGGCCTGCTGCTCCTCCCAGGGCCAGGCTGTGCTGCACCAGGACGTCCTTGCACTGTGTAGTGATTATTGGTAGCGCCTGTTTTTCCTGGTTCAGGGGATCGAACCCAGAGCCTTCACCCTGAGCTACACCACTAGCCATTTTTTATTTGAGGCAGGGTCTTGGTAATCATTAAGTTGCTCAGGCTGGGCTCTAACCTGCAACCCTCCTGCCTCAGCCCCTCAGAGTGCTGGGATTATGTGCCAAGCTCTGTGAGAGGGTGTGCTGCACCCTGCCCATCTCTGTGTTCCTGCCCCTTCCCATTTCTTGCCGACACCGGAAGGAGGTGGACTGCAGAGCAGGTGGGGGAGAAGGGAAGGCGCTGCCAGCAGTGGTCCGCTGAGCGCGGGTGGCTGTCCCGACTGAGTAACAGGCCAGAGCGACAGCTGGGAGGTGGCGAGAGTTAACTGACTTCGTGTTTTTAGTTCTTTTAATTTACTTGGGGATTGCTTATCACAGCTGTTGAAAGCAGAGCGGCCTCAAGGTGAGTCACTTTGGAAGAGGTGTTTGGAATTCGAAACGGTCTAAATTCAGCTTCAGGCATGACCAGAGAGAAAAGACTTCTCCCTCAGTTTATCCACACTGAGCAGAATAGCTTTGGTGGTCACAGCTCCTGAAAGCGTCTTGGCCTCCTGCCCCTCCCCCGTCCCCAACTCCGAGGACACTGAATCCCAGACTCAGAATCAGCTCAGTGAACGGCCCCGTCAGGCCTGCTGCGTCCGGGATCCGAGTGGCTCTGGGCTGTGAGCTGCGGTGGAGGAGCTGGGCACCTGGGAGGAAGCCCTGAGCGCTGCAGCCTTGGTCCTTGCGGAATTCGCAGACCAGCAGCACAGATAAGACAGGGACAGAACCATGTGAGAGTGACAGAGGCAAAGAGCAAGCCTCCTTCCCAGGAGAGGATCCGGGTGAGGCCCCAGCAGGTCCAGGGCCTTTGACTTACTCTGGAAGGGAAGGGCGGGGCCGCTTCAGCAGCGCCAGGCACAGGGCTGGGGCAGGGAACCTCCTGCGGTGCCACCAGGGAGGTCTCTTCCGACCGCGTGACGCCTGTGGCCAAGGTGCAGCAGCGCCAGTAACACTGCGTCCCAGGCTGCGCGTGCGAGCCCTGTAGGGAGCGCGTGGTGTTAGCCCTGCCCTATTTCCCGTGGGTGAGCAAAGGTTCCAGAATTTAAAGAAGTCCCAGACACTCTGGTGTCATTGTGGGTGAGGGGTATCAGCCTGCGTTTCTGATAATTGCACCGGATTCCTTGAGATTCAGGGTAGGTGAGGTACGTCCTCTTCCGGCGGGGCAGGGTGGGGTGGGGTCCCCTGAGCTGTGGGGAAGCTGTCGCCCGGCACTGCGTTTGCTGGGGTCAGACCGCAGGTCAGGCAGAGGCTGCTGGTGTGGGGACCAGGCTGCGAGCTCGCGACTCTGGCGACTCCATTCCCGTGAGACCCGCGCCCAGGCCTGGCTCCGGCCCTTGCGGACACGTGCCTCTGTCCCACGTGACTTGGCCTCCTTGCTGGGATCCCTGGGCGCAGTCGGGCCCTTCGCTCGTGGCTCCCGGCCTTTGTCGCCTCACTTTGCACACACTCCTCGGGGGTTGCCGCCCTCTCCCCGCCGTGCTCCCCAGTGGACGGTGTCTGCGCGGTACGTGCGCGGCCTGGAGTGACGGACGACGCGGTGGAGTCAGCGCAGGGTGGGGACGAGGGCGACACAGGGCCTCGAGCTTCCTCAGAGTGCTGACTCCATGAGATGCGAGTCTCACGGAGAGGCCACCGCGCCTCGCCCCTTCCTTCTGGAGTCGATCGCCGTAGAAGGCTGCACGCTGCGAAACCGGAAGCTGGGGTGTTCCAGCCCTGACTGACTTCCGTAAAGCGCTGCTCCACTCGGAGTTGGTGCTCTGTGTCCAAATTCCAGCCTGCGTAGGTGACCAGAGGAGCAGTGTGGTGTAGCCCGGGCGTGGTTTGTGACGTTGCTTTGAATGGCTCACATTCGGCTGGCGGAGCCGGGCCGAGGCAGAAGTGTGTCCCGAGTGTGTCCCGACGAGTGTGTCCCGACGAGTGTGTCCCGACGCAGCCGCACCAGGGGGAGGGTAGTGGGCGCGTGGATCACGTCCAGCCCAGGAGAGTGCGGGCGGGCGCTGCAGCTCGTAACCGACGGCGACCCTGAGGCGGGCTTTGTGAACAGCGACCTCCTATAACTGACTTGAAGCTAGGGTGTCCCGGGGCCACAGAGCAGGCATCTGCCGTGGGAGCCCAGTTGCTGGGGCGCTGGGCCAGGTCTGGGGAGCAGGAGGCCGGTGCGGTTGCCACCTCATCCCTAAAACCTTCCGTCACGGTCACTGGGTTGGAGAGATCAAAGATGCTGGTGTGGATGTCGCTGTTCTTTTCCTCGTCCACGTCCACCCTTTTGGTGCTGGGGATGGAGCCCAGGCCTGGGATGTGGTGTCAGGCAGGCGCCGAGCTGAGCCCGTGCCGCCGCCGTCTCTACGAAGCCCCTTTCTGCCCCGTGGTGTCGGTGTTTCCGGATCGAGCGCTTGGCCGGGCCAAGGGAGAGCGAGCGGTTGGGGCGGGGGCGGGGCCCCTGCCGGAGGGTGGAGCTGCTGCCCACGGGGCCGGTCCGGTCCGCTCGGGGCGTTGCTGTCATTGCCCCCGCCCCCGCCTGCCATCTCCGCTCCCCCGGAGCTGTGAGATCAGGGGATAATGTTGCTCTTTTACAGATTGTTCATTTTTCTTTAAAGGGCAGATATTTTTTGGTCTTAGAGAAACCTAGGAGATTTGAGTTTCATAAATTGAAACTCTGGAGGTATTCTTAGACTCTTGGCTCCTTTTTATTTCTGTAGAACTTTAAATGATTTTTTAAATCAAATGAATAAACATGCCACGGACTCAAAGTAAATTTCTTATAACTCCCCTAGCCAGTTTTGGTGCTTCCTTTTGGAAAGGTTGTTTCAATTTTAATCTGAAATAGCTCCTCTTTGAAAAATGAAACATTCCTCTATCGGTGACTTAACATTGGCGACAGTGAGTGGGTGTTGTATAAAAACAGGACTTTGAAAATAAATCTGTGACCCATGCCTTTTAAAAGGCAAGTGTCTGTCCTCGGGTTTCTGGAAGGACAAGTCTAGGTTTGGCCTGAGTCTCCATGGATTCCTGGGCAGGGTGTGGGGTTCTCTCTTACCTTTCCCACTGTAAGAGGTAGAAACAAGTAGTATTCACAGTCGTAATTTTTTTTTTTTCTTTTGGTACCGGGGATTGAACTCCAGTCCTTGCTCTTGCACAGCAGGTGGTGAAACCACTGAGCTAAATCCCTGGCCCCCACAGTAGTACTTTTAAGTTGTGAGTTACTGTACAAATATTTCAACCTGGAAACTTTACAGTTTAAGAGTGACATCTGTACCAGCTCTCCTGGTGCCGCGGATTTGGCTTTAGAAGGCCGTGATCTGCAACTTCATATTGTTGTGTAACTACCCACATGCTGTTGCCTTTGCTTACAGCCACAGTGGCTGGCGGCTGGGCCCTGGTCCTTCTAGCATGTGCATTCTGCCTTCACCCTTCTATGTTGTTGGATGCTTAGCTTTTCATTTTATCTTCTGTGCACCTAACTCTTGTGAAAATCTTCATGCATTTAAGGTTTCTCTTCATTTCCATCATTTCTTTGGGATAAATTCCCTTGAATAAGGTCATGAAGTCTACACAATTTTGTGGCTTTTTAATTAAACGGCTTTTGGTGGTGCTGGGGATCGAATCTGGGCTTTCAGCTCATGCTAGGCCAGTGCTCTGCCACTGAGCCAAACCCCAGCTCTGATTCCTGGCTCTCGACACACAGTTCATTTCATTTCCCAACTGGGTCTCTGACAGTTTATTGCACTGCCAGCATATCTCCGAGTGAATTGCTTTCCTATAACTGCGCCTGTACTGAATCTCTTAATTGAAGACAATGTTATAGCTGGAAGTGGTACCTCATTTTAGTTTACATTTATTTCCCCCATGTTTTACCATCTGTCATGTCTTATGTGATAGTTTTTCTTTTTAAATCTCCTCTGCTCTTAAATATGCTTTAGAGTTTATTGAGTCATCTCATTTTCTTGTGGCTCATACAAGGAGAAGTGGCACTCCAGGTTTAAATTTGGAGGGAAGTTATCACTGTAGTGTCTGTGTGGTCACTGTGAATTGATACTCGCGTCTCCACACGGGAGAAAAGCAGCCCGGGCAGCCGCTGCAGCGTTTCCCGACACCCTGGCTGCTCACGGTCCCCGGGTGGCTGTGGCCCCTGTTGCTGTGAGCTGATTACTGCCTCACTCCTGGAGAAAATAATTTCCCTCCCGTGTTCACAGATCCACTTTTGTGGCTGGGTTGGGAGAGTCCGATTCCCACGTAGCGCCCAGGATTTAACCCGGGAGCCCCATTCTGCTGGCTTCTGTGTGGAAAGCAAGCTGTGGATGTCACCACTGCTTCCTTGAGAACATAGCATTTAAAAAGATACAAAGTATCAAGGCAAGGTGGCATTTTGGAAGGAAGGCTACTGCAGACTCTAAACACTGTTCCTTTGTGCCTCCGTCCACCTCAGGCCACAGCCGCCTTCTTCACGTTTAATTGCCATTTTACCTGCAGTCTTAGCATGTCATTAGATCTCAATTGTTCCCCTACATTTTCAGGAGTAACTTTTATCTCCAGAGGTTTCTGTATCTCTCACATATTGTGGGTATAGTTTGAAAACATGGGACGTGGTTCATACACTGTAAAATTCACCTGTGGGAAGCGGACGGGAGTGGATTGGGGTCTGTTCAAGCCATCAGCATTAATTCTGGGATGTTTTTGTCGCCTTCCCCGAGCCTGTACCTTTACTAACCACCCTGTCCTTCCCTCCCCTTAATCGGTGTCTTGTCTCCGGCTCTGTCCTTCTGGTGTTTCACACGCACGGGCTCTGGGCTCCGAGTCTGTTTGGCTTCTGTCTCACGGTGTCAGATTCCCAGGTTCACCGTGTGGCGTGGGTCAGAGCTTTGCTCCTGTTCTCCCTTTCATTCTGTTGTTGTTGTTGTCATTGCATTTAGAGACAGGGTCTCATTATGTAGCCCCTGATGATCTTCCTGCCTCAGCCTCCTGAGCCCTGGGATTATGGACGTGTGTCACCATGTTGGGCTGATATCTGTTTCTTGATTGCTTGTTTTTATTGGTCCCTGGCGAAAGTTCAGGAAGCCACTGACCCTAAGAAAAGTAGCATTGAAGGGTCTTTATTGACATTCCTCCCAGCGGAGACCTGGGAGGGAGTAATGCGTATGAATAAATATGGCACCAGATATAGCTTCTCATTTTCTTCTTTGATCCTTTAAAGAAGTCAGTTTTTTTTGGTACCAGGGATCGAACTCCAGTCCTTGAGCTTGCTAGGCAGGCAGCGAAACCACTGAGCTAAATCCCCAGCCCTAAAGAAGTCAGTTTTATAATACAAATGATGGGACATAATCATTCTAGAAAATTTAAGTGTAGAAGCTTGCAAAGATTCACTTCCTAATCTTGCCACTACAGTGTGAAGGCCGTTACTCGGGCGATCAGAGCTCCAGGCTTTTTCTGTGTGTGTTATGTATGTGAATTCCTAGCTTCGTAAAATATGTATTTCCCATTTGCAATGGATATGGCGAGTACCATTTGAATCTCCTGAAATGTTTTGGTGTCAAATGCTGGATACTTCTTAGTTTTGTTTATTCTTATCATTAAAGATCGTGGACTCCAGGCCAAAGTTGTTGTTTTAAAGGACTCAGTTGATATAAGAAAGAATTTTTAGGCTATTCTGTTAAATTTTCAACCTGCTGGTAAAAACTACTTCACTCAAGCGAAACAAAACAAGAACTGTTTCATCTTGTTTTTACTTTATTATTCAGGGAACTAAGTTACAGTTTTGAAGAAGTCTTTCACTATTTTCGAAAGCAGATTTGTCAAAAAGATAACAGGAAGGCGGCAGCAGCATGAAGAACGTGGTGTGTGGCACTGTGCCTCATTTTCCCTTTTGTTTCCCTTTTGCCGGTGCCCTGGGATCTCGAGACAAGTCCACAGCCACCCCCTAAAAGCCCCTTTCCCCTCTCCGCACCGTTGCGACCATCTTTGCAAGGAAGAAAGCAAAACAGGGACTGCAGCGAAGAGGAAGGGAGGCGAGCGTGAGGCGGGGCCCGGGGGTTTTCTGCTGCCGGGGTGGGTGAGGCTGGAGGGGCCCCGCTGTCTCCCTGGCTCCTTCCTTTCTGTCCTGGTCCGGTCACTCCTGCTGAGCAGCTCCTGTAGATTCAGATCTGAGACGGAGCCAAACCAAACCATGCTCGCTCAGCTGGCGTCTCCGTCCCCGTGCCCCGTGCCCCGTGCCCCGGCCCGCCCCGCCCCGCCCGAGTGGAAAGTTGCGCTGTCTCCATGCCCCCAGCCTGTCTCTCCCCAGGGCTGTCAGACAGATTCGAGGGCTCAGCTCAGCCGTCCCTGTCGCCTGTTGGACAGGGTGGCTCATACCTCCTTCCTGAAGCCCGGCGGCCCAGGTTCTGCCGTCCTGTGGATGTCCTGGTGCTCAGGGGCGTCTGGTCGTGTCCTGCTGGCTCGGGCTCTTTCCTTTCTGTCCCCAGCTGCTCTCACCCAGTCTTGTGGCTTTTTTTTCAATTCTGGGGACCGAACCCAGGGCTTTCCCGGAGTTACATCCCAAGCCTTTTAAACAGTTTTTTATTTTGACATAGGCTCTTGCCAAGGGGGCAGATTGCCCAGGCTGGGCCTGAGCTTGGAGCCCTCCTGCTGCAGCCTCCCTGAGCGCCAAATAACAGGCGTTCACCACTTCGCCCCAGTCTTAGAGCCCCTGTATAATGTCCAGTAGGTGTCTCGAGTTTGAGCTGTGGGCCCTTCGCTACCCTTTTCCTGCCTTCCCCTCTCAGTAAACTGGACCACTCTACCCAGCTGCTTAGGTGCAAATTCACTCCTCCATTCCCAGGCCACACCCCGGCCTTCGGGTGCATCTTCTTGGCTCTGCTGTCAACTCTGACCCCTGTCCCTGTTCCCGTCTGCTTTGCCCCTGCTTTGTGTTCCTCGCCTGTCCTCCTCCATCTCTATGCAGTAGCCAGGGTGATTTTCCAAAATGACACGAGTCGCGTCACTGCTCAGAACCCTTCTGACGTCTTTGTTTGGAATTGAAGTGGAATTCGCCTCCTGTGAAACTGACCACTCTGAGGCACACAGGTCTGCGCGGCTTCATGTGCAGAACGTTTCCGCCTCCAGGACAGCGTGCGATTGGCGGCCACCCTGCCCTCCAGGCCTCAGACAGCGGAGTAGGCCAGCTTCCTAGTGAGCTTGGCCAGCCCAGCAGGGCAGCTGGGCAGGCGAGACCCTGTCCCATCACAGTGCCTGCCTCGTCTGTCCACAGCGCTGGTGACCTCTGCCTGGTGCTCATCTCCTGCTCCTTAGCTGCCTCGTGCCGCATTTCCTTCAAAGGCTGCTCCTGGCCCGGGCGCCTGTGGACTCAGCTTCACCGTCCAGTGGGGCCATCTGGGCTCTGGGTCTGCTGGGCCAGGAGAGAAGGGGCTGGGGAGGAGCCCAGAAGGGCTGTTTATTCCCGGCCTGGGTGCCACACAGTGTTCGGTGCCCACGCTCTGCCAAAGTAGCTTCCACCCCAGGCCTCGCCGAGCGAGCCGTCAGTCATCCCGCAGGAGGAAGGGGGAGCGAGTGGGCTCAGCCGGAAGCGAGAGGACTCACTGGTTTCAGGGGCTGTGTGTGCCAGCACTCAGCAGACCGGAGGGATCGGCGTGCGAGTCCAGCAGGGACGAGGAGTACACCGTACGGCCTGAGTTGGGAGCATGCTTGTCTGGGTGCTGCTGAGGATGTGGCCAGGGCACACGGTGCTGAGTCCAGGCCTGGAGGGAATCAGGCTCGGGTCGGCATCTTGGCTTTGTCATTCAGGGGCTGTGTGGCCTGGGTGGGGAGTGACTGACCTCCCTGTGCTTCGGTGTCTTGCCTGTAAAATGCAGCGCCGTCCGCGGGGTTTACGCGCCCATCCCAGTGCTTGTTGCATACCCGAAAGAACATCCAGCGGGGACAGAACCCTCGATTCCCGGCGCCTGCACTAGCAGGGGACTCGCATCACAAGACCGAGTCCAGCGAGGACAGCGTGTGCCTGCGGTGGAGAAGCGAGGGGCGTGAGGCAGCGTGGCCCGGTGGCAGGAGCTGGGGGCGGCCAGGGAGGACTTGGAGAGGGTGACAGCAACGTGAAGACACGCAGGAAGGGGAAAGGGGCCACCGGCATGCGTCACCGCCACCGTCGCGGGAGGGGAGGGAGGGGCGAGCCTGCCGGGCAGCAGCCTGGGAGCCAGCGTGGGATCCACCCGCCTCCCCGTGTTTCCGGAACTGCAGCGGGGAGGGCGGGGAGCAGGCGCGGGCGTGGCGGGTCACACCGGGCTGTGGCCACCTGGTGAGCACTTCGTAAGGGTGGCTGGGGAGCTGAGGTGACTCCTTGCGCCGGCTTCGGGGCTCAGAGCAGATCCTTGCCGGGACTTGCCGCGAGGGTCGCACTGCGGCTGGCTTTGGCTTGGGACTTCAGGGCCCTCGCTGAGATCGCCAGGAGCTCACCTTCCCCTCGGAGGAGCCACACCGCCCTCCCTCCTGCTTTGTAACTAAGCTTCGACGTCCCCAAGTTGCGGGTTCCCCAGAAGCAGAAGATGGGCCGGTTTTAGAGCTCCGGTGCGGTGTGGGGGAGCTTCCCCAGGCCACCCTGTCCCGAGGTGGGCACACTGGGTGGCAGAGCAGACGCCGGAGAGCGGGACCGTTCCAAGTAGATCTTGGCGCTTCGGCTTTTCCTTCATCTATAAAGAGAAAATGCTGCCCGTCTGTTCACCTGAGAGCCGGGTGAGCTCCAGGCAGCGCGGGAGGACAGCTCCGAAGGTGGGTGCCGCCCTCACTGAGCGGCCTGATTCGGTCGGCACGTTGTGCATTTAGTGCACACACGGCACATCCAGGATTTCTGGAATTTAGTACACACCTTCAGGTCTCAGGTTTACGGTGAAAAAGCTGCTTTTAAGGAGGTTGTGTGAACGGGAGGTGGAGCAGTACTGTGGCAGGCTGGAGTGTAAGTTTCTCACAGGGGAGCTGAGTTTAGTTCCTCTTTATTGTTTCAAGTGCTGTGGCCAGGTTTTCTCTTTTAGGTGTAACAGTTTTAAGTGCTGCCCTGCTGTGGAGGCCTTGCAGCTATGCATCTGTGTGTGTTACAGTTTATCAGAATGTGAAAAACCTGAGATAAAGCGCTAAAGCCTCTCCACTCGCAGTGAAACTTCAGTCCCCCTCCTTCCGTGTTTTATTTATTGGCTTGGCCTTGTCAACTCAACCAGGGTGCCACTGTCCCCAGAGAAGAGCCTCACACTGCCTTCTCAGATGCGGTCAAGCTGGCGGGGAGGTTGGTGTTGGCAGACCCGGGCCCCGGGGCTGTGTGCTGGCCACTGTGGACCGCAGTGAAAGGCAGAGTTCCCCCAGTGTGTGGTGTGAGGTCGTGTGATTTTAGAGACTGTCCTGATTCCTGGGCCGTATCCCGCATATCCCTAGCCTTGAATATCTTTGATTGGAATTATTCCTAGAGGATAAGTTCTCACAGTGGGAGCTATGTTCCAAAGTGTTGTAGTTTACCCTGACACATACTGATTTGAATGGAGTGGATAGTCGTGAAATTGAACGAAATGGGTTACCAGTTTGCATCAGCACCAAAAACTCACTTGGTGCTTCACTTAGTTTCTTCAGCATAGGGAATTACCAAATACTTTTGTAATTTAATAGGTATAAAACTGCAAATTATTATTATTAGTGGTGCTGGGGGTTGAACCTAGGGCCTTGTATTTACTAGGCAAATGCACTACAGCTATGTGCATAGCCTGTAAAATGTGAATTCTTTAGTAGCGGTGTTTTTAAGAGATGGCATCTATTTTTAGGAGGAGATTTTTAATGAGTTTTAATTATCTGCTATCCCAAATATTTATATGAAAGATCAGGTAAGTTTCAACACAATAGGTAATCATTTCTACTTGATGAAATCTTACACTTTAGAGTCAATATTTTTTTGTTTTTTGTTTTGGTACTGGAGATCGAACTCGGGTCCTTGCACTTGTGCAGCAGGCGGTGAAACCGCTGAGCTAAATCCTTGGCCTAGAGTCAGTATTTAATTTGATTAAAACATTTTAGGTTTAAATTTTTTTTGATAGATGACATATACAGATGACATAAAGATTAGATTTCCCCCAAGCCAGTGATGGCAAACCTTCCAGAGCTTTCCATGACAAAAAGCCCACTGCGGCATGCGTGCCACAGGTTCGCCACCACTGCTAGTCTCCTCTTCCCATCCCCTCTTTCAGAAGTGGCTCGTGCACCCCGATGCACCCTTCCAGAAAGGGGTGTGTGTGCACACGCGCACAAGAGAGAGAGAGAGAGGGCACGCGCCAGTGCGTCCGGGTGACTCCGAGAGCGTGGATTAGATGAGTTTGCAGTGTGGTCTGCCCCTGCTGAAACCACTGAGGCGTTTGGTAAACAGAGTCTAAACAGCCGTAGAAGAGGATCGGGCATCAGTCTGGTGTGAAGTGGGGTGACTGGTGCTGGGGTTCCTGGAGCTCTGCAGGGCCCCAGGGAGGGTAGGGACCCCGGGGCCACAGGCTCAGGCCCCTCCCAGCCCCCCACCCCGGCCAGGTGGCCCCACTGCTGGGCAGCCGCGTGTGCTGGCCGCGCTGTGACCGCTGTCTCTGTCTGCAGATGTTCCTGACTGTGTACCTCAGCAACGACGAGCAGCACTTCACGGAGGTGCCCGTCACCCCGGAGACCACGTGCCGTGACCTGGTGGACCTGTGCAAGGAGCCCGGCGAGAGCGAGTGCTACCTGGCCGAGGTGTGGCACGGCTCCGGTACGAGACTCCTGCGCGAGGCTCCGCTGCCTGCTGCCTCCGCGGTCCCAGGAGGGCGGTGCGGGCTCACCCAGAGACCCAGGTCCCCCTCCATCCAGCTGGTCCGGCTGCGCCGAGACGTGTGGGGTCAGAGCAAAGGGCTGGGACGGGCGGCCGAGGGTGCTTGAGTGATCTTGGCGCTGAGGCTTTGCTGGCTGAGAAGCCAGAGGCCTCTGGACGGTCGCGCCTCTCCTTTGGGCTCTGCGGGTTTGAGGCCCCTTGGGACAGGCAGCAGCAGGGCCCACAGCAGGGTCGCAGGCCTTGACGTCATCCCGTCTCTCTGCTGGGGCTAAGACAGCGAAGTTGCTTTCTTGGCCCCCTGGAGTCTGTGGGCGAGATTCTGCTTGTTTCTGCTTTGTTCCAGCACAGCTGGGGCCACCCCTCGGTGTCCTCTGCCTCCTCTGGGGCCAGCTGTGCTGACAGCGGGGACGCATCGGGCTCATGACCTGTGACCTCAGTCTCCACTGTTCCCAGGCGGGACCTTCCCCTCTCTGGTGGCTTCCTGAGGTGGGGCGTCTCTCTCTGTGCCACTCCTTCCCGTTCCCTGATGAGGGACCAGAGAGGCCATTTGCATAAAGAAGCCCGGGTGACCCCGAAACACAGAGCACTGGGTAATTTCCCTTCCTGGCTCAAACTCTTCCACCACACCGAGTCCAGACGCTGGTCTTCAACGGCAGAGTCCTGAGGGTCCCTCACCCTCGATGTCATCAGTGCCATTTCCCCTGCCCCCACCGCACTGGGGGCCGCGCCCCGCTGTTCTCACTGTGGAGCGATGTCCTCGCTCTCTGACCGTGCTGCCCTCTGTCCCCACGGCTGTCCCTCCGGATTTGGTCACTGGATTTCAGCTGAAGTATCTCTGAAGTTGCTTCTCTGTCATGTCCTGCACTCGCCCGCTGCGGAATGCACCCCGCTCTCAGAGCTTTGTGGATGCTCACTGGTTTGTCGCCTTTTTTAATCCCCTCGGCCCCAGACACTGCAGGTGTAAGGGACCCCAGAGAGAGCCCTTACATCCGCTCCATGCTCTGTCCCCAGCTTGGCTGGCCTGATCCTCCTGGGTCTGGTAATTATTTGTGAATGAATAAGTGAAGCCCTGGCTGCTTCTGGTGACCTCCCGTTTAGCAGGTCACCTTGCTGTCCCTCTGCTGAGATCCTCCACGGTCCCCTGTGGGTGTTTCCTTGCCTTCTCTGGGCCGGTGCCTGGGGTTGGGAGCTCCCTGCTGTGCTCTGCTGCCTGGGGAGGGGCCTCTGCCACTGTCCCTGCCCACCCGGGGCCCAGGCTTGCTCCGTTGGTTGCGTCCAGCGGCCCTAGCAGGTTGTGGTGATTCGGTTGACAATGCCTGAATGAGAATTCGAAGGACACAGTGTAGACAGACTGACTCTCTGTCCTGTCCCCTTCCCCTGAGGTCAGTGAATGCCTGTGGTTTTAGCAGACAGCTTTTCACAGCTTTTCTCTGCATTGGTAACTAACTGCAGAAAGATGTTGGTGCGGATTTCTGCTTTTATTTATGTGAGTGCCATGCATGTCAATATCCTGCAATTCACTGTTTTATCTGATTGCTGGGAGACCTTTTCAGATTCCTATGTGTAAATCTATGTGAGCATTTGTAATTATCCCATAATTTTCCATCTTGGCATAAGCTGAATTGAGCTAACCTTTTATTCATGAACACTTAAGTTAATTCTGCTCTCGCTTCCTTAAATGCTGTGCAGACTCCTCCCGAAGGCCTCTTTCTGTCGTGTGCGCGCTCCCTGGGCGAGTGTTCGCACGTTTAGGAATGTGACATGTCTTGCCAGATGCACTGGTCAGCTCATCCACTTTCCATTCATTCCTAAAAGTACAGGGAACCCTCAAGTTATGACCGGCCTGACAGTCAAAAAACTTAGGTTATGACCAGAATTTTAATTTTAACTTACGACCAGAGTCTTGAGTTAGGACCTGAATGCCAGCTGCTTGTGCTTCCAGATGGTCTCAGACACAGATTTAACCCTTAAAGAGCTCTGGAAGGATCACGACAGCATCCTTTCCTGAGTGGGGTTAACTGCAAAATCCTGTGCCAGGGTCTCTCAGTCCTCTGAGGTGTGCCTGTGTGCAGGAGAGAGGCTGTGAAGTCTGTGCAGAGGAACCAAGCCTGCATTGACCACCTCGAGTTACAACCAGCCCTCGGGAATGAGCTGAGTTTGTGAGTCCAGGGTCCGCTGTACCGCCATCGACAGTTGTTAGAGTAGTATTTTGAGTTTTGCTAAACTGGGAGCTAAAGACTGTCTTTGGTTTAAACTTGCATTGTTGTGATTGCACGTGAAGTTGTCCATCTTTTCATTTGCTTATTGGCCATTTAGGGTTACTCTTTTTTGGTTTTTATTTTTATTTTTTAAATTTTTGCTTATTTATTTTTGAGACAGGGTCTCACTATATAGTCAGGCTGGCCTTGAACTCATGGTGATCCTCCTGCCTCAGCCTCCTGAGTGCTGGGATTACGTGTGCATGCCACATGCCTGGTCTATTTTTATATTTATTTATTTATTTTGGGTACCAGGATGGAACTGGGGACCTTGTGCTTGAGAGGCAGGCGGTGGCACCTGAGCTACCTCCCCGGCCCTAGGTCTATTTTTATTTTTTTTCTTGGTTGTATGGATTAATGGGTTTCTCTTTGGCAGATTTGAACTGCACATAGCATACTCTGATCACTTTATCAGCCCATCATGCTCCACGTTTTCAGTTTGTTTCTTTATATCCTTCACCCTTACTTCCTTCAGCTGTTGCCTTCCTCTTAATTGTTAGGCATCTGGAAAGCTGTATTTTGGATCCCAGGCCTTCTGTGTGTTGTGTGCCGAAGTCCTTTTTTACACCAAGGCTGTCAGTGTCTTCTGGTGTTTCATTGGCAAGTGTCAGAGCTTCTCCTCCCTCCTCCGTCCACTCACATTTGCCTAGAGAGCATTCCTTGGGCACCTATGTTGTGCTGGATTTTGAGGGGCACAGAGACGAAAGTGTCCTGCTTTCAGGGGTCTTGAGCCAGTCCAGCCGACGCGTCCGCCCCTCGAGGTGGTGGCGGTCGCAGGTGGATGTGCAGGACAGCAGTGAGTGAGGCAGTGGGGGTGCAGTCACCCTTGGGGATGCCAGGGCCAGGACCGGGTGGCTGGAGCTTCGAGGGCCTCTGAAGCTCTCTTGGTGAGCCAGGCCAGCTCAGGATCATCTGTCACCAGGTGCTGCCTGGTGCCTGTGGATGGACCCTGTCCCGGGGGCAGCCAGCGGGCCGGGAGTTGCTGCGTGTCCTTTATTTCCTCTTAGCTGTGGGAACCTGGAGGTTAACTTCATTTTCTCTCTCTCTGTCTCTCTAAGACAGGAGGGAGGCTGTCAGCTTGATTGACTTTGGGAGCCACCCCAGGGACTAGGGGAACACACTTCTGACTGTCACAGGGGTCACAGCGGGGTGACCGTGGGGTCTGTATCTGGCCCCTGCACCCTTCCTCTCTGGCACTGTTTCCCTGCTCTGCCTGGTGGCTGCCGTGAACTCAGCAGTTTGGCTTCTCTGTGATGTTCTTGCCTTGAAGCCAGCCACGCACTTCATGCACTGAACCCTCTGAGACTGTGAGCTAAGTTAACCCATCCTCCTTTCAGTCGTGGGGTTCAGGCATCGAGGCCTAGTGGAGGGAAAGCTGACTGATACTATGGACTTGGCAGGTTGCCAAGTCTGTTTTTGCATTCCCTCCTGTCTCAGGCTCCAGGTAGCTGGGGTTCTAGGTGTGCACTGTGCCCGGCTTTACTTTGTCTCTTTTGAGGACAGTGTGCGCGTGCCTGTGTTTGTCATGGAGGATCCTCTCGGCATTTCCATGGCGTGGGTCTCTCAGACACCGATGCTTTCCTTGGGAGGGCCTGAGGGTTCTGTAGCTCACAGAGAGGTTGGCAGCTCCCTGGGTGTGGGCCTGAGGGCCAAGCCCTGTGGTTCCCAGCAGGCAAGTGAGATCCAGGGGGCAGAACCGGCTCTGTCCACGTCATGTATTTAAGGTGCTGAGATGGTGTTTTTGGTCAGGCGTATTGAAGAATGACACTGTCGCCATTTGGAGTTTGACTGCCTTCTCAAATAGTGTTTAGTTTTCACATCCAGCTTCCTTTCCTGAGATTGGGAGATTTTTTGAAGACTCAAGATAACACAGCGCCCCCTGCCTCCAAAGTCCTGACAGTTGGCTGTCCCCTGGAGAGATGCTTTCCTGGGAGTCAGTCAGAAAAGAGCCTTTTGTTTAGAAGTAGTTAAGTGTGACTTTTTAGCATTGTTTACCAAGTTGTAAGTTAGAAACAGCCTGTATTAAAAACTGACTAAAAGTAACAGTAGGACATTTAGAAAATTGCTGGTTATATTTTCTTTGGATATTTGTGGAGTCGTAGCATGTTAGCATCAGGAGGGACCTGCTAGCATGGTGGATTTTCACAGAAACCTTTGAAGCCCACAGAACTCAAATGACAAGGAAGGTGCATGCTGGATTAGATGCCAGGCCCCTTCCTCTGTCTAGAACTCGACCCCGCTTCATGCTGGTTCTGTGTAGAAATCAGGGGCTCTTCCTTTCCTGAGTTCTTTCCCTGCAAGAAAAAAATTGTCAAGATGTGAAGTATCTCCTCTGTCCATGATGTGTAATTTGCATCAGGACTAGGTGGTAAATGTGTTCATCTTTTTCCTGCAGATAATATGATTTCTCATTTCTTGCAGAGCGCCCAGTTGCTGATAATGAACGAATGTTCGATGTTCTTCAGCGACTGGGAAGCCAGCGCAGTGAAGTTCGTTTCTTCCTCCGCCACGAGCGCCCGCCCGGCAGAGATGTAGGTGGGTGGTCGGTTGTCTGTGGCTCAGGACCGGTGTCTGAGGCCTTCCTTTGTGGCTGGCGCCTGGGGAGAGGAGAGCAGGCATCAGGAGGAACAGGAACCTGAGGGGTGGAGGACAGGCTCGGGACAGGCCTGGCCTTCACACAGAGGAGTGAGCGTGGGGTCTGCCGCAGGGTTTTTTGGGGCGGGAGGACTGGAGGTTGAAGCTCTAAGAGTGGGTGGGCCCTGGGAGCTCCACACCCCTACAAGAGTGCCCTAGACCCCAGGGGCTCGGACCCTGGACCAGGGCGAAGGCACGGGCGCCTGCGGCTCGCTGTGTACACTCTGAGGCTGTGAGTCGAGGGGTTCCCTGCACACGGTGTCTTCCCAGGGTGGGGTGGACCCCACTGAAAGGACTGCCGTGGAGGAGGGTGCAGGCCAGCGTCCGTGGAGGAGGGTGCTTCCTGGGAAGCCGGAGGCTGCTGGGGTGAGAGAGCCGAGACTGGGCTCAGGGTCCTGCGGAGCTCCGAGGACACCGCGAGACGGGCGTTGGTCTCCGCAGTGCTCGGGGCCCAGGCAGCCAGGGCGGAGGAGACACAGGGTGACCCGAGGCTGGGCGCTGGGGGACAGCTCAGCGGAAGTCCCGGGACAGGGAGGGATGGTGTTGACGAGGCGGTGGCCCTGCTGGGTAGGAAGAGGGTCGCTGGAGGGGCCGGGGGACAGGAGGCGGCGACAGGTGCAGAGAGGAAACCCGTCAGGAAACAGAGCGCTCCAGTCTCCAGTGTCAGGAGTGTGTGAGATGGCTGGGTTGCTGGGGCTGCCCGGCCGCAGGACCCAGGGGAGGACTCGGAGGTGCTGCCTGCATCTCAGTGGCAGAGTGTGGATGGCAGGAGGGAGGTCGAAGGTGATGCAGGGCCACGGAACTGGATGTGGCCCGAGGTCCCAGGGACTCTGCCCCAGCGGAGACAGGATTCCTGGGGGTTTCTGGGACCCTTGGAGTTTTAAAACCCAAAGCCGAGGGCAGTTGTCCGGGAGGCAGCATGTGGGTGGCAGATGGGACAGAGGGGCCTCACACTCCGCTTCCCTCCTGTTCTGGTCGCACCCCTGACCTTAGAAATGGGGCCTCCCTGGGTCTCCCGACTCCCACCCTGGCCAGCCCGGCAGCCGAGTCCCGAGGGCAGCCGTTGGTGCCTGTGTCTGCAGTCATGCTTTGATGTTCGTGCGTTTTCCCCCAGGCCGCCTTCTTTACACTCTGAAGTTGGTGTTAGCACCTGAGTTTGCTCTTTATTCACATTGTGGTGCAGCCCTTTCTTGTTAATGAGCTGAGTTTCACCTGCCCGTCACCCCATTTGAGTGTCTCGCTGCATAGTGCAGTAAATTATGAACAAATCTCCCAGCCTTGTGCTGTGAGTCTCAGTGTCTGAAACGTGAGAAGTGTGACGTGACAACACAGGGGCCATTGTCACGCTCCACAAGAAGCCAGCGCTACACAGTGTTAGACAGGCAGGGGCAGAGCAGGGTTGCTGTCCCTCTCCCACAGGACGGGGGCCACTGCACCATGAGCCCAGGCTTCAGGACTGAGGGTCAGGAGAAGGAGCCCTGGCCTCTGTCCAGTTTAACTGGGACTATGACCTACACGTGCATGAAATTATTTTTGGTGCTCTTGCTTTTTGTTATAATTACATAACTGATTGTATTAAGGAGAAACTAGGCAAGTGTTTTCTCTTTCAGGCAGCAAAGAAACAAGTGTTTTCTTTTTTCTTGCAGAAATATTATGACCGATTACCTGAGGTATCTTGCTAGAGGATTCAGGAAGATCTAAATTTTTTGCTTTATGCGATGATCTCTCAGTATAGCGTTAGCTGGGCTTGAACACAGAATCCTTCCTGCCTCAGCTTCCTGAGTTGCTGGGCTTATAGGTGCACACCACTGGGGCCAGTTTGAGCAGTATTTTCTTTTCTTTTATTTATACTGGGAATTGAACCAATGGTGTTCTACACTGAGCTATGTCCCAGCCCTTTTTATTTTGAGGCAGGATCCTAAATTGCCCAGGCTGGGTTTGAACTTGTGATTCTCCTGGCTGGGCCTCCTCAGTAGCTGAGCATCATACCCGTGTAGTATTTTTAAAATGGGGGCTGGGAGGCTGGTGTGGTGGGGTACTCCAGTAATCTCAGCACTCGGGAGGCTGAGGCAGGGGGATCACATAAGTTCGAAGCCACTCTGGGCTACCTAGTGATCAAGGCCAGCCTGAACTACAGAATAAGATCCTGTCTCAAAAGAACAAACAAATCAAACTAACAAATAATAATTACAGGCTGGGCTGCAGCTCCGTGTTGGAGCCCTTACCTAGCATGTGTGAAGTCCTAGCTTCAATCCCCAGTATTGCAAAAAATAAAAATGAAAATAAAAATACAGCTGGGGATTTAGCTCAGTGGTTCTGCCGCCTGCCTCACAAGCACAAGGACCTGAGTTCAATGCCCCATACCAAAAAAACTTGAGTGAAAAATACATTTACACTGTGACAGTTGTGTATAATTGTTCATCCGGCTTTGAGGAGAGACATGCTTATTTATTGATTTATTGACATGAGGATTCGTAGAGTGCTTCCTCGCAGATACTCCTGGCATTTGACTCAGAGCATCTGTAGTCTAAAATTTCTTAGGAGGTAGTTTAATAAGTTTTATGATTTCTGGGGTTAAAAGTATGAAATTTACTTTAGAAGTTCCTTTTGTTGATACTATATAATATGTTAGGTTAAATTAATACTCTACCTTTTCTGATGCATTAAATGGGACTGAGAGACTCATGTTTTGGCTTGGAAGCTTATTTTTAGCCAAAAAATCAGAATGCTCAGTGCTTTTCAGGTAGTGTTTTCCTAGAGAGAGATGAAAAAGCTTCACTTAAATGAGGAAGTTCTTCAGAGTGTATCTGACCACAGAATGCCTCAATAAACCAAAACACCACTTGTTCTGCTAATTGCTTCCTTTGTGTACAAGTTGCAGACAATCATAACTGAGTACAAGGATGGATTGACTTAATTTCAGTTATTTCTTTTTGTGAAGCTCTCTCTGGTTTCACTTCTAAGTAGCTCAGAACTGGGAGGACACTGTAAGCAAACAGTGTGAGATCCCCATAGCCAGCGTGCGTATTTTGTGGGTCTCCACTGTTGCTAGGTGACCCGGCCAGGCAGTGTGGAGGTCCTGTTGCCAGCCACTCCTCATTCTGTACCCTAACCCGTCACTGTTAGGAAGTCAAATGCCTGTTCACTCCGAGCCCAGCGCAGTCAGGGCAGAATTGGCACATGAGTAGTACAGGCTCTCGGCTCTCGGGTTAATGTCTGCTTTTAAATTTTGTGCTTAGTGAGTGGCCTGAGGTCTCAGGATCCAAGTCTGAGAAGAAATGGTGTGAAAGTCCCTGGAGAACACCGGAGAAAGGAGAATGGAGTGAGTGTCCGTTTTCATCTATACCCATTGCTTGGTAGCCTTACGTCTCATTCACTGTTACTTTGTATCAGTGGGTTGAGGATGGCCCCCCAAGGGTATTTTAAAAACTGTCACTTTTAATGATATCCACATGGGTGACAAGTGTAAGAATTTAGATGCTGAATGTATCACAAATCCAGAACAAAATGTGTTAAACAAGGTTTTTTTTGTTTTGTTCTGTTTTTAGTGATTTTATTTGCTGTATAGTCACTTGCATGAAGTAAGTGGCTAAATAATCTAGTTTTGAGACAGGATCTCACTGTGTGGCCCAGCCTGGCCTCGGGCTCTAAGGCAGCGGTGGCCAGCCGGCCTGGTTGCGTGCAGCAGGCTGAGCGTGGTGCTGTGTGTCCTGGCTGCAGGTGAGCAGTCCCCGCATGGACCCGACACTGGCTGAGCTCCAGGAAATGGCGTCTCGCCAGCAGCAGCAGATCGAGGCCCAGCAGCAGATGCTGGCCGCCAAGGTAGCGTCTGCTCCCAGAGACCCCTGGCTCCATTGCCATCACCCTGGTCCTGACTCTGCCTCTCCCACATAGGAGTGGCTGTCATCAGCCCCTCAGCTCGCTTACCTTGGCGCTTGCTTCCTGTTGCCCCAGCATCATGCTGGGTGCTTGTATCCTCCCACTTGTTTAAGGTCTTCCTGACCCATTCATTTTGGAGGGTGGTAGTGCAGCACCTTGCATGTTGCCCGGGCTGGCCTCAGACTCCTGGCTCAGTGCTCCGCCTGCCTCAGCCCTCTGAGTAGCTGGGAGTGCTGCAGTGGCCAGCCTGACCTGCTGTGATCCCCGTGATGCTGCCTTGAACAAGGAAGACCCTTACAAGAATCCTCTCCGTTACTCAGTGCCAGCTCACGGCTTCTCTTGGAGCCTGGGCAGAGTCTGATCTCAGCCAGCTGCCAGCAGCCCGTGCTCCTCCACGGGCTGTGCGTGTGGCCACAGGATGCGGATCCGCGCTGCCTCGGTGGCAGCTGCTGGCTCGGTCTGTGAGGAGCAGGAGCAGCGTAGCCATGCACTGGCCACATGCGGGGACCTGGCCTGGGCCGCATGTGCCACCACCAGTCCAGTGACTATTGTCCCTTGCCGCTGGGGTGGACTCCCGGTGGCTCCCCATGGCCGAGGATTCCTCGTGGCCATTGGCGCACACGCGGCAGCTGTCCACACAGGACTTCCCAGGGCCTGCGCCTGTCCTGTTTGGGACGCCAGGCACCATCCTTGGCACAGCGGTGCCTGTGTGTGCTGGTCAGCTTGCTGTCTTGTTGACAGGCGCCTTCTGACTCTGCAGGTGGAGCGGCCTTGGGCCGAGCAGCAGGGCTGAGCTCCCACGGGAAGGGGCGGCAGAATGGGTTTCTGCCCTCAGGGTCCCTGTGGCGAAACTGCTTCTCTGTAACTTGAGTTATGTGCACTGAGAAGCTCCCCGCTGGTTATGGGTTTTGGACTCTGTTCCTCAGTTACGGTTAACAATTTTAGTGTCAAAGCTTCCATTGCACACTGCAGTGTCTGACGGTGTGGTTGAGTGTAGACCGTGCAGAGCTACATTTCCGCCTCACTGAACCCTTGCTGCAGGGGCCATGCTTCCTCCTGGTCACCCTGCTGTGTGGTGCAGAGGCGTAGACTGTGTGCATCGTAAGGCTATGGGGTGAACCTGCTCTCGTGGGTCATGCGTGGGTGAGCTTGGGTTTGAATCTGGGTTTGAATCCCCACCCTGCACTCTTCACTGCTTCCCACGCTGCCTCCCACTGCACAGGAGCTCCGCTCTAAAGTAGCACAGTTTAGGAAAACCAGTCCAGGGGTCGCTGCCGGCTGCCCTGTGTGAACCACTGGGCATCCTGAGTCTTCTCCCCAGTAGCAGCTGTGTGTAGCCAGCTCCCAGCACGACAGAGTGGAAGGGGTCCTGGGGCCGTGCATGGGGTGTGGGTAGGTCACTGTGAGGGCCTGGGACACCTGTCCGAAGTGACCTGCCAGGAACTGCTTTTTCCATTTTTGTCTTTAGGAACAGCGCTTAAAATTTTTGAAGCAACAAGATCAGCGTCAGCAGCAACAGGCCGCCGAGCAGGAGAGGCTCAAGAGGCTGAGAGAACTGGCTGAGAGCCAGGAAGCCAAGCTGAAGAAAGTGCGGGCACTCAAGGGCCATGTGGAGCAGAAGCGGCTGAGCAACGGGAAGCTTGGTGCGCTGTGCCTGTGGGCTGCGTGGACCTGGGTTGTGTGATTGAGGGCTGCGTGGACCTGGGCTGTGTGGACCTGGGCTGCGTGGATGTGGGGCTGTTGGGAGGTTATGTGAGTTTGTGCTCAGAAGATGAGTCTTTGTGGATGACTTTGAAAGGAATTTTTAGAAAAAGCATAATCACTGCAGTTTTGATGTTGCAAGTTCCTCTCAGTTGAATTTGGCACTGAATGTTTTAGCAGGGTTTTAAAATTAACCCTGGAAAGTGTCCTTTATTTTTCGTGAATTAATTTTTGACTAAGAATTTGATAAAGCTAAAGATTTTACTCATATAGTACTTCCATCTATTACAATACCATTTAAATTAGGATTTTAGCAATTCAGTAGTTCTGTCCACCATTATACAATTGAGAATAAAAGTTTGTTTCCAAAATGTGGAGTTTAATGTTTCATAACATTCATTGTGTAAATCCAGCAGCTTCTACAGATGTTTGCACCGACCTTTGGAGATGTCTGTGTCCCTTTCAGTTGCTTCTGAAAGGCTGAGGGTGGTTCCTTGCCCCTCTGAAAGCTTTCTCCACTTTTCAGGAGAGCCTGGTTGCCAGGAAGGAGGCCATTCCTACTTTTCTTTTCTGTTCTCTCTCTCCTTCCAGTGGAGGAAATTGAGCAGATGAATAGTTTGTTCCAGCAGAAGCAGAGGGAGCTAGTCCTGGCCGTGTCGAAAGTAGAGGAACTCACGAGGCAGCTGGAGATGCTGAAGAACGGCAGGATCGATGGCCAGCATGACAGCCAGTCCGCGGTGGCCGAGCTGGACTGGCTGTACAAGGAGCTGCAGGTGGGCGGAGCTGCCCGGGAGCCTGGGGTGGCAGGGGCGCCCGGCGGTAGCTGCCTTTCCCGGGGGCGTGGGGGCGGGTGGCAGTGCCCCAAAGAGCCGAAATAACCTTGGTGGCACCTCAGGCCAGAAGCATGGTCACCGCAGCCAGCACGGACGTCCCTTAATTGTAACCCAGGAGCACACTGTGTATCCGGGCCTCGCAGTTTTAGAAATTGCACAGCAGTCAGCCACGTGATTGCTGCCAGGGAGAAGTTCCTCTTCCGCTCCTTCCTTAGTCCTGCCCCGCTCCTTCTGCAGCTGAGGAACAAGCTGAACCAGGAGCAGAACACCAGGCTGCAGCAGCAGAGGGAGTGTCTGAACAAGCGCAACTCTGAGGTGGCCGTCATGGACCGGCGTGTCAGTGAGCTCCGTGACCGGCTGTGGAAGAAGAAGGCGGCACTGCAGCAGAAGGAGAACCTGCCGGTGAGGGGTGAGGGGTGAGGGGTGAGGGGAGGGCCCGGGGTGGGGCAGCCCTCCCGTCGTGTCCCTCGGACGCGTCCCCCAGTGCTGCCTGCCCTCACGGTTCGCCCTGGCGTGGGGTGCGGGCCAGGGCTCATCGCAGGGCTCACAGGGCTCCCTGAAGACCCTGAGAAGACTCCCAGCCCTTTCCTTCCCCCACCCAGTGCGACGGAGCGCCAGCACTCAGAGCCCCGGGCCCCGGGCCCTTTCCCCCAGGTTCTGTCCGATGGGAATCTCACCCAGCTGCCCGTGTCCGCTCCGAGCCGAGTGGCTGCCGTGGGTCCGTACATCCAGTCCTCCACCATGCCGCGGCTGCCCCCGAGGCCGGAGCTGCTGGTGAAGCCAGCGCTGCCTGAGGGTCCCCTGGCCCTGCAGGCCTCCGAGGTGAAGATTCAGACGCTGCCCAACACGAGGACCACTGCGGCCCCTCTGCAGGCCAAAGGTGACAGCGCTGTGTTTCCCAGCGTGGGACCCACTGTGTTTTTCAGTTAAAAACAAAGCTTGCCTGCCTGTTCTCATTCATGTTTAAAATCTAAAATTCCCTTCGTATTGTCTGATAAGTTTTTTTAAAAACCCTGAGTAATATAAATTCTGTTCAGAAAATGAAATTTAATATTTTGCAAATCTAAAAATGGCTTTAGAAAGTTCCATCTTGTTAGGAAATTGTGGTCTGAGCTTGAGAACCTTTGTTTTTGTATAAAAACACCGCTTGTAAATGTTGGTGCTGTCTGTGCAGACGGGAGGTGAGTCTGCTCTGTTGACGACTGGTATTGAGTGCTCCGGTGTGCTTCTGCATTAGAATTTTAGGCTGACAGTTTTTAGCACAGAGGTAAACAGTTGGAAGATTTGGGGTGTGAATAACAAGGCTGCGTGCACGTGCAGTATCTGCGTTCTGTGCAGTCCAGATGCACGGGAGGCGCAGCCAGGGTGTAGTTTGGAAGGAGCGGTTGGAGGGCAGGAGCAGGAAGCGCCGGGCACAGGGCTCCTCTCACTGTTACCGCTCAGAGCCCCGGAGAAGGACGTAATCGCCAGCTTTGTCACTTCGAGCACTGTCGCTGTCATACGCAGAGGATAGCTAACCTCACTGTGCTGTGAAGGAATAGAGCCCAGTCCTCTGGCTGTGTTTATTCTAGAAAGACAAAATAAAAGCCGTGACATGTGAAATTTCAATAGAAAAAGCCTGAAAACGCTGATGTGTGAAAGGCGGAGGTCGCTGTCGGGGCTGAAGGTCCAGATGGGTTTGGAGTGCACAGAGGCCTTTTGTTGGCTGAGAGCGCCCGGGTACAGTGCTCTGTGCATCTCAGAGGCTCTGCCCCGTATGGCAATGTGCCATGGTCGCCAGTGAGGTTTTCTTACCGAGAGGAGGAGGCGCCCTCCCTGGCTCAAGCAGACATTTCATTTGCTGGGGCTGAAGTAAGTGGAGTACGGTGGGAGAATGCTGAATGAGAAATACGAAGTCTGCCGTGGTGCGGACTAAATGTGTTTCCCGGGAGTCTGAGTGAGTTTGGAGCTGTCCTTAGAGAGCAAGGCATCGGCAGTGAGGGAAGCACTGGCAGCGTCGTGGGGTGGGTGCCGCGTTACAGGGTGTAGCTGCCTTTTCTCTGGACCCTAGGGCCGAGAGTCCCTCCCGCTGGGCCTGACTGGGCCCCTTCGAGTGCGGACCTTTGCTCCCTGCCTCAGAGTGCTAGGCCTGCGCCAGACCAAGGTGAGGTTGTCCACTGCTCCTGGATGCTGTGTCCTGACCATCAGAAGGGTACTGTGTCTTCTCTCCTACGTTCCCAGTGTGTGACACCTGGGAACGGTTTCTAAGGGCATTTAGTCGGCTACAGACACCTTCACTTAGCCGAGGTTGAGGTACGCTCACAGCAGTGTTACCAGCTGAGCACCAACCCGAAGCCCTTCGCGGGGGCGGAGCTTAGCGTAAGGAGAAGGTGTCCTACACGAGGAGGAGCAGCTTCGTTCCAGACAGCATGAATGGCAGTGTGGTTTTCCGTCCTCAGTTGCCGATGGGGAGGTTCCGCTGAGGGAAAAGGAGAAGAAAGTCCGGCCCTTCTCCATGCTTGATGCGGTGGACCAGGGGGCGGCCCCGCCCGGCTTCGGCATGCTGCGGAAGAACCAGAGCAGCGAGGACATCCTGCGCGATGCTCAGGTAGGGGCACCAGGGTCTCGCCTGTGCGGGTGATTCTGTGCTGTGGGGTGGAGCTATGTGGGAGGGCAGAAGACAGTGGCCTGGGGCGTCAAGGGATGCTCCAGCCCCCCAATCCTGACTCCTCCTGCGTGAGTAGATCCAGCCCTCTCTGTTGGAGAATGGCCGGCGTGTTTGTGTCTGGCCCGTCTTTTGTGTGATTCTCTTCAAGAGTATAGGTGCATGGAAGAACAAAGTATCTGCGCTGTTCAGGTGTCTTCTTTCTTTGAGGTCTGGGGCTGAGCTTATGTCACATGGGCTGGGAAGCTGACCTCAGAGAAGCAGGTTGTGGCGACCGCTCCGGCTAGCTGGGTCTGACCCAGGGTGGCCCAGGTGGCCTGAGGTTCTGGTAAATAAGGGCATGCCGAGGGGCGGTCTGTGAACATGGAAGTCAGCAGGTGAAAGTGTTCAGGTGGCACTTTCATGGCCGAAACAGGAGGAGGCCGTCACGGGGAGGACTCTGCTGTATCACTGAAGGCCCGGTTAGGATGATTCAGTAAAGATGTAGAAATGTGGAGCTGATGTTTCACTGTGTGCACTAATGTTGGTGAAATCAGGTTACCTCCAGCAGCCTGGTTACCTGGTGTAGTTTTCTCACTGGCTCTGTGTGTCTTTTACAGGCTGCAAATAAGAACGTGGCTAAAGTGCCGCCTCCTGTTCCTACAAAACCAAAACAGATGAACTTGCCTTATTTTGGACAAGCCAGCCCATCACCATCTGACACCAAGCCGGAGGGAGGCCCACAGCAGTTGCCTGAAGCCTCGACAGCCGTGGGCCCTAAGCCCAAGGCAGCAGGGCCACAGCCGAGGGCGGCGTTGTCCCCCAGCGTGCCTTCAGGTGGCCACGACCATGGCCTGTCTGCAGGGCCTAAGCAGGAGAGCCCACCCGCTGCTGCGGTCCGGCCCTTCACGCCCCAGCCTCCCAAAGATGCCGCCCTCCCCGCCTTCAGGAAGCCCCAGACAGTGGCTGCCAGCTCCATCTACTCCATGTACACGCAGCACCAGGCGCCGGGGAAGAGCTTCCAGCAGGCCGTGCAGAGCGTGCTGACCAAGGCACAGCCCCGCGGCCCGCACTTCGCAAGCGGTGAGGCCTTGGGCGGAGGCTGTGCCCGAGCCACCCGCTGGGGGACAGCAGGGGACCTGGCCCTCCACGCCGTCGTCTCCGGGCTCTCGGTGGCCCTGGTCAGGAGAGGCGGCACCGTGCAGAAGGCCAGCCCCGGTGTGACTGTAGCCCACTGTGCTTTCTCCCATCTCGCCTTGTGTCGTTGGAAGGAGGGTGCCCATGCTGAGATTCAGGCTGGTCGCACGACAGGGTCACCAGCTTTCCTTGGTTCTGGGTGCTTTTTCACATTTTGATATTTTTAATTTGGAAGCCACAGCCAGATTTCTCATAGAAACAACATTTTCTTTCTTACGGGTTCATAAGGTAGTGGTCCATGGGACAATTTCAGTTCTGTAGTTCTGTTAGGGGAGGTGAGTCTAAGAAACTGGTTGGCCTGAGGGACACTGAAGTGACCTGGAAGTTAAAGGAGGCTTGGCTACTGTTGACCCTTTCTGCTTCTGGCTCCTTTTGCTTACGCAACCCTAACCCGGATTTTGTTGTGATTTTTCTTTTCCCATCAGTGTATGGCAAGCCTGTGCTTGTGGCGGCCCAGAACCTGCAGCAGCAGCCGCCCGAGAGCGCGCACTGCAGCAGCCAGGGCCCGCCGGGCAGCCCGGAGCCCGACTCAGAGCCCGCGTCCTCGGCCCCCGAGAGCCAGGAGAACGAGCGCACCCCGCGCCCGCTCAGCCCCACCAAGCTGCTGCCTTTCCTGTCCAACCCCTACCGGAACCAGAGCGACGCCGACCTGGAGGCCCTGCGCAAGAAGCTCTCCAACGCCCCCCGGCCGCTGAAGAAGCGCAGCTCCATCACGGAGCCAGAGGGGCCCAGTGGGCCCAACATCCAGAAGCTGCTGTACCAGAGGACCACGCTGGCCGCCATGGAGACCATCTCAGTGCCCGCCCACCCCGGCAAGGCATCTGCACCTGCTGGCCCGGAGAGCCCAGGAGAGGTCCCCAACCCCTACTTACCCGTGGAGCCCGAGGAGGAGGCCGCCCGCGCCCCCGTGCCACTGTCCCCAGAGGATGCGGGGCCCCCTGGCGACGGGCCCGCTCCTTCCCCAGACCCGGACTCTGTGCCCGAATGGGCAGCGGACGGCAGCCCAGGCGCCCAGGGTGCCCAGGAGGAGCCCCATGCAGAGCGCCCCCCCCCGCCGGAGGTGTACCTGGAGGAGTACCCCCCGTACCCCCCGCCGCCCTACCCGTCCGGGGACCCCGAGGGGCCTGGAGAGGACCCCGCCAGCATGCGCCCCCCTGAGGTCACCGGGCAGGGCGCCCTGCCCCCTGTGAGTACTGCGTGGTCTCGGCCACTGTGTCGCCTTCACCTTGTCTCTTCCGCGGTCTCAAGTCCTCTCCAGTTTGCCTGTCACTGCATCTTTTCCCTTGGCATAGGGTAGGGTGGATCTCAGTGACAAAGTGCAGTATGTGCGGAAGCAGGGTGCGGTGCTGCACGCCTGTAATGGTAGCACCCAGGAGGCTGAGATGGGAGGATTGTGAGTTCAAGACCAGCCTGGGCTGTAGAGCGAGATCCTGTCTCAGAAAACACGGCTAAATCAAAGCAAAACACAGCACATTTAGCGTAAGAAACATTTCGGCGTTGTCAGAAAGACCTCGCTTCTTGTGGAGGGCCGTGTCTGCTGTTCTCACCCCTGTGGGCATCGCGGTGTTTGCTGTTTCCTCTCTAGCTCATGCCTGCTGCTGGGGCAGCCGAGCCAGACCGGAGCTTGAACACTGCCTGGCTCTGTGAACTCGGCCGGTGGCCAGACTTCTCCAGGAGCCACTGCCACTCCTTTTCAAACTTCTTTTTTCTAGCCGTGAATTTTAAAAATGATTTTAGATTTTTGTGCAGCGCTGGGGATGGAACCTAGGGGATAAGCCAGCAAGCGCTATTTCTGAGCCGCATTCCCACCCAGGACATTTATTTTTAGTGAAATTCGGTGATTTCTCAGCCCGACAGCAGTGCAGTCAGCAGGGGTGGATGAAGTGGGGCAGGTGGGGGACACTGCTGCCCGTGCCCGCTTCGGCAGAGTCTAAGGTTTCTGGCAACACCGAGCTCTGGGCTGCTTTGCTTCTAACTGGAAGCTGCTCCGGGAGCCGCTGTGTAGGCCCCGGCCGCCTCGGAGCCCTTCCAGGGAGCAAATGCTTGCTCAGAAGTGCATCTTGTCACTGTGAAGTAGATGAGAGAATAGGAGCTCCAGAATGTGCCCAGCAGTCTGTTTTAATTGGAAGTCGTTTTGTTTCCATAAGTGCAGGAGTGCAGAGCTGTGAGCTTGAGACGTGCTTAAAAGCAAGGTAGCATCTCGCTATTTACTTGTCCTTTTGGTCCCCGAGACCATCCTTTGGCTGGGACAGTGTTTGGAGATGATGGTTGTCTGTAGTTAACTTGTTAGTCACAGCAAACATCTGCGTATAGCTGTTAGGTGGTAAATATTTCAGACTGAAGAAAAGTGTTTCAAAATGAGGCTGGCACTGTTTAAACAACTCTGTCCCCCCGGGGACAAGGCACAATTCTGTGGATTTGAGTTTTAAATGTGAGAGAGAAGAAAGCAGCTCAAGCAATATTGGAAAAGCAGCCCACACTGCAGCTGGTGGTTGTGTCAAGAAAATTCACACTCTGAGGAGGAGAAAGGAGCCAGGGTTTGTGAAATGACTGCCCTTTCTTTTGAAGGCTGTGCTGTGCTCTTCCGGGAAAGTGAGCCGCCCTTCCTCCGGTGCCGGCCGGGTGGCAGCTCACTTGCGCTGCACCATGGATGGGCCTGGCCTGGCCTGGCCCTCTAGGGGACGCTGTCCAGCCCTTCACAGAAGGACCGCACGGGCACTGCACGCCCGTGAGATGTACCGTTTGCCACTCTGTGTTTTCAGAACTCTGTGGTTTTCTACATCTGCTGTAAAATGAGAGAGAAGTGTGTGTGTTGTATATTTAGGGAACTTTCCTGGTTCTTTGGATGTGTTTAAGACATCTTTTATAGGATTTAAATCCAGTTTTTCAAATTCTTGGGGTGTGGGTGTATGTGTGTGTACCTGGGGATTGAACCCACGGTCTCACACATGCTAGGCAGCTGCTGAGCTGCTCCCCAGCCCTGTTTTATTTTGCCTTTAAGATGGTCTCCCTAAATTGCCCAGACTGGCCTCCTCCTCACAATGCTCCTGCCTCAGTCTCCCGTGTAGCTAGGATTATAGGCATGCGGCGTCGTGCCCGGTGCCTTTTGAAAAGCCTGACTTAGTAAAACATTTTAAGCCTAGTGAGACCCTCTCCGTGGTACACTGCTAATAGTAACCATCTTTGTCATTGGCCTCTCTGTGTGCTCGGCCTGAGCGGGCATTCTGGTTTGGCCGGGGCCGGGGAAGCGCGTCAGAGGAGCAGTCACGTGGCTTTGAGTCCCAGCTCCGCCGCCCACTGGCCATGTGCCGTAGTTCCCTTCTGTGTGCACTGGGGACAGTGGGGCTTTTGTGAGACCAGATGAATGGTCGTTTGTCCCCGTGAGCCTGTGTGACTGAACCACACAGACCAGGCTTGGCCAGTGGGGTGAGTGGCAAGGCTGGCCCCTGCCACCCAGGTCACCGTGCTCCCACCTGCCCTGGCACCAGGTGCTCCAGGGCCTGGCCTGCTCTCAGCCACACTGGAGTGGTGTGAATGCTCGTCAAGCTGCGCGTTGTGATCGGTATGCTTTTCTGGATGGTGCTGTCTGCAATATAATGTGCTGTATCACGTATTTTTAAAGTTCCCTTCGCTGCTGTAGCTGGACTCCTCCCCTTTTGTTTTTTGGCTTCATTTTCCATGCATTCCTGCCGCAGGGCAAAAGGACAAACTTGCGTAAGACAGGCTCGGAGCGGATTGCCCATGGAATGAGGGTCAAGTTCAACCCTCTGGCCTTGCTTCTGGATTCCTCGTTGGAGGGAGAATTCGACCTCGTGCAGAGAATCATTTATGAGGTATGACCATAACTAGTGCATTTCTCAAAGTAACCTTGTGGATTTTGCTTTAAAGCTCAAATTAGAAAGTTACTCTAGAGAAGTTATATTTTTAAATTTCTTTTTTAGGGTTGTGGAGTGGAGGAGCTTTGGAGCACACGCTAAAATAGGCTCCACTGTTTTAAAAGTGTGACTAAAATTTCGATGATGTAGGTGTTCACCCTCACTTGGTGTCTTCTGGAGGACTCCTCGTGCCTGGGGAGATTTTGACTCAAAATCGCTCACGTGTACACTTGTACAGCATTGGATCACAGACGTGGCTCTTACTTTTCAGAAGGCTACTGTGGAAAATATTTTTAGTTACCTTTTTTCTTTTCCATAGCAAATGTAACTTCTACTTAGAAACTAGTTGATGGTAGGAAGTTGGGAGGATAAACAAGAATGACATCCACTTTTAAAAAATCCTTTTTATGAGTACCTGCTTAATGTAGCTGTTGTGGCTGCCTAATTGCCAGGATTGTTCTTGGTGTAGCTTTCCTGGCTCCTGTAGGTTTTCACTGTGATTGTGGAAGCTGTTACAAAGGTCTACTTCTGTGCCCTCCTCTCCGAGGAGTCCATGGGTGGGGACAGTCAAGGGTTAGGAAGTTAAGTGTGCCCCCTCGCTGTTCCAGGTGGAGGACCCCAGCCTGCCAAATGACGAGGGCATCACTGCACTGCACAACGCCGTGTGCGCGGGACACACAGAGATCGTGAAGTTCCTGGTGCAGTTTGGGGTGAATGTGAACGCTGCCGACAGCGACGGGTGGTACGGGTCTCGCCCAGCCAGTGGGAGGGTGGCTGTGCTGTTGGAAGGCAGCAGGGTCCCCCAGTCCTCCAGCCTCCATGCCCAGCTGGAGAGCAGTGGCCTCAGGTTCTGAGGAATTAATGTGTCCGCATGGAGCAGCCGTCTGCTTGGACACAAGCGAATAGGAGACCATTGGTCAGCGACTACGACAGTGACGGAGTGATTAATGGGCAGGCAGCATATGCAGCATGGATAAACTGGGCAGGAGGGTCTGCATCCTGGTGGGACAGCATGCCAGCCGTGATTCCATCACAGCCTCAGAACAGGTGCAGTTCAGCCCTCATGGAGTGTTGACTTCTGGAATTCTCGAGTTAGAATTTTCAGGCTACTTTTGGGCCTGGGCAACTGTTAAGAAAGTTGTAATCCTATACTATAGTATTTCTGTTAACGTGTCTTTCCTTTTAGTATTGTGTTCGCTCTTTGTAGCTATGACAAAACAGCTGAGAGCAGTGACTTGAAGGACAGGTCTGTTTGGCTCACCATTTCAGAGGCGTCTGTCCCTGCCAGTGGCCCCACTGCAGTAGGCCTGAGGCAAGAGAGGACGTGGCTGGGGCAGCAGAGAGCAGGAGCCCTGGGCTGGGGACAGAACACCCCTCCCAGAGGTGGCCCATTACCCCTCCCTCCCGCTAAGCCCCAACTCCTAGTGTTTCTGCCCCTCCCACTCACACCGCCAGGTGGTGACATTTCAGGTACAAACATAGCAAGTGTCAGAAGTAAGGCTACAGCATCAGATCCTAACACGCACGTGTGTAAATTGCACGCACAGCCTACACACTTGTGAATTCCTCATGTTCTTCCACTGAGGGGCCATGCATGCATTTATCATGGCTGTTTCCCTCTCATTAGTCATTTAGATGGGTTTTCTTTTTTGATGTTGTTTTTATTGTAAATAATAGTTGGAGAAGCTTTTTGATTGCATTTTTTAAAAAGATCACATTTATAAAAGTAATGTATGCCCACAGTGGAAAATGTACACAATAGAGAAATGAGAAGGTGAAAATGAGTCCTGGCATCTCCACAACCTGGAAGTAAACACTGCTAATATTTCACTCCCTTCACATCCTTTTTTTTGTGTGCTTGAAATTGAACCCAGGGCCTTATCATGGCCCTGCCACTGAGCCACCCCTCAGCTCTCAGCTGATTTTTTGTGCAGCTAAGATCATTTCTTGTGTGTGTGTGTGTGTGTGTAACTCTTTAGCCAAAATAAACCCCTACTATATCATCATGCCCTGTTTCCCTAACATGGGGAGTTTTGGTTGTGTATAATTCTTCACTATTAAAAACAATATAGTGGGCCGGGGATTTAGCTCAGTGGTTCCGGTGCCTGCCTCGCAAGCACAAGGTCACGAGTTCGATCCCCGGTACCCCCCCCCCACCAAAAAAACCAACAACATGGTGAAAACTCTGGTAATGTTCACCAGACCATCAGCAGCTCCTGGAATGGGGTGGGGGAGTTCCTTTCTCTTTTGAAGACCCTGCTCATCAGTTACCTAAAACAGGTGGAAGTGTGTGTTTTATAGTTACTGTTCTGGTCTGAATTGAATTGACAAATCGTTTCAATTAAAATTTAATTTGAGTTCTAAAAAATACTGTAAAGACAGCTTACATGTGTGTCTTAGTTACTTTTCTCTCATTGAGGAGACAAAATATCCGATACCCAAATTTTAAGGAGGAAAAGTTTATTTGGCTCACAGTTCGCAGAGGTTTCAGTCTGCAGTTGGCTGGCATGAAGGCAGGGTGGCACACGGCAGAGGGGCATCGCAGCAGAATCAGTTCGTTGCAGACAGAAGACACCAAAAGCAAGCCAGGGACCTTCATAGCATCTCCCTGCCCTTTTTGTCTTACCCAGACTACCTAGGGTGGGTGGCGCTCACACCCTGATCCCAGGGCCCTTAGGCCTAGCATGGCTCCGTGCATGAATCAGTCACACGCTCCAGACCCAGTGCCCTCTGAAAAGCCCTGCCTATGACTGCATGAGGCTTGAGGGACATCTGGCCTCAGCCGTAGCAGCAGCAGGGACCTGGATCCCTGCAGAGTAGGCGAGAGAGGATGTTCAAGGCTGTACTTCATGGGATTGCAGCGCCTGGATTAGGCTGTTAGGGCCCTGACCCTGGCAGCAGTGACTGGGCTGGGGAGTAGGACGTGGAGCTAAACCTGCTTTGTCTCCCCTTCTTGGATTGCGTCCCCCCTCTCGCCTGCAGGACCCCGCTGCACTGTGCAGCCTCGTGCAACAACGTGCAGGTCTGCAAGTTCCTGGTGGAGTGCGGGGCGGCCGTGTTCGCCATGACCTACAGCGACATGCAGACGGCGGCCGACAAGTGCGAGGAGATGGAGGAGGGCTACGCACAGTGCTCGCAGTTCCTCTACGGTACGTGCTGCTGGCCCTCCGGCTCCAGGGCCTCTCGCTGGGCATCGTCCTGGGCGCCGTCCTGGGCGCTGAACGCAGGGCCCCGATGATCACCTGGTCCTGCTTGGACCCGGGAGGCCCCTGTGGGCTCTGGCTGCGGGTGCTGGACGCTTGCAGTAGGTAAGTGGACCCCACTCCAGAACACGGCGTGGGTATGGGAAGCCAGACGGCCCAAGTCCCACGCAGGTCAGCCCGAGTGTGAGATCAAAGGTGGCGCCTGTTTAGGAGCTTTCTCTTCTTATCTCTTGAGTTTGAGTTGATTCTGACTGCTAAAGTCAGATCTGTCCCTACAGAAAACCAGAGTTGAAGTTTTAGGTGGGTACATGCTAGTTTCTGTTTTTACTTAGGGAAAGTTCTTTTACTTACAAGGCTTAGAAGTTGCAGTTACTTGTTTTCTTCAGCTTGCCTTGAGAGGCGTTGGAGGGTGGCCAGGAGCTGCACCTCCAGTTTCCAGAGCTCCTGTGCAGCTGGCAGGGGACTCTGCCCGTGCCCCGGGCCTGGCCTGGGCTGTGCCTGTATCTAGGCTGCCGTAGGTAGAGGGAGGCAGCAGGGGCTCCACCGGGTTCCCCTCTGCGCTCAGCTGGCCGTGTCGGGTTGTGGGAGCTGGGGACTGAATCCAGGGACTCCTGTGTGCACCTGCCCTCTTCTGTTTCCGTACTTGCTCTGCTTGCTGCCAGCAAGTGGGGCTGCTGGGCCCCTCTCGGGCTGCATTTGCTCGCGGTGCTCTCTGGCCTTGGTGGATTTGGGATGGTGCCATGCTGCCTTCAGTTTGCATTTCCGAACTTTCTAATGATATTAGGCTTGTTTTTAGGCCCCTCCGAAATTCTGTAAAAAAACTAATTGGCAGCCCTTTGGTTGGCAAGTAGCAAAGTAATGAGAAATTTTTTCCATTCTTAGTGGGTTTTTTGGAAACTAGGACTTAAGCTGTTATTTTGAGCATAGTAAAGTGTCCAGAATTTCTTCCCTAGCTGTTTCTGCATTCCCAACCCAAACAGATAGGAGTCTGGCCAGTTCTGAAACTTCGTGGAATCATACCTGTATCGTGATTTTTATTCTGTCATGCTTTACAATCTTATTTTAGCAGGAAAGTTGGAAATGTATGCAACCCTTTAGATTGGTAAAGCTTTCTTTTGGTGAAGAGCAGTTTCATTTCTTGTTTCATTTTTGCCGAGAGAGAGAGAGAGAGAGAGAGAGAGAGAGAGAGAGAGAGAGAGGCAGGCAGACAGACGGCGGAGACGGAGGGAGCAAGAGAAGAGATATGAACAAAAGGGTTCATCATATGAACAGTTTAGGATCAGTGCTTCGATGCTCATGTAAGCTGAGTTTCTATTCAAGAGCAAGCAGGTATTTTCCTGGCTTTTTCCCCTGGCTTTTAAAGACATAAGGTGAAAATACTAATAGTTACTAATCTCCGAGTCACGAAAAACCTGCTACCCAATTCCTTTCCTTCCCTCTCCCTTTCCTGGAGGCCTGGCAGCTGGTGACTTTTCTCTTTCACAAGTGTGGCCCTCTAGGAAGGGCAGGTATAAATGGAGAGATAACACTGAAAGCTAATGTACAGATTGATCACTCACTATCATGAAAAGTGGGCTTTTGAAGATTTTTTTTCCTCTTCAGTTTTGGGAGTTCAACATCTTTTAAATTCTGATTTTTATTATTTTAGAGTAGAATGTATGTAAACTTTTTTATGGTATCTAAACTGAGTTTCTACACTCTGACGTGCTTGATAGTGTTTGCTTTCCCCTTTGGGTTTCAGTCGAGACCCCTTGAATAGATGCACAACATCTGATCTTTTCTTTCTGTCTTTTGTGGGTTTGGGTAAAGAATGATGTTTTCAGAATCCTTTGACATTTAGAAGTGGGCTGAGTTGACAAGTGGTCATTTATTCTCATAATATCCTCGACTTGGGCCACTGGCAAAAGTTTAGTTCCTGGGCTGGCAAAAGGTTTTGTTCTTGGAGTGAGGCCAGCCCTGCAAGGTGCTGTGTCGGGCGAGACAGCACGTCTTAGTGCATCTCCTGTGTGCTCCGTGGTCCTGCCTTCCTCCCTCACCAGAAATGGAGCCCTGCACATTGACTGCAGCAGTTCCGATGTCCCCGAGTCCCAGGTCCCCAGTGACGTCTCCTCTGCTGTCCCTCTGTCACGTCTCCAGGGGTTCAGGAGAAGATGGGGATCATGAACAAGGGAGTCATCTACGCGCTCTGGGACTACGAGCCTCAGAACACGGACGAGCTGCCCATGAAGGAAGGGGACTGCATGACCATCGTCCGCCGCGAGGACGAGGATGAGATCGAGTGGTGGTGGGCACGGCTGAGCGACCAGGAGGGTTACGTCCCACGCAACCTGCTGGGCGTGAGTGACCTGCCGTGCGCACTTGCGTGTGTGTGTGTGGGGGGGGCTTGGCGAGGTCCGTGTGTCGTGCACCCAGTGCAGCCCTCTTCCCTGTTATGAGGAAGGAGTTGTAAGCTTTCGGCATCTCAGCTGTAGACATTTCTGGTGGTCTTGTGCTCAGAGTAGAATAGCGTGTTTGAAGACTGTTAAGCACTGTCATAGACCCAGCGTCTCTTTCGGGGCTCTGTGTGCGCAGGGGCATGTTGGGTGTGAAGGAGAGAGATGAGGAGGGTGGCTGAGAGACTGCCGTGGAGGCTGCCGGAGAACGCACCGCAAAGCCTGCTCTCGGGGAGGAAGGCCAAGGAGGGTTGGTCAGGCCTCGGGCCGTGCAGCATGGGGTCCCGCGCTGCAGCTCCCGGGTGGCTCCAGCCAGGTCCTGGCTGGTGGATTCCACCCACCGTCCCCTCCTGACCTCCCTCTCCATGGCCACACAGGGGGCGTCACTCTCAGTGACTGTCACTGTCCCCAGGGCAGCCTTTGTTCTGACACGTGCCTCTGGGGTTTGTGTCCATGTGAGTGATCCCAGCGTGCAGTTTAAAGAGTAATTGAGTTAAAAACATGACTGTGAGGAGCTTGTAAAGAAAGCTTCTGTTACCCAGGAGAGTGTACATTGACGGGGTCTCTGGAAAAGCTGCTGCTGGTTAGAGCCTGGTGCTTTGATTTTGAAATCACCAAGTAGGAATTCCATCTACCTACGTTGGGTAATATATACATGTGACAGTGAGTCAAGCTGATTAGCACACATTACCTCAGTTAACATTCTTATGGTGAGAATGAAATCCATTTCCTTAGCAGTTTTCAAGGACATTATACACTGTCACTAATGGAGATGACCAAAATACACGATAGACCTCTTGGGTTTGTGTAGTGTCGCTGAGGGCCAGCCGGCTGCTGGCCTGGAAGACTCGCTGAGCACGGAAGCAGTGGTCAGAGGCTGTGTCCAGGGGCTCCGGAGTTGGCAGACCGACGGAAGCTTGCATTTCAGCCCCGAGTTTAGATGCTCTCAGTCCTTTCCTGGTCAGGAGTGTGGGCCAGAAGTGTGCTCTACACGGTTCTGTTTTCTTTTGATGTTTAAAGAAATGAAGTCCATAAATGGTGTTCTGGGGCAGAGTCTTTAGCTGTTGAGTCTAGAACCTTGTATTGGCCCAATAGCTCTGCTATTTGTTGGTCCCGGTTAGTTTCCCAGCTGGGCCGGAAGTTGACTGTCTCTCGGAGAGGGGGAAGGGCTCTGTTTGGTTGCAGGGCAGTGCTCTGGGCTGGCTCTGGGTCCATGGCCTCTGCTCTCGGCGCTGCTGTGGGAAGGCTGAGCCACAGGCTCACTTCGCCTGCACTGAGGCCGGGCCTTTTGTCCCAGCCTGGATCCACCGCCCGGGTTCAGCCCGCTGGGGACTCTTCAGCTCTGCCGCGCTGTCTGTACGGTCGCTGGAGCGTGGAGCGTGTTCAGCCACCTCAGCCTCGCTGCAGGGACTGGATGCAGGCTGGGGCTCTGGCCAGTGCCGCCCAGCCTGGCATGGGCGCTTGTGTTGCGGCTCCACAGGCGCCTTGCGGTCAGGCTCTGGTGACCTTGTGCCAGGCACAAGGCAGAGTGCTTTTCTTTTTTTTTTTTTTTGGTTCTAACCACAAGGTTTTTTTTTTTTAATGAATTTTATTGGTACATTTTAGGTATACAATGTAATGACATTCATCATTGGAAATTTACACCTTTATGTAATCTGTCGGGCTTATTTTTTCCCCATTCCCCTGCCCTCCCTTCAACCGCTCCATCCCTCCCTATTTACAAAGACTTTGTTTTTTCCATTTTCTCATATGAATTCCATTCCCTTCTTTCCTCTCCCCTACCGCTCCCACTTCCTTCCCCTTTGCCCCTTTTCTTCCTATTTCACATTACCTATTATATATTTAGTCCTTATTTACACTTTCAGTTTCTCACGCCAGAGAAACTATTCGGTATCTTCACATGTGTGTCCTATTTATTTCACTTAAGAGTATTGCCTCAATGTGCATCCATTTAGCTATAAATGTCTCTAATTTCTAATTTTTTATGGCTGAGTAGTACTCCGTTTTATAAAAAAAAACACACACATTTTCTTTGTCCAGTCTCTAGTTGATGGGCATTTGGGCTGTTTCCAAGTTTTAGCTATTACAAACTGTGCTGCTATGAACATGGGTGCACATATATCGCTGTGGTATGATTCTTTTAATTCTTTGGGGAAGCTCCCCAGCAGGGGAATAGCTGGGTCAAATGGGACCTCCAGTCCTAGTTCTTTGAGGTAGCTCCATATGGATTTCCACAGTGGTTGCACAGAGTGCTTTTCTTATTTCGATTTCCTTCCTGTTGCATTTGTTCCCCTCCTTCTAGTGTCTCATGAAATTTTGTCACAACTCCCACCACTGCATAGTTGTCAATACTTTTTAAAACTCTTACAGCTGTACCCGAGAATCAAACCAAGACAAAGAAGCTTGGCCTGAAACTCCACAGAATTTTACCTAATGAAGACTTACTCTGTGCTGTCACTAAGAAGAGATAATCCACTTGTTCTGGGCAAAACTTTCACAAGACTTATTTTAATGACAGCGTAGCTTGAGAGCAGTGAAGAATGTGCTCTGGAGAAAATGAAGGATGGAAGAGCCCCCTCAGCGGAGGACGCTCGGCCTCAGCACGGGGATGGCTCGGGCAGCAGGCCGCACCAGCTGGGGACAAGACCAGAAGACACACCCCACAGGTCCTGTTTCCTGCAAGAAATGGGGCCGCTGTGCTGCATCTGCCTCCTGTCCTGTGGCGGGCGCCCCCAGCCTGCCCTGAACCCGCCTTCTGCGGAAAGGACCAGCGCTGCCCCCACTTCCCTGGCACCAGCAGCCTGGGCTCCGAGGCCGCACACTTGAATCTGGTCAGCAGAGAGCCCAGCTTGGCCGTCCGTGAGCAGCAATAACTGTGTTGTAGGAGTCCTTGTAGCACCTTCAGGATTATACGTATATTTGGAATATTGAAACTAAGCCACACTACCTAATCTAAACTAGATTTAAATCTTGTTTTCAGGCCAAATTTGAATCTATATTTATTATCTTTTGTATCTTGGAAATTAGAGACTTGTTATAGACTTACCTTTAATACTTCTCAAGATCATAGCTGACTTTTAAAATAATTGTAATAAAATTAAGCTTTTTGATTCTAGGCTGTTCACTGGTTTTCATTTTTGGTGCCACGGACAGCCTTGTTTAAATGCAGTTGCAGGTACTGCAGTACGGTTTCCTCAGTGGCCCTGTGATGAGGGAAGGGAGCATTGCTCTGGGTATGGAACCCTGTTTCGCAGGCCATGGTTTGGGGTGGGCCTTGTGTAGACAAAGACTGGTGACAGAAGCCTGTACCTTTTCCCGAGTGCCCGAGGATCCTCACTGCTGCTTCGGGAGCTGCATGCATTGATTGCACTGATGTATCACCCAGCTCATTCACTGTCCCAGAACCCATCTTGCCTGGTACAGCGATAATGTAACAGGGGATATGATGAAGAAGTCACTTTTTCTTACACATTTTTGAGTCACTACAATCTAATGAGGACCGTAGATGAAAGGACATAACCAGACCCAGTGACTTGTGAGCTCAGCCACAGGAGAAACGTGGAGGCAGGTTCTCCAGACATCTCCCCTCCAGCCCTGGCCTTGGGGTCTTTGCCCCATGTGATCCATATGGTGATGGACTCTCCGGGCTCAGCCCGAGGCCCCAGGGTAATCCCGAGCTTCAGAGGCAGGAGGAAGTGGATGCTGAGGGCAGACAGGAGGTAGAGCAAGGGCTGCACCTGCATCGCTCCTCTAGGGGTGGTGGTGGTGGTCAGGAGCCAGGAACTGGAGCAGAGGAGAAGCCGCGGCAGGAAGCAGGGCCTCGGTCTTGTGGCCTGGGGGAGCTGAGCCTGCAGCCCAGGAGCAGTCTCCTGACTGCGGGACCACGGGATGGCTGGACTCCAGGCTGCGTGCCGAGCCACTCAGCTTGTGTGGACTCTGGGTGGGCCATGGCCGTCACCTACCCAGCCACCCTGCTGGGATGCGGGGCTCCCCGGCCAGGGTTCCCCATGTGCAGCCTTTGATGCCTTCTCCTCTGTTCCTGAGTTGCTGAGGGAGACCTGCTGAGTGGATGCATATGGCTTCTCGGCAAACTAACGATCTGCATGAAAAATCAGGGAGCCGTGGTGATCTCAGTTACATTCCTGAACCTGAAACGTAGAACACCATTTGTTTCCTTTTTTTTTGTTTTTTACTTCATTTGTTACCCAGGTATCCTAATCAAAGCTCCTTGTAGGAATATTTAAAAGTATAGAAGGGTGGGAAGGGGCACTCTAGAAGCGCTGTTAACCCACGGGCGTATTTCTTTGGAGCCTTTATGATTCTCTTGCATAACTGAGAACGCACTGTTACAGCTGTCCTGTCTCCTGGACTTCGTGATAAGCACAAGTCCGGTGTCTGCCTTGGACACGTGGTTTAGTGGTCTTCGGTCCTGGCAGAGCATAATTGGCGCTGGGGTCATGTTTTTATGGCAGCAGCTTTTAGGTTTTGCCAAATAGGAGTGAAGCAGCAGGGACATGGGCCGCACTCCACGGGAGCATGGAGGCTTGGGGTTCGCTGGGTTCTAAGGGAGGGGGTGTCTGAGGAGCTGTAACTGCCTCAGGTGGGTTGGGGGAGTCACATGGAAGGAGCCAGAGTTAGCAAGAGAAGCTGCCTATGGGAAGGGGCCGGGGAGTGCAGACCGCCAGGACACCGACCCAACGAGCCAATCCTCGCTCAGGACGCATGACGGCCAGTGGCGTCCAAGGCAGGAGGTGGACAGAACTGGGCGCCAGGTGACCGCTGGTGGGGAGCAGCAGCTTCGGACATCTGATCAGCTGCTGCCACATGGTGCCAGGTGACAGGGGCCACAAGAAGCAGAGGCCTCCCTGTAGGCGGGTGGAGGGGCAGGAGGGACCCTTGGGTGTGGCGAGTGTGGGCGTGGATGCCGGGAGGGGTGGGCTGGGAGGGGTGGGCCGGGGCCCAAGGTGGGCCGAGTGGGAGCGAGGCCAGTGTGGCTGGGGCTGCAGGCTCAGGCCGGGCACCTCCTGCGAGGCAGGCGTCGCCACGCTTTGTATTAGGAGGGAAGCCAGGACCCGGGTCCCTTCCCTCCCCAACTGCTTCTCGGTCTCTTCTGTTTGCTGGTAGAAACTCAGACCTATTTCTTTTTTCAACCTCTTTCATCTTCTCAGGTCTGAAACAGCAAAGTCCTTGCCAGGTCAGTGCCGCAGTCGGCACTGGTCTGGCATCTCCACGGGCCCTTCTGCCCCTGGGCCCAGTCGCTGGCCCGTCCTCAGCCACCCTCTGGCCCCAGACCACTAGGCTGTGTCCTGCTGCCCACCGTTGGTCACCGCACACCCAGCCTCCCCTCCCGGCCTCAGGCTCCACGTGGCAAGCAGAGCAGGAAGCGCCCTGTAATCTGCAGGAAGAACTGGACAGTGTCTCCCCATCCGGTCCCCTGGCATCTCCCGATCTGATGACTCCTTGGGACTAGGGGGAGACACTGCTCCCTGGTGGGTCCCTGCCCAGCTCCCGAGTCCCTAACGGACCGAGAAGCAGCATTCTGCCCTCAAACTGTGTCCGACGTCTGATCAAAGGCGGGAAGCTTCCTCTTCCCGATGCGGGAATTTAGAGCCAAACGAGCCATCCACGCGCCCCTCAGGTGCCCCCGGGAAGAAAACACAGCGCGGGGTGGCTGTCGGGCAACTTTATTCAACAGGACACTAGGAAGGTGGTAAGGCAAAGGCAATGGTTTTAGTGTCGCAGCTTTCCCGAGGTCAGGCCCAGAAGCAGCTGCGGCGTCTCCTCCAGGACGCCCTCCCTCACCACGGAAAGGCACCGAGGACACGGAGTGCAGGGCCAGGGTCTTAGCCCTCAGTTTGCAACCAGCCTGGCTTGGCCACAGCCTCACCAGTCACGTGTGGGACCCTGTGAAGGCCCAGGGCTGAGCGTGTACAAGGACCTGAGCACTGTGCACGCCCTGCTCTCATCTGGCCCATGAGGAGGGCGCTTTCCTCCCCGGGCTCTCGCTGCCTTGCTGAGGCCACTGTCCCTGGGCTGCTGGGGGGGGGGACGCCGCCACCTCTGCATTTTAAAACTCAGCATCCCCGTTACTCTTGGCCTGGAGACTGATTTAAAACACCTCCTTGTCCTCCTGGTTTAGCATTGCTCCGAACAGGAAAGCGTGTCAAAGTGAAAAGTGGGTACTGTTTGTAGGTGTAGGCTTCCTTTGGGCTTGTCAGGGGTTAAGCAGCTCACTTGCACTTGTATAATAAGCAAACCTTCTACCTGGCGGGACAGTCTGGCTATCTCAGACAGTGTTCTCAGCTACAGTCCTCAGTGTACGTAATGTCCCACAGTGCCAAGCCCGATCCAGGTGTCCAGACTCAGTCCCTGGGTCCTCTGTAGCCTCCAGGCGTGCTGGGCACCCCTTCACAGCACCGAGAAACACAGCCACTGCAGAGGAGAGCACGGTCGTGTCAGCCACTGCTTCGGACCCTTCCGGCACCTTCGGATTACTCTGGGAGACCGAGGGTTGTGCCAGGGCTGAGTGCTAACACGCCTTCCTCAGCTGCCTGCTGTGTGGAGCTTCTACCCGCTCAGCAGCGCTTGGGTCAGGAGGTCCCCGCAGGGCCCCAGTACACATGGGAGCTTGCAGTCCCACCCTTGACCAGGTCTGTGACACACCCGGGGCAGGGCCTCTGCAGAGCCCCTGGGGTGGAACCCAGGGCTGCACTGGGAAATCACAGCACACTGTGGGTGCCCTTGCCGGACCCGTCAGTGCCTCAGTGGAAGGGAGGAAGGAGCGGGCCGGGGCAAGGTAGGACAAGGCACCCCAGTCGCCACGGCTGCCTGACTTGCCAACGCTGGGACTGTGGGCGTGGGGACAGGTTGCCCGGGCAATGCCAGTGAGGCGGGATTTCCCACTGGGTAAAGGTGTTTCCAAAGCGCTGCAGCAGGGAGACAGCTGCATGTGTTGGCGCCTTCCAGAGGGCAGAATGGAAGGAAAGGGCCGGCCCCTAGCCCTGTGCTCCTTGCCTGCCGGCTCCCGTGTCACACGGGGTCAGGACAGGGACTCTGCCGCCCACCCAACACTGGCCTTGTCCTGCCCCCTCCCTGTGGCCTGTGTGTGGTGTCCACAGCACCGGCCTCCCACAGCTGGCCTCTCCCTTTCATCCAGGGGCCTTCTGTCGACAGATGGCACAAGTCTTGTGTGACAGTGGGTGCCAGCTAATGTGGATGAGTGAGCCCTGAGGGGTGGGCACTACTGGGGCATCACTGAGTGGCAAACATATTTACTGCCGAGTTTTATTTTAAAGGGGGTTGGGAGGCAAGAAAGCAGTTTCCTGAAGTATCCTAAGTGGGTCTGTTTGAGGAGCACCAGGCCTTCCCAAGACTCACTCAAGGGTCGTCCAGGGCCCCTCAGCCCCTCCTGCACCACTGGCCACCTGTGCTACACTCGGGGAGGAGGCCGGGTGTCCTTAGCCTCGAGAGTCGGGACAGCGATGAGCCGCCCGCCGGCCTGTTCCCGGGAGACCACCAGGCTTGAGAGCACCGCTGCAGAAAGTGGGTCCTCGAGCCGCACCGAGAGCCCCGGACCCTCCCTCGTGACAGCTGTGACTTACAGAGATGAGGTCCAGCTGGATGGTCCCGGTGTCCTCGGGGTCCAGCTGCTTGAATATCTCTGTGGGGAGAAGGGAGCCGTGCGAGGGCTGAGAGCACTGCGGCCGGCCCGTCAGTCACTGAGGAGGCCACGGCCCGGCCGGTCCTCCCTCCACCCCGGTGGGCGCGGCTCCTGCAGCCGCCTCTGGTCAGGTGACCGTGCCCAGGGACGGCAGCTCTGCAGAGCAGGACCCTGGTGCTCCCCAGGCAGCACGTACTGAACAGCGTCTCCAGCCGAACCAGGCACCGGACGAAGTTGTCAAAGTCGATGATGAGCTCGTCGTCTGCAAACCGGGCAACGATGACTTGGTGCAGTTCGCAAGGAAGCCTGAACCCTGCGGGCGGGCAAGTGACCAACACTGCCGGGGAAGGCCTGCCACCTGCAGCGCCCACAGCGGCCCCGACCTGTGCTGTGCTAAGGCTGGCATTGCTTCCCAAAGCCGGTGCTGCTGCTGCTGGTCCTGGCAGCTAGCGCCGCCCTCCCTTCTGGTCTTGCTGCCTCACATCAGCCACGCGCCCCTTCGTGTTGAGCTTGGAATCACCGTGGAGCCACTTTCTCTCTGGTGGAGAAGCCTAATGCCCACTTCCTCTTTCCACACTGAGGTGGAGCGCGGAGCCTGCCCTGCTTCTGGCAGCTCCCCAGGTCAGGCCTGAGGTCTGGCAGTGGCTGTGAGCGGGTGTGCAGTGCCCCTGATGGGAAGGAGCCCTCTGCCAGCCCGCACCCCTGAGAAAGTGGGCAGGGCTGCTGAGCCTGGTGGCAGGAGGTGCCCTTCCCACCCCGGGCTGCCCTCGGGGTTGCTGTTGGGGTGCTGTGTCCCCGCGAACAGCACTCGGCATTGTCCTGTTGTCCCCGAGCACACCAGTCTCCGCTGCTGGGCACCACGCTTTACCTACAGCTGGGCCTGGGAAGGGCTGGGCTGGGAGGCTGTTCCCGCCTGGCCAGCTCTGCAGGAAAGGGGGTGTGGGCGTCTGCTGTGGCCCGCACTGCCCGTGCTCCCCGCCAGGCCGGGACTCTGATGCCAGCACACGTGGAGGCAGGGCTGCCACAGTGTTGTAAGGCCAGCTGGCCGTGTGGCCACAGTGGGCCGGGTGTTCGTGTGGGGAGCAGCAGCAACCGAGCAGAGCCAGTGCCCAGCATCGACAGGCAAGACACAGGACGGGGACAGGGTTACCTGCTTCCTCCAGCGCCCTCCGCATCTCGTAGGAGTTCATGGTGCCAGACCTGTCTATGTCGATCTCCCGGTAAATTTTCTGGAACACACAAGAGGGTTGGGAAAATCATGACCTGAAGCAAAGCAGACTGGTTCCGGCTGCGCCCCATTGGCCTGGCCGTGGCGCCCAGGTCCCTGCTCACGTAGCCACGGGCACTGGCCGTCCCTTCCACGTGTGGCTGTCACAGGGCTGCCGGCTGCCATGGGCCCATTCAGGGCCTTAGCGGGGCTGGTACTTGAGCTGTTGCAGTCTGAAGGCCCAGGGACCCAGGGTCCCTTTTCAGGAAGCCCTTGGAGGTGGCTCCTGGCACCCACTTCACCGGGGAGTGCAGGGCGTGGGCCCCCAGGTCTGTCTGTCCGTCTTCACATTGCTGTTTCCTCGAGCTCCGTGACGGGGGAAGTCTGTCCCCTGGAGATGTCCCTCCCCTCCAGGAGGAACAGCCACAGTGTCCCCACCAGACCCCAGGGGTCCCACCTGGTACTTCTGGATCTTCGTCCACAGGATGTAGAACTCCTTCAGCCCCAGCCTGCCGCTCCCGTCCGACTGCCTCTGTCAAGGAAAGCTTGCGGGCAGTGTCACCCGCCCGCCAGGTCCCCTGCCCGGGGCTTTCCAGGACGCCCGCCTCCACCTCACAGACCTCATCTCTGCCTGCGGGGGGCCTGCAGCAGGGGCACAAGGCCGGCCCAGCGGCTGCCATCACCAGAGGCATCAGAGAGGCCCCAGGGACACTCATCTGGGCAGCCCCCTGGGGCGTGGGCCGGGCATACAGGGAAGGCGACCTGTCCCTGCTCCCGGCCCCACACCACAGGACCGGGAGGGGCCCTCCGCTCTCAGGAGGGCGGCTGAGGAGGGCCGGAGCAGAGGGGAAGGGGATGCTCACTCACACTGCACATTTCTTCCTCAAGGTGCTGGGGGTTGAAGTGTGGCCTCATGCTGAGCGCCCTCCTAGCCCTCCTACTTTTTTATTTTTATTTTTTTCTTGAGATGGATCTTGCTAAGTCACCAAGCTGCCCAGGCTGGGCTTGAACTTGCAATCCTGCTGCCTCAGCCTGCCAGAGCGCTGGGATCACAGGCTCATCAGGGAACTCACGGTTTAGGGAATATTTTCCAAAATATCACTCAGGAAAAGACCCCAGGCTGCTCTGGGCAGGGGACTGTGGGTGTGCTGCACCCATGGGAAGGCAGGTCAGGGCTGGGACAGCCGCCCTGTGGGGAGCCGCGTCGGGGCGCTCGGGCTGGGGTTTGCACCCAGCCAGCCCCTGCAACGCGAAGGATACGTCCAGCATGTCCACCATGATCTTGCAGGTCTCGATGCTGAAGCCGTCTGACTTGATGTCTTGTCCTGAGAGACAGCGGGACAGGCGTCACCGGAGCAGCATGGCTCAGCAGAGCCACAGACGGGGGCTGCCTCGCTGCCCATGCAGAGGACATGCGCATCTGCCCGACTTCTCTGTCTGCTGCAGCCAGCAGGGTTTTAAAAGGTGCTTTTTGTTTTTTAATTTTATTCACTCATTTATTAGAGAAGGAATCTCACTGTTGCCCAGGCTGGTTTGAACTCCTGAGCTGAAGCGATCTTCCTGCCTCTGCCTCCCGAGTAGTGGAGATTACAAGTGTGCCTCAGTGCACGGCCCAGTGCTTCTTAAATAAGTGAAGGGGACAGGGCTGGACCTCTAAGCTCCCCAAGGGCGGGGAGCAGCCTCTGGCTGTGTGTCACAGGCTGAGACCCGTGAAGGGCAGGGCGTCAGCCGTCTCCTGCGGGTGTGGACACTGAGTCTGTGGCCCCTTGAGCCAGGGCCCAGGGCCGGGAGGCTGCCCTGAGCCACCCCTGAGCCACCAGGCTCTCCAGGCAGGGACAGGCTGTTACAGGTGCATCAGGTCCCCAGGCAGCAGGGAGCCTTGGGGCTGTCCCCGTCCTGCCCTGTCCTGAGCTGCTGTCCCTGGGAGCCCCGAGCCGAGTGCGGCCTGGGTCTTCCTGCCCTCCATCCACGAGGACAATGAGGCCTCCGTCTGCGGCTCAGGACAGCGGCGGGCCGGAAGCGCCCTGGGACCTCGGGCCTGCTGGCCTCGAGGATAAACCCTGTCCTCTCGTGCTGCGGCCAGACTGAGGCAGAGGACCCACTGGCCTGACCTCGCCTTGCAGAGCACTCAACCCAGGGGGAAGGGGGCTCTCAGGGGCCCGGGACTTCCCAAGCCCCCCCAGGGGAGGGTTCTGAGTGTGACAGTTGCTGCATTTGCTTCCGACCTCGGCTCCGACTCCCGACACTCTGGGCCCCTCTGGACGGCCTCATCACCAGCAGGGTGGCCCGCACGGTAATCGAGGGGAAGTGTACTTCTCCCTCCTGCAGTGTGGACAGAGGGGATGTGCAGTCCACCCTGGGTGTGCTTTACACCAGAAGGGCTGTGGGAGCCACGGCTGCACCAGTCTCCATGCAGTTTTGATCCCTCCTTGGCCCGGGCTCCTGGCCACTGCAGGGAGTGCAGAAGCCATGGCTGGTTCTGCGGCACAGGCTCCGTGAGGACAGGAGGCTCACTGCCGAACAACCTGACTGAGGCTTGGCAGCCGCCTCCCTGCCTGTTGTGAGATGGGACGTTGATTCTCCCTTATGCCAATCAGTGAGGCATCACTACAGATTCCCACTAAAGGTAGCCAGACAGCTGGGCAGCTCTGGGTGCTTCCTGACTCCCAGGGTCACTGTAGCCATGTGGGTCCCGGCGTGTCACCTCCCCTGAGACACTGGGCCATTTTTAAGAAGACGAGGAGACAGAGTCAGACAGCCTTGGGTGTGGTCAGGTGCCAGGCCGGCTGGCGGAGGGCGGCCAGCTTTGCCCTCTGGGGCCGGGAAACCTGTACTCTTAGCCACTGAGTCCCTCAGACTCTCCCCAGCCGTGGCCTGGAGGAGGCCGGGGGCAGCCAGCTGGGGAGGGCCGTGTCCCCTGGATCCACAGGGGGTGAGGCACACTCACGCTTCGCCAGCACTCTCCTCAGGATGGTCTGCAACTCGAAGGCTGAGATCTCTGCGTCCTGTGGACAGTGAGCAGAGCGCATTTACTGCTCTGGTGGGGCCGGGGGCCTGCACCAGGTGTGTGGCACCTGGGACTGGGTCTCATGCCCAGTGATGCTGGCACCACTGTCCCCGCCCTCACAAGCCACTCTGCCCAGCCCGCTCCCGTCAGAGCTCGACGTTTCTGTGCTACACAGGGCCTTCACCGGTCCTCTCCAGCCTGGGCTCTGGCATCGGGCAGCGCTGGCTGCAACGGGCATCTGGCCCCAAGACCCGCTGGCCCTCTGCCTCTCGCCGGGCTCCGAGGGCACCGGCAGCCTGCGCTGAGGCTGAGGCGGACTCTGGTGGCAGCCGCAGGGTTGAAGCCAGGTGCCTGCAGCCTTCTGCCTTCCCAAGGCCTGGGCCAGGTGAAGCAGGCAGTGGGAGACAGGTGCCTTCCGTGCCCGCTCTGGGATGTGGGAGGAACGGGGGCTGGGGCTCGGGGCCGACACATGGTGGCGTTGGGAGGCTTTGTGGGGCAGAGGGCCCGGAGGAGCATGGTGGTCACTGAGAGCTAAGCCCCACGCAACAGAGGACATGACGGGGGCTCTGCTGGGGGGAGGACAGGAAGCTGCCGCTCTCTCATCGTTGCTGGAAGCCCTTCCAGCCCCCCAGATACGGAGGGTGAGGCCTGGATTCATGCCTCCTTTGCCTGGAACCGAGAAAGTGAAACAGCCTCCACAGAGACCCAGAACCCCGAGGAAGGGGGTCCCAGAGCAGGCACCCACCTCCCCCGCCAGCTGGGCAAACAGCCTGCGGAAGCCGTCATCGATGTTGTCCTCGCCAGCGTCTATCTGCAGGGCAAGGGCAGAGAGGGTGAGTGGGGACCTCAGTGACCCCCAAGTCACCCTCCCGGCTCGCCTCTCGGCTCCCATTCTGAGGGCTTGGGGTCGCCATGAAGGACGGCTGGAGAGGCCCCGAGATGGTGCTGAGCTCCGGGAAGGGGTTCCGCATTCGAGCATCAATGTCTGGCAGAAGCGGCCTTTCCTGCTCTACTCTAACCGGGCCTCAGGTCCCAGCGGGGCCGGCAATGCCGGTGAGCGCCATCCCGATGCCTCTACGTGCAGGTGACAGGGCCCCCAGGACGCCAGGAATCTCCTCTACTCCCCGAGCTCTGGGGCCTGCAGAGGAGGAGGCAGAGGTGGGCAGGTACCTCTTCCAGGTTGGCCTCGATTTTGTCGTCCACAGCCCTGGAAATGGGAGGAAGCTCTGTGAGTCCTCAAGACTGTGAAGGCCCTGGCCAGGATGGGCATGCAGGCTGCGTCCCAGGCGTCTGCAGAACCATCCGGACGCGGCCCTCCTGTGTGTGCAGCTGGGACTCTGGGTGTGTCCCCAGCTCCAGCCCTCAGGGACCGCGTGTGATGCCACTCGCGACACGGCTGTCTCACACAGGGTCCACCACTGACTCCTTGCCCCGCTGCAGGACCCCCCAGGGCGTGGTCCCTCCATCCCTCACATGGCATGTCCTTCCGCCCCCCGGGAGGGCTGTTAAGCTTGGGGGGTCCCTGTCCAGCCCCGACCTGGGCTCCCACGACCTGACTGCCGGAAGGACAGGGCCGGAACAGGGAAGCCAGTGCTGGGGGCCCGGCCTGGAGGGAGCCGTGGGTCTGGGCCCTCTGTGGGACAGTGGCTGGCCGGGAGGGGAGGGCTGTCACTGTGGCCCCAGTCGTGTCCTGTGTCCTCCTCAGCAGGACTGTGCTGGGTGCAGGAGGTGCCCCACCCAGGGGCTGGGACCACGGTTGTGACTGTGGCTGCATCCTGTCCTCCCACAGGGACCCACCTCTGCTGGGGGCCCTCCGCCTTCCACAGGGCCAGCCCAGCCCTGGGGCCCACATCCGTGGCCCAAAGTCAGAGGGGGCTCCCTGCATCCGGGCCCAGGCTCCGCCAGCCCCGGAGTACCAGGGCCTAGAGCTGGTGTCCCTTTCTTGAGCCCCACAGTGGCTCTGCTGTACGAGCAGTCGGAACGGTGCCCAGAGAGAAGGCGCCACTTCGGGCCGAGGCCACGTGGACAGGGGCCTGATGCCCACCAAGGGGACCCAGGAGCTGGGGAGGTCAGAGACCCCCGGACTGCGGTGGGGCAGCCCTGGGGTTGGGGCCACCGAGGCAGGCTCTGCAGCACTGCCAGCCCCTCCGCATGAGGTGACAGAGAGTCTGGTGTTGGCCGTGGATGGGAGGACCACGAGATCATTTGAAGGCCCAACTGAACTGGGTTCTGTGCGTCTCCCAGCCACCCTGAGCGGCACAGCCATCGGGCAGCCCCCGGGCTCCGCTGACGGCCCCAGAACTCCCCCACAACCCTCTCTGCCCACACGAGGATGCCCCCTAGAGGCACAGGGACAGAGCATGGCGGGTCAGAGCGCCGCAGCACCTACTGGTAGTCGGCCTTCTTCTCGGAGAAGACACGGACACAGAAGTCGCCGTCCTTGTGGGGCTCGAAGGTGGACGGCACAAGGATGTACTCCCCCGGGGGCAGCCGGAAGCGGTTGAGCACCTCGCGCAGGTTGATGAAGGTGTCCGAGCGCTCACGGGCGCGGGTCGTCAGGAAGAAGTTCTTGCCCAGGTGGATGTTGGTCTGCCCGGCCAGCTGAGGGGCAAGCAGAGAAAGCCTGGGGTGGAAGCACCGCAGCACCGTGCCATGCAGAGCCGCTCGGAGCCGCTCGGACGACAGCGCACTCGCTGCCTGCTTTGGGTCACCAAGGGCTCCTGGAAGAGGTGGGTGGGGCCGGGGCCGCTGTCCATAGCTCTGTCTGCAGGGCCCACCCTCCCGCCGTAGCCGGGCCTCCCTGCAGGTGGAAAGCAAGAGTCCGGGGGATGCTGGGCGATGCACCAGGGGAGCAGAGCCGAACTTGGGCAGGAAGGGCCCAGCTGTCCAGCCAGGGAGCCAAGGCCTTGAAAGGCAGACAGGCGCGGCACCCAGCCGAGGACGCCGGCCTCACTGTGGCCTCTTGGGCCTGCTGGGACCTAACTCGTGCTCACAGAGGCTGGCGCGGATGGAGGGGTCGCCTGGCCTCGGGGCTGGAGCCCACCTCCGCCACGCTCCCGCGGTGTCTACAGTGACCATAGTGCGTGACAAGTGTCTGCAGCACGGCCATCATGGGCACTCAGCCTCGTGCGGCCTGTGGTCTGCGAGGTGAGCCCCCAAGGCCTCCCAGCCTGGCCCTGAGCTCAGGGCTCCACATCCCAGCAGCCTCAGCAGGCTCCAGGTGCAGGGAGACTCAGCCCTGGCAGCCCTGGCCCTCAGGCGCCCAGCACCCCTGCGCTCTGCGGTGTGAATCTCCCTGCGTGGGTGGCCCCGGACCTGGGGAGGCTGAAGCAGGTGCACGTACCTCCTCTGGGACCTGCAAAAGAAAGGGCAGGCGCTTGGGTCTGGGAAGCAGTGCCGGTTGCTCCCCTCTGCAGCCCGGCGCCATCAGCTCTGCGTGTCACCAAGGAGCAGAGCATTTCCCACAGAGACGCTCTCAGGGTGGCGGCCTGCCCACTCCCGGGGAGAGGCCGTCTGTGGGCACCAGTGTGCCGGGACAGCGCGGGCAGTGGAAGCCCTGCTCCGTGGCCCTTGCCATTTCCGTGTCACGGCCCCATGCTGGCCTCTGGCCATGGTGACCCCCAGACCCAAGGGTCAACATGGGGCGGCCGTGGGGGCTGGCTGCAGCCCCTAGCGGGGTCCACCTGCTGAAGCAAGACACACCGCTCAGCGGCCCTGAGGCCGGCTGCTCTGCTCCCTCCACGACACAACCCAAGGCCACACAGCACACAGGGAGGGGACAGCTCCCGGTCCCTGCCCAGCTGGGCCTCGGCCAGGACAGGCTGTGCGGTGCTCTGGCTGAGATGGGCAGGCCGTCTAAGGGAAGCGGTGCAGCCAGCGGGCCCTGGGGACACCATCTCTCTGTCCTGTCCTGAGCGCTGCCCGGGGCCAGCAGCAGCCCTGCTGGGCTGAGCAAGGGCCCGTGGCTCTGTCCAGCCCTCAGTGTTCTCACGGGACCAGGGCTCTGGTCTCAGCCCGGTCACCTCTGGGTTCTGGTACTTGGGGGTGACCACAGTGGGAGAGGATGGGGAGCCAGTCCACCATTCTAGAGAAGACCTGAGAAGCCTGCTGGGCCTTGGGGAGGGGCTGGGGACCTGGGACCCAGGCCAGCAGCAGGGACGACTCCTGTGGGGCCCGCAGGACCCCCAGGGCTTTGTGCGCCTCAGCTCCCTGCCCGCCAGCCCTCCTGTCTCCGGGTAGCTGAGGGGCACCCAGAAGGGGACAGGTGCACCCACCCGGCCCCAGGCCCACCTCGTAGATGCCGAAGCCGATGGTGTGCATGTCCTGGCCCATCTTCCTCTGCCGCCGCCGGTGCTTCTGGATGAGCCCCACCAGGACGGTGCAGCCGCCCTCGCCATCCTCCTGGTCCTCGTCCTCCTCCTCCAGCTTGATCAGGTACTGGGGGTTCATCCAGAAGGTGTCTGCGAGGGGCAGAGGGGCTCCCTGAGCAGCCTGAGGGGTGGGCGTGGAAGCAGTGGGACTTCCTGAGGCTGCTCGGCCTGGGGCTGGGCGCCTCCTAGTGGAGCCTCCCGGGGAAGGTGGTCAGAGCCAAAGCCGCTGGAGCCTCCCCTTGGTGGCTGCATCCCTGGTCCCAGGCCCCGCGCCCCATGGGCCGGGTGCACACTGCACCTCAGGTCCCCACCCGTAACAGAGCCAGCAGAGGATTGTGGGCGCACACAGGCACGCGCACACAGCAACCCTCAGCCTTCCTGGCTCCAATCCCTGTGGCTCCCTGGCCTCGGGCCTGCCTCGTGAGGGAGCAGATGGTGGCGGGGTCTGCTGGGAAGAGGAGGCGGGCAGCACGCCCGGAGCCCATGTGCACCCACATCAGTGTAGTCTCCAGGGGCCAGAGCATCGACAGGAGCTGGACGGGGAGACCTCCTTGGGCCCTGCCAGGTTTGCCAGCACCCCGGGGTGCACAGAGCTGTGGGCAGCCTCCCTGTCATGGGGCCTGGAAGCACTGCAGGCCCTGTCTTGGCTCTAGCTGGATGAAGCAGCTCAGCATAAGGTGGCCAGGCGGGCCCAGGGCTGGGGACCTCGAAGACGGCCCGTCCCGAGGAAACGCCTGCAGGGTGAGGGCCGGGCTGCTCAGGAGAGGGGGTCCCAAGGGCCGGGGTGGGATTTGGGCTGGCGGAGCTCACTGGGGTAGTTCCTGCAGCCGCCCGCGGTGGAGCCCCGCCGCCAGCTCCCATCCATCTTGGTCAGCTTCCACTTCTTGTAGGTGTCGCTGGTCAGGGTGTCGGGCGTCAGGTTGCAGATCTCCAAGCGGGAATAGTGCCGCAGGAAGTCGCCGAAGGACATCCTGGCAAGGAGGGACCCGAACTCTGCATCAACTGCAGCTCAGGCCCCAGCTCAGGCCCCAGCCCTGATCCTACTGAGGTTGGGCGGGCTGACAGGCGGGTCAAGGCCAGGCTGAGCAGCGCTGGAGCCCCAGAACCTGCAACCTAGCAGAAGGCTGTGCTGCCCTGCCATCGGGGCAGCTTGGGCCAGTCCTGGGGCGCTGTCTGAAGCAGGGACAACACAGGACACGTGCTGAGCTGCAGGACATCCCACAGCAGTGTGGACATGCCATGTGGGTCCACAGTGCCCCGGGTTGCTGGGGTCTGCAGAGCCCTTGGGAGAACACCCCACCTCCCCTGCCCTTCCAGGGGCCCTGAGCAGCACGGGTTGGGGGGGACCCCACCGTGAGACGACAGGTTCCCGAGGCTGAGGATGGTTTTGTGCGGGGTCTTGCAGTGAATATAAGACATTATGCCCTCACTATAATGAGCCCGCTCTTGCTTCCAACTTTCTACCACTGGGCGGGCCAGGCACGGTGGCATCTGCCTGTAAATCCAGCACTCTGGGAGGCTGAGACAGGAGCCCAAGTTTGAGTCCCGAATGGGTAATCTGTGACTTAGTGAGATCCTGTCCCAAAATAAGGGTCAGGGATGTGGCTCAGTGCAAAAGCCCTGGGTTCAGTCCCCAGTCCGTGCACACACATGCACAGATGCGAACACACACACACACACACACACACACACACACACACACACAAAGACAGAGAGGGGGAGAGAGAGACAGACAGGGGTCGAGAGGCAGTGAGCTTGCCTCGGGGCTGACCCGGCTCCCAGTGTCTGCCCGCCTCACCAGAACTCCCCGTCCTCGAGCCGCACGGTCAGCCTTTCCCTGACCTCTGGGTCCACTGTGTTCCAGTTTGGGCAGCTAGGGACAGAGCAGTGGCACAGGCCTTAGGAACACGCGTGTAACAAACAGAGACTTCTCCCACAGCCCCTACAGCCGGGCCAGGGCCACCATTGCCATGGGGACCCAGACCGGACAGGGTGATGCCCAGCCAGATGGAGCCACACACAAGACGAACAAAGCTCTTTACAGAACATGGATGCTGCCAGGAGTGTGGCTCAGGGCGGGCACATGCCCGGGACCAGGGAAACAACACAGCTGGCACGGGACAGAGACAGACCGGAGCTCTGCTGGGGCCTCTTCCTGATCCCGCGGCAACCTGGAAGGGAGCCCGGCGAGACCAGGGGCCTCCAGGCACCAGGCCGCCTGCTCAGCGTGACTTCGACCGAGGCACTTTCCTGCCCGGCCACGGCGCCTGTCTGCATCTCAGTGGGCTCTCCTAGGGGAGGGGAGGGGAGGCCACCCAGCTCGGCACCCCTGCTCACTTGTCGCCCCACTTCCCGGTCCACTCCACCTGTCCCCAGGGGTTCCGCACGCGGATCAGTTTCTGCAGGCTCCCGGAACTGTCCACCTGAGGAGGCGGGAGAGGCAGGGGAGGCTGAGCCCCAAGCCCTGGGCAGCAGGCACGGTGGGGAAGGAGAACATGCACCTGGGGGCCTGCGCTGTGTGGCCCACCATGGGGATGTGCTTCGGAGGGACGGATCTCAGTAAAGAACGCAGCGGCGTGGGCTGGGCTGGGCCGCCCGCCACAGTGCATGGTGACAGTGGCCCTGCACGCGTTTTGGGCAGGAATTGAGAAGCCCGCCCGGGGCCGGCTGGGCAGGGGGCCAAAGGCAGATGAGCACTGAGGATGCTCTGTGAGTCTGGCGGGGCATCTTCAAGGGCACAGACGCCAGGCAGGGCAGAGCTACGCAGGGCTGGTCCAGGGCAAGGCTGTGACAGATGCCTCGGGCAGAGCGCAGGGCCTGCTGGGCAGCCGCACCCGCTCGCTTCCCACCCGCCCGCCCGTACCTCCTCGGCCCCGGTGACTGAGTACGCATGCCCCTTCACCAGCTTCTGGTACGTGACAGCCTCCGAGTCCGCGGCGCTGGTGATCTACGGAGGTGGCCACGGTCAGCACCACTGGCCGCCCTCCCCGGACGCCGCCTCCCATCCAGCACCGCGTGCATTGGTGGACTGGTCGGCTGGGGAGGGGGCGCCCTGGGGAGGCCTCGCTCAGCACAGAGGCCGCAGCAGGGGGACTGCACGGCCGCCCGCTCCCAGAACTGGCTCGGTGGCACCGGAGACGCCTCAGATCCCCTGCCCCGTCTCAGGCAGACATTCGTGGCCTCTGGGTGGGCGGGGAGAGGCAGGGAGGAGGAAGTCCCTGCCTCACCCTGGCCTGCAGGACTCGGAGAATCCACCTAAAGTCCACAGAGCTTGGGTCCCAAGCCAGGGCTTCCTGTCCATGTCCCCAGGGTGAGGTCCCAGGTGCCTCTGCCCTCCTCCCAGCCCACAGGGGTGGCCAGCATGTCTGTTGGAGGAAACGGCTCCTCCCGGTGCCTCTGACAGCTTCCCAAGACCCAGAAACCCTGGATGGAGCCAGGGGACAGCTGTGGGCCCCAGCACCCCACAGTGGGAGAGGGGTCAGCCCTGTGGGGGAGGGAGATGGGGAGGCTGGGGCTCCATCACCCCGATACCTGCACCCCAGACGACCTGGCTTCTGCCTGGGTACCCCGGCTTCCCGCTGAAGAGCACTGTTGTGGGCAGGGCTGCACCGCACCCTCAGTGGGGGCAGTGGGCTCCAGGCTTGCTCGGGCCTCCTGCCAGCCGCCAGGCCCCGGGTGGGCTGCCAAGGGCACCCGCACTCACGTCGATGGAGCAGCCAAGCAGCGAGCCCTTCTCCAGCGCCTTCTGGATGATCCTGAACAGGTTGGGAGGCGGCTTCTGCAGCTCGTACCACTCCGCGATGCCTCCAGTGAAGTCCTCGAAGCCCTCAGTGGTGGCGCCCCCCGACAGCGCTTCATAGCAGCCATTGATCCTGGGGGCACGGGGCTGCTGCTGAGGCGCCCTCACACCCCCAGCGCTGCCCATGGCCTGTGCGTGTCACCCTGGGTCCCCCGCTCTCACTGGGCACCAGGAGGGCACCAGCCTTCCCTGGCCAGCTTTCCTGAGCTCTCCCATTGGTGCTGACCCCACCAGGTCCTCAGGACCTTCTAGGCCCACGGGGTTCCCCCTGCATCCTCACGGCTCAGGGCCAGTCTGCTCAGCAGCTGCTCGGCATTTAGGGCTCCGAAGAGCCACTGGGAGAGGGACACGGCTGCCACCCGTGGTGCGGCGTGAAGCCAACACCCTGCATTTGCGACCTGGAGCTCAGGCCCAGGCTGGGTTCAGCAGTGCTTTTGGACTGCTGGACTCCTGTGTGGAAAAGTCCTCACATAGTCTGGGCATTGTGGACAGGCCCTGGGCACTGGCGACAGGCCCCGTCTCTGGGTCAGCATGGGCGGGCACTCACTTGGCGTAGGCCTTCTCCAGCAGCGCGCTCCAGAACTCGGTGCCCTCGGCCGAGTGCAGGAACAGCAGCTCCCCGTCCTTGGTGGGCAGCCTGTCGTCCACCACCACCTCCACCCACTCGCCATACTGCCAGAACTGCGGGCGGGACAGGGGTGGTGGCTGGGGACCCGAGCCTGTCCCGGGAGGAGACACCCATTCCCAGAGGTGCCTGTCCCCACGGAGCCAGCAAGGACAGAGGGCACCCATATCCAAGTCTACACTCATCTCTGGAAAACATCGCCTTGTTTCCCAGCCCGAGAGGAGGGCGGCTCGACAGTTTCTCTGAGCCTCAGACACGACCTTGGCTTTCCACTTGGGGATCCCTTCCTGAGCCCCGTGTCCCGTGTCCCTGCCCGACCCCCCCCACCGTGTCTCATGCAGGCTGTGCGCTCCCTGTGGTCTTGCTGTCATCCCAGAGCAGCGCCAGGCCTGCGTCGGTAAACTCCAAGACAGAGAGCCGGACCTGGGTACCTGGAAGCGGAAGATGCCAGCGTAGTTCTCCTGAAAGCTCTGGTCCAGGGGCACAACGCGCGCCAGGATCTCTTCATTCAAGGTGAGAGAGGCGATGGCGGCCAGCAGCCAGCAGTCACCTGTGGACAGGGGCAGGGCGCGGTCACCACTCGAACCCAGGGGCCGTAGCTGTGCCCGCCTCAGGGGCTATAAACCTAAGGTGGCTGAGCAGAGGGGCAGCCTCTCCGCTCTTAGGGTGGGGGACCTGCTATGCTGGCGGAGGAGGGAGCTGCCTGGGACAGAGGGGGTCCAGTGTCCTGGGGCCAGCACTGCGCCTGTGCTGGGGCTGCACCGTTTGTAGGGTGAGGGGCCCCTCAGGGTCTGGACCGGAGGAAGGGGCTCCGGGGGGGGCTTGGTGCAGGGAGGAGGTGCCGGGGCGGACGCGTGTCAGTGTGGTCCTATCAGGGCACAGGGCCGGGGACAGAGACGGCAGCCAGCGGGCGGCCGGGCCCTTCTGGGCGAGGGCCTGGTGGACTGCAAGGATGCAGCAGGGACAGCATAGGGCCGCGCACGAGGCTTGGGCTCAGCTCCAGACACCGCGCCATCTGCTGTGGGCACCGTGAGGGCACTCACTGCATTCTGAGGAAAGTGCTCGCTCCTGAACTCTCGGAGCTGGTGACTGTGATGGAAAGAGCCTGGCTGAGGGCGCACACTCGCGTCTATCTGTGACCGGCAGGCAGGCACGGCCTCCAAGTCCTGCGCTTCTCCCCACTGACAACCTGCACCCTGAGGCCCCAGAGGGTGACCCCGGCCAGCCTGGGCCTCCTCCCAGGAGCGGCCCCACTCAGGCTGCCGCCTCAGCGTCCTCCCGTTCTGCTCCCGAGAGCTGGTGCCGTGTCCTCAGGCCAGCCAGCTGCTCTGTGACCTCGGAGGCCCTGGTGACCGTGCTGCTCATCAGGGTCAGTGCTGGGACCTGTCTCGGGCGACTGCCACCTCCTTGCCTGGTGCTTGCACCCCTGCCTGGAAGTCAGTGTTTCCCACCTTCCCCTGCATCTCAGGAGCGAATTTCCAGCCACCCACGGGCCTGGGTCTCCGAGTGGTCAGTGACCTGCTTGGTCCCCGCTCTGCAGGGCAGGCACAGTGCTCCCTCTCGGCGGGGAAGGGGAACCACACGCGTGGACGTCTGCATGACACGGAAGTCGGTAAGGGCTCTTGCCTGTCTCCTTGACCTTCACACACATCGCAGGAGATGCTCATTGTTACCACCTTTTCGGGACGAGGAAACTGAAGCTAGAAAGTCTCTGGAGCGGACACCTGGCGGGCCCTGCTCTCGGGACCTCTGCGTCCATAGCTGGGGTTGCTTAGGAGTAGCGCCTCAGCAGCGATTTCTCCTGCTTCCTTTAACTAAAGAGGGACCGGGAGCAACATCCAGCCGCAATTCACATTAACTGTAAGGAGTAAGAACCTGGTAGCTTCCTTCGAGTCCTAGGGATTGAATTGCTTCATGCCCAGTCCATTTCGTATTTCTTATTTTGAGACAGGATCTCACCAAGTTGATAAGCTGCCCAGGCTGGACTCGAACTTATGGCCCTCCTGCCTCAGCCTCCCGGAGTGCTGGATTAGAGGCGTGCACCACCAGGCTGGGTTCCAATGTGGTGTAATGCACCCGGGTAGCGGGTGACGTCCTTGCACAGGCAAGACGAAGGCAGTGAGATGCACAGGCAGGAGGAAACAGTTTTCCTGCAGCATGGGGCTGAAGTGCGAGCTGCACGAGAGGTCTTCCTTTCCAAGGGCCGGAACTCGGGAGCCTTTGCACACTCGACTCCTTGCTGCTCTGGCCCACCCATGGCACAGGGTTTTGAACCAGGTCGGTGACTGTACCGGCCCCCACTTTTACTTCTTTCCGGTGTGCTCTCCCGGCCGTGGGGCCCGGGGGGCAGCACAGCAGCCACTGCAGGGCGCCCATGTGCTGGGCCTGCTTCCCACGGTCACATCTCACCGTCACAGCTGGCTCGGGCAGAGCTCCTGCACCCCACCCCACAGTTGAGCAAGTGGGGTTCACAGGGCTGGAGTTCACCCAGGGCCCCACTAACAAGGCCTCTGCTGTGTACCAAAAGCTCCTGTCTCCCACCGGTCTGCTCTGCAGACTGGTGCCAACTGCACTCACCTAACTCAAGGGCCTCTGACCCAGGGCAGGGCCAGGCCTGGCGATGCCCACCCTGGTCACCCGGGAGCCCCTCTTCTGGGCCCCTCTCCACCTGCCCCTGGCTGCACAGGTCCCTGGGGTCCCTCAACTCAGCCATCCGAGTCTGCACTGCAGCAGTGGCTCCTGGGGAGAGGCAGGAACCGACCTGGCTCACATCCTCCAAAGCACTCTGGTTCCTCGGGATCCAGAGGCAGTGCCAGCAACCCCTCTCCTCGATGCTGCCACTTGGCTGGGGCTGCATTGGATTCACAAGCACGGCCCCGGAGTTTGCGGGACGCTTCCGGGCTTGACTTCCAGCGACGGTGTATTTGTCCTGGGCTTTTCCTCCGGCTCTGCTCACCACACAGCATGGGGAGATGCTACTGGGCAGGGAGGGCCCAGCCCTGCCTTCGTCCTGGTGGCGTTCGCCTTCTGACCCCCAGGGACCCCTCATATCTCCAGCAGGACACCTCGCCGGGTCCATTCCTCCCCCTTGCCTTTCCACATCCAGGCCGCAGCCACTTCCTGTCCACCCAGGAGCCTGCTCAGGCCCAGGGGTGGGTGCTGCAGACCAGGATGGGCCGGAGTGGGCTCCGTGCTCCTCTGAGCTCCAGAGCTGTGTCCCTCGATGGCAGGGCACAGTCCTCTGGGTGGCACTGTGCGTGACCCACAGTCCCCAGGTCTGATCCTTGAGAAGACACAAGATGGTCAGGTCAGCCTGGGAGAGGCAAAGCCAGCCGGCTCACAGGGAGACTTCCTCCAATTCCCGGGCCCCTGGCCCCTGAGCCCTCCCACTGACGCACTCGGCCCTGGAGACGCTGGGCTGCTTGGTGAGGGACACAGCTGGACCTTCTGGGGACAGTGAGGTCTCGCAGGGCTCCGGCATCAGCTCTGAATTTGGAGTGTGCCTGTCCCTTCAGCCGACCCCCTACCTCCCGGTGCTCTTTCCTGCTTCTCTGCAGGCCTCAGTTGCTCTGCACGGTTGGCTCTGTCAGGGCTCGTGTTCCCCTGAACCCTAATGAATTCCATCTCCGACACTCGGAAGGCCGGCCCGGGCCATCCAGCACCCTAGTGAGAGCAGAGACAGGGCCGCTGGGCACACCCATGGGGAGAGGCGGCCGTGCGGGCCCTGCGGCAGGCTGGTGGCGGGGCTGCTTCTTCACTGAACAGCTGGGCCTGGCCTGAGTGGCGGGGACCCCGGCCCTGCTCCCCCAGAGGAGCCCGGCAGCCCACAGCTCAGGTCGAAGGCCCCTGCCCTCCTGCAGGTCCTCCAGCCCCAGGGTGTGAGCAGCAGCTACACCCGACAGCAGATGTGGCTGCAGATGCCCATGGGAAGGGGCCTCGGGTTGAACCACAGCAGGCTGTGGGGGCGGATGGGTGAGGTGGCCCAGGGTCCCCGAGCCACACCCACCCCTGCCTCATGGTCACTCTGGGGAGCAGGCTGGGCCACCTGCTGAGCCACCTGCTCCCCCCAGGGTCCTCAGAGCCTGGGCTCCCGTTCACCCCCGGCCCCTGGGCTGCTTGGTCCCCAGCCAGGTCCTGGGAACCCTTCCTGAGCACGTCCTCCCGGCCTGCCTGCTTTGTCCAGCACTGCTCTGTCTGTCACACAGAGGGCCCGGGCCCTGGACACTGAGTGCGGAACTCACGGTCCCTCTGGGCCAGCGCTGGCCCGGGCGGGTGCCCCGTAGCAGTGGGGACCATGTGTCTGCTCCTCAACCTTCGCTGGTCCCCTTCTGTGAGGCGCAGGGCACCCCACACCACCCTGGGCCTCCGGGGACCCCAGACCAGGCCTGGAGCTAGACCAGACCTGAGGAGGGAATGGTGTTGGGGCTGGGCCTGTGGCTGTGGGAATCGGGATGGATTTCTCGGTCCTGTGACCTGGGCTTCCCCGCCCTGGAAGCCGGGCACCCTCAGCTCTCAAGGGTCTAATGAGAAACCTCTGTGCCACCCGGCCTAGCTGTCCTCACCCGTCAGTGAGTGCCCCGTCCTTCCGTGCTGGGCTCTCCGCAGGGTAAGGTCGCATGGTGCCTGCTCCACTCTGTCCCCTGGTGACTGAGGCAGGGGGGCCGCTGGGGCCCTTCCCCCTCTTCAGTCTGCAGCAGTGGACCTCAGTTTCCCTCTCTGCCTGGCTGTAGCCTCCCAGGAAACCCGTGCCGACTTCCGGCCTGCTGTTTGTCAACAGCGGCCCAGCGCGGCCTCCTCGGCCACTCCGCAGCCGGTGTTTGCAGAGGAGGTGTGAGGACAGGGCGTGGGCGGCTGTCCCCCAGGCCTGCCCTCGGCTGTCCTTGGCCGTGAAGCTCCTGCCGCATGGGCCCTCCCTGGGGACGGTGCCCAGGCCCAGCTCATAAACGGCTCCTTCAGTGCAGGCCCTGGGCTGAGGCGGGAAACCCATCCAGGCCACGGCAAGTTTCCAGAGCCGTGGAGCTGCCGCACCTGGTCAGGGCTGGCTCTGCGCCTGGCTGTGGCCCGGCCCGCACCTGCGCAGCTGGAGGCTCCTCCCAGGCTCTGAGGGGAGAGTGTTTCCCTTCCCTCCACCGCAACTCTTCCCCGAACACAGCACAGTGAAGCAAGGGGCAGCCCCAGGGCTCGGGGACGCATGCCAGGGCCCAGGTCACCCGAAGCACAGCGGCCTGTGACACCTCCCAGTGAAGGGCAAGGACGGCGGCCACTGTCACAGTCACAGCCCGGCACAGCACAGGGAGCCTGAGCTCGGACAGGACGCACTGCACCAAGTCGCACAAGGTCACACAAGGTCGCACGAACACACAGGCACGGCACCCACTGCAGCAGCGGGTCACCTCGGAATAGTGAGAGCAGGTGCATGTGCGGCTCCTGCCATCCCACCGTGGACACGGGTGGCGGCCCTGGCTTCCTAGCTCTATGCCTGGGCATCTGAAGCTTCACACACTCCAGGAACAGCAAGATTCAGCTGCTAACCAAGCCCCCTGGGGTGGCACCCAGTGGGACGCCGGTGTGGGAGGCCCAGGGCACGGAGGAGCTGCGCCGTGCCCCGTGGTCCTGATTTGTGGGTGGACAGGCCGGGCCTTCGGACCCCAGACGCCCAGCATGCAGCCCCACCCCGGGGCTCCTTCTGTGGGCTGTGCTGTGGCCCGGCCATGGGTGGCCTGTCAGCCTCCCCACCCCATGCAGCGTCCTTCTCGGTGGCCGCTCCATGTGCCAGGCTCTCGACATGGCCTTCCCTGCCCAGTGCCCAGTGGCCTGGTCCTTCACGTCTCCATCTACCTTCACCCCCTCTGCCTGTGGACATTGGTCAAGGTCTGGGGATGTTGCTGATCGCCACGCTGGAAAGCTGCTGCCATCTAGGGGTGGAGCCGAGGACTGGGGCGATTCCAGTGTCCTCGAGGGCCGCACAGCAGGAACCACCCACCCTAAAGGTCCCCAGGGCCAAGGCTGGGGAAGCTCTTCATTCCCTCCCTCCATGCTCCGTTCCACTAGGTAAGAGATAAACAGACCCCCACTGAGGGCCGCCCTGGGCCACCCACCCTCCAGCTCCACACGCCTGACACCCTGCCCGAGGGGCCTCTGGACTAGGTGCAGCGCTGCCTCCACTGGGCAGCCGTGGAGGGAGGCGAAGGAGCGTGGAGGGCTGGCCGGTGCAGCCCCAGGCTGGCAGGAGGGGCCAGGCGGCGCTCCTCTACTCACTCCACGCCTGGCAGCAGAACGGAAGACAGCGCCCAGACCAGAACTCCTGCGTGTCCATGCACATCGGCAGGGCAGGGGCCACTCCCCTGAGAGCTCAGCGTGCACTGTGCCCCCGAGGCAGCAGTGACAGGACACCTGTGGCCATTTACATTTAAACCGACAGACTCCATCCCTGCATCACGTTTCCCCTGCCCCACACCCACGGCAGGGCAGACAGGCCCTACAAGTCTTTGGACCCCATCGTCCAGATGCCACGAAACATGGGGTCTTCATTTCTAAAAGCCCAGTGCCAAGGGGACTGAGCAGAATGGAGCCACCACGGCCAGGGTGGACTGCGCTGCAGGTGCAGGGGCAGGGGCCGGACAGAGTCGCAGCTCCGGAGTCTGCAGGCCACAGGAAGTCATCTGGAGGCAGGGAAATGCAGGGGCCTGGCCCCGGCACCAGACTGCAAAGCCGCACCCCGTCCCCTGGCCCGGTCACTGCTGGGCACCCCGAGGCTTCAGAGGATGGTGAGGGAGCAGGAGATCTGGGGCAGGGACCGAGGTGTCCTCGGGCACTGCTGTGTGATGGCCTGGCTGGAACAGAGCAGCACAGGGGGTCCAAGCAGCAAGGGGCCGCCCTGCAGGGCTAGGAGCTGGGACCGAAGCTGGGAGGGAGCTTTTTGAGGCAGGAAGAGAGTGAGGAAGTGACTCACCAAGGCACCCGCCCAGCACAGCCGGGCCAAGTGATCTCTTCCCTGCACTACACATCTTAGGTTTTGGAAGCCACTTGCAAATTTCAGTAGAGCAGCATCCTGCAAAACCCCTGACCAGGACTCCTGGGAACCACTAGGGTCAACAGCAACCAGGAAAGACTGAGACGCTGTGGCCCAGAGCGGCCTCGGGAGCCCCATCAGTGACCTGTAGCAGGGTGTCCTGGAGGGAAGCCTGGGACAGCAGGAGGGACTAGGAAAGCCAAGCAATCCAAGCTGGGCTTGTAGCCCAGGCCTGTGACCGCAGCACTGAGCGGGCTGAGGCAGGAGGTGGCAGGGGAGCCTTGCCTGGGCAACTTAGGGAGACCATTTCAAAGTAAGGAAGACAAGAAGGGGGTGCATCTCGGAGTGAAGGCCCTGGGTCCCCTCCCTAGCGCCCCTAATAACAGCGATCACTACCGGATCAGCAGCCTCAGCACGGACACGGCACTCAGGCTGTGGGGCCTGCACTGTTGCAGGCCCATCCCCACCCGGGCAGAGACAGGGCCTTGCAGGACAGGACGGAGCACCCAGCCCGCACGCCTTCTCCTAGCTTGGTGGAGGACTCTTGGGCCATGGCTGCAGATGGCCCCTCAGCTCCCGGGGCCGCAGCCCAAGAAGCGCAGTTGACTCAAAAGTGAGTATGAACCACATTTATATCGAAGTAAGCCATAAAAATGCACCCAGCCCGGCACAATCCCAGCCATGCGGCCCGAGCCCACTGCAGGCCGAGTCCTCCAGCCCCTGGCACAGCGTGCTGAGCACTCGGGGTGCCCTGTGGCCCCGCCCACTGTCCCCCTCGTCAGCAGACAGGGAGGGATGCAGGCGGCTGCCCAGTCGGCGGCCAGGGAAGGTAAAAACTGACAGTGCGGGGGCCGCGGACGAGAGGCTCCAGGCCGCACGCCCATCTTAGGGAGGCAAGGACGAGGCTCTGGCGGCCACTGACTTGCCGGTTCCTCCGGCTCCGGGGGTGGGAGGACCAGGGCTGGGACTGAGCCAGCCACAGGGGCCGCTGAGGGTTCGTCGTGGGCCCAGGTCATGGGGGGGGCAGGTGACCCAGCCCTGGGGGCCAGAGAACCTGGGCTGAGCTGTTTCGCTGCTGTGCCGGCCTCAGCAGCCTCGGCTTCCCCAGGGACCCCAGGGCCTGGGGCAGAGACCTGTGCTTGCAGCCGGGCAGCAGCCCAAGCTGTGAAAGACACGGGGGAGCACTGGGGACGGCAGCCAGGAAAAGCATGGCAAGAGGGGCGCAGCCTGGGAACCCCAGGCCTGCGGCCGGCCGAGCGTCACCTGTGAGAAGCGTCACTCCAGTGAGGAAGGCGCCAGCTGAGGCCCAGCCTGCTCCCAGGCTGCGGTGCTGAGTCCTCTGTTAGCACAAGTCCTGCTCTGTGGTCAGGCGCTGCCGGAGCAGCTCTGCCAAGGGGTCTGGCTCCCGGGACACCAGGCTGAGCCCCTGGGCAGGTGCGAGGGCCTGCAGGTTACCATTGCCCGGCACTGAGGAGGGCACGGGTCTAAGCTGCCGCCCAGCAGGCTCAGCGGGGCGTGGGAGTGTACAGTGAGCAAGCACATGCCACTGAGCATGGGCCTCGAGTAGCCTCCGGCTTGGAAGGGCGCATCTTCAGCACTGATCGGCTCGTTCCCCAGGCAGCTCCTGCGCTGCTGCCCCCGCCCCATGCTGAGCCTCCCTCTCTGGGCTCTGTTTTCTGTCTTCCAGGTGCGGGAAAGTGTTTGCTTCCGCCCAGGCCATCTCAGGGATGAGGGCAGAGGAAATGCCCCGGGGGCTGCAGTGTCACTGCTGAGCAGGACCAGGAGACAGTGGGATGTGGGATGGTCCGCCCTTGGCTCACAGCTCACAGGGAGCGGCACACACTCATCCATCCCCGTGCCCTGACCCCTCCTTCCCTCCACACTGCTGCCTCTGCGTGCTCGGAAGAGGAGGTCCTGGGTCTGAGCCATGACTCGGTCATGTCCCCCAACACTGCTGGGCCCCCAATGCCACGGCCCTGTCCTGCTGCCGCTGTGCCTGCAGCCCGGTCACAGCGCCAGCCCTTCCCCACAAGCTCAGTGAACATGCTCACTCACTGCTGCCCGGAGACGCAGCGTCCAAGAGAATACAAGGGCCCGGACGCATTTAAAACAGTTACTGAGAAACTGGGAAGGCTCATGTTTCACTGTTTCCACGTGATCTGGCACCCACAGAGGGCCACTTCTCTCCTCTCCAAATGGCCCGGGGATTCCAGCCACCCTTCAGCTGCGCTCTTGCTGTTGGGATCCACCCCCGTGACGTTGCTGGGTTCTGAAGCAGGTATTTGGACCGGAAGTGGTGTCCAGCAACTGCTGTGTCTGTTACTGGACTCTCCCACTCACCCAGCAACTTCTAGCCACCTTCTCCAACCAACTGATGCTCCCAGCACCAACACCTTCAGCCCTGAAGACCCCGGGTCTTCTACTTCCTATGGGGGAGGTGGAGGCTGTTTTCCTCAGATAAGAATGTCTCTGGTATCTCAGGAATCTGCATCTGAGCTCAGATCTGCTCACATCTCCTTCCCAGGCTGGGTCTGTCCTAGCGATCCTGCAGGCCCTGACATTGCTCTGGGGCTGGCCCCATGGAGGAGGCCACAGGGTGTTGACGCGCAGGCCTGGTTCACACCAAACACACAGGTGCACCAGTCGCCCTCCGGCTGTGTGGTGACCTCAGCATCCTCCTCTACAAAACGGGAAGCACAGGGCCTGAGAGCTGCAGGCTCGGGTCAGTGTCTGGCCGGTGTGAGGGTGCCGAGGCAGCATTCGTAGTATCAGATCCTTCGCCCACTGGGCAGGGAAGCAGGCAAGCTCTAGCGGGTCACTGGATTCTGAAGCAGGTATTTGGACCAGAAGTGGAGCCCAGCAACTGCTGCGTTTGGTGGGATTGTTTGCGGAGCCGTTGAGGCCAACGGCAGGAGACAGGTTTCCAGTTACAAGAGCAAAACTCTGCTCCCGTAAGGACAGGCCCTCGTTTATTATGGATGACAGATACCGGGTGTGAATTCTGAGATCTCACACTGAACGGCCCCAGGCCAGCTGTCCCTGGGGCTTGCAGAAGAAAGCTGAGGGCCCAGCATTCCTGGCCTCAGCGAGTGCTCCTCCAAAGCAGCAGGGACTCAGCCCCACACTGCCAGCACTCAGCCCCTGAAAGGCGGCGGCTCGGGTTGGTTCTCCCCAACCGAACGCAGCAGCTGTCTCCAGAAGCCTTGGGTTCCCTCTCCGCGCCAGCTCCCAGGTGCCCTCTTCCTGCACACCGAGTCACCCTCCCGCCCTGGACCCCGAGAGCTCATGCCTCACGCTGTCATAGTTCCAAGGGGCGGGATCCCCAAGCCCCCTGGCACACCCAGGCCTCGGTGACCTCAGCAGCCCGTGGGGCAGAGCACTGCAGGGCCCCGGGGGCAGAACAGGCCCCACTCGGCCCTCACCCCTTCCACCCAGCCCTGCAGCCTCGCCAGTGCCCAACACTCACCCAGGGCTCCCTGGCAGATGTCTGTGCGCGTGGCTCCTCCGACAATAAACTGGGGGTCCGCGCAGATCTCCTGGAAGTGAGGCCGAGGGCACAGTCAGCGCCACCCTCAGGGGCTCTGTCCCTCCCCGCCCTGAGCCCTGGGGCCTTTGAACCTGGGGGCTGGGCAGCCACAGCCCAGCCTCTGGCCCTGCCCCTCTCCCCCTCTCCTCCGAGGGCAGGGCCAGTGATGGGCCACCTCACCCTGCCCCTCCGCCTCGCCAGCGCCCTGCCCTCATCCTGGCCGACGACCCCCACTGTCTGCTGCCTCACTAACACACAGGCATCCGGGACAGGGGCTACGGGTGGCCCCAGGACACGTGTGTGCTCCATGCCTGCCACAGGCCAGATGCCGGGCATGGAGCTGTGTCCCATGTAGCTCTGCTGGGAGCCCAGGACTGACGTGAGCCCCGCAGGCGAGGGACTGGCCCCCGAGGTGGAGTCCATGGCCACAGAGCTTCAGGCTGGATTCCAACCTCAGGTCTCAGGGCAAAGCTTCCCCTCTCTGGCCTGCAGCTCATTGCTCGGGTCAGGGCCTCAGCACACATCACAGCCTGAATGGACCAGCCTCGGGGCAGCAGGCCTCCCCAAGGGTGTGTTCTCACTGTCCCTTTCAGTTTTTTTTATTTTACATTTAGGTTTGAGGCAGGGTCTCACTATGCAGCTGGAGCTGGCCTCAAACTAAAATCCTCCAGCCTCAGCCTCCCGAGTGCTGGGATTACTGGTGTTACAGGTCTGTACCACTATGTCTGGCTTTTTATTTTATTCTATTTTTTGAAACAGGTTTCACTACACTACCCATGCTGGTCTTGAACTCCTGGGCTTAGGTGGTCTTCCTGCCTCTGCCTCCAGAGTAGCGGCACCCCAGGTACATGCCACCACACCCAGCTGCGCTTCCTGGTTCTGAAGGCTCCACCCCAAACCACAAAGGAAGTCGGGCCCAAATCTGGGCTTCTGGAGGCTGGAGCAGCCTTGGTTTGCAGTGCCTCACATTTGCTAGGGAGCCTTGAGCGGGCCCCTCTCGGCCTGGACCCGGCGCCAGCTGTTCTGGCTCAGACGTGGAGATGCTTCCAGAGGGCAAGCTCAAGGCACGTCCCGTCCCGTCAGTGGGGACAGGCACGGCGAAGAAGCTCCTCTGCCGCAGAGGCAGACAAAGCCAGCTCTGCCCAGGCTGCCAGCCAAGTGCTTGCGGGCAGATGGAGCCTCAGTTATATTGAACACCCTGGCCCCGCTGCGGGCGCTCCCGGATCTTTCCACTGAGTTCCAGAAACTTCCTCGTCCACTGGCAGCCTCTCCAGAGAGGTCAAAGTTCAGACTCTAGCGCGAGAACTTCCAGAGGAGGACCAGCTCAGTGGGACCCACGGGCGGGGAGAGGAGTGGACTCCAACCTGCGTGGGAGCCCCAGCCCCCCGCATTGTGCGGGGCTGTGACTCAACCTCCCCAGACCTCAGTCTCCCCTCTGTGCCCTGCGGATGGTGATGACAGATGTCCCCACCACAGGGGCCGAGTGAGACAGCAGTCAGCTGTCTTCACAGCAGTGGCCACTGGAGAGGCGGAGGCCGACCCAGTCTAAGCTCTGGGCCAGTGGGCCACGCAGCACCCCTGCTCGCCCCGACCCGCGGCAGCCAGGAGCACGTGGCGCGCTAGGCCTGGGTCCTGTGCCCCCCAACTGGCCAGGACCCCTCCCCCCCGCCCGCCCCGGGGCTGCAGCTACTTCCGCTTGTCCCCTTCCCGCCTGAGTCACTCTCCGTGGGTGCTGGGGAAGCCCTCTCAGGCCTCTGTGAGGCAGGTTAGCCACTCCCTGGCCCTGTGGCCGCCGCCTGGTTCTCACTTCCTCCAGGAGGACGGGACCCGCCTGCATCCTCAGCTCCTTTCCCTCCAGTGACTCAACATCCAACACTCGACGTTGCTCTCAGCTGCAAACAACAGCTTCTCCAACCCCCGTCCCCGCCTGCCTGCCAGGCTGTCTGTCTGTCTCTCTGAGACCCCTCTGGAACCCACACCCTAACTCCGCAGCCCACAGCCGCTTGGCACCCTGAGACTCCCTGGCTGATGTGACCGTGACAGGACTCGTGGACGACCCCGGGCAGGGCTGTTCACAGCCTGAGCCCGGCAGTGTCAGACGGGTGGAGGGCAGGGAGAGCAGCCGCAGGTGTCCAGCCAGGAGTGGAAGTAACAGCCCCACTCCTTTTTGGGCCTAACCAGCCCCAAAGTGGCTCCAGGGCTCCCTCTCCACCAGGAAGGGTACGGGCCTCTCTGCCTCCCGAGCCTCTTCAGGGACGTGGTGGGTATTCAAGAAATACCCATCGCTGAATAAATGCGCAAGGGGAGGGGCCTGGCACTACGAGAGCCAGTGCACACGTTCTCTTGCGTGTGTGTCAATTTCTCAGCCAGAATTCGCCTGAGGCACATTACAAGGCCACACTCATTCATCTACAGCAGGGGTTGTCTTTTAGGCTCCCAGATGCCCCCCTAAGCATTCAGGGCATCATCTGGCCGACAGCAGGTGCTCGGTTCCTGTCAGGAGTCAATGTGTGCACGCAGTGAAAGGCGCCGCGCTGGGCACTTGGGGCATAAGAGGCGCACGGAACAAGCAAACATCAGGCTGTGCTTGTCCCTTGTGAAGATTCCGTGCCACACAGCAGGGCCCAGTGAGAGTGACCGGGTGGAGGCCTGCTGAGAAGGGCCAGGAAAGGCCGCTTGAGTCCTGAAGACTGCAAGTGAGGGCCTGAAGCCTGGAATACGCATGCCTGAGGTGTGAGGCGGAGCAGGAGGGCCACACCTGGTGAGCCAGTGAGGAGGGGACATTTGGAGACCACCCCTGCTTGTGGCTGAAGACAGGGTCGCTACAAGGGACTTCTCCACGGTCACTTCGTCTGTTGGCAAGAATGAAGCCAGGTTGGGCTGGGCAGGGCAGCGCATAACTGCAGTCCCAGCTACTGGGGGGCTGAGGCAGGAGGATGGGCCGTTGAGGACAGGCAGGAAACTTAGGTTCCATCTCATAACAAAAAAAGAACGAGAGCCCAGGTGCCAGGCGTCCAGGCCTAGGGTGCATCCTACAGCTCTTGCCACCTGAGGGCTGAATTTGGGGTGCAGAGGGAAGAAAGCTCCCAGCAGGGGAGGTGAACCTGAGGGGACGCGGCAGGGGTCGGGGGAGAAGGGGCACCGGACTGGGGGGCAGAGGTGCCCCTGGGCCTGCGCGGGAGGAGGCTGCTCCTGGCCCTGGGCCCTTGCCGGCGCCTCTGCGAGGATAAACAAGAAAGTAACCAGCTCCTCCCGGAGCGAGGGGCGAGGCTGCGACCACCGCCCCCGCCGCGCAGGATCCGCCCCGCCCGCGGCCCCGCGCCTCCCCGCCCGCCCCGCCCGATTCCGCGAAAGTTTCCTGGCCCCGGGCTCCGGGAGGGGCTCCCGCTCCTACCGGCGGCCGCTTCCACTCCACGCCGCGCGTCTTGCTGGAGCGCGGGCCCAGCTCGGCGAAGCCCAGCGCGGCGGGCACGGCGGGGAAGGCCGGGTCCTGGAAGAGCGAGCCGTCCGCCAGACACGCGTCCCGCAGCGCCGCGAAGTCCTGGCCCAGGTGCTGCACGGCGCGCTCGTGGGAGCCCAGCCCGGCCGCCGCCGCGCGCTCCCGCGCCAGCCGCTCCGCCATCCCCGCCATCAGCCGAGGCTCGCGTGGAGGAGACGCGAAAGAGACCCGACTCGGCCCGCGCGGGTGTGGACGCGGCCAGGCCCTGCCCTGCGCCACCGGGTATGGGCTGGGTGCGGGGCGCTGCTGCCCCCGGCGGACGGCTCGGGGAGCGACCCGCCTGCAATGTCCGCCGGGCGGGCCGGCCGGGAGCCTGAGTCAGCGGGCGGGGCGGGGCCGGCCTGGGGAAGCGGCCGGGAGCTCACTGCCCCCGCCGCCGGGAGCACGTTTGCGCCGCAGCCCGGGCGTGTCGAGACCCGGGTTCGCCGAGGCCCAGCGACCCGGACAGCACGGCAGAGCCTGGTGCGACGGCGCCCAGCGACCACCGCGGCCCACGCCGAGACCCGACCCGGCGCGTGCGGAGCGGTCGCCCCTGTGCCCTCCGAGCTCGGGGGCGGGGCGGGGGGGGGAGCTCGCGCCCCGCGGCGAGCCAGGCATTGTTTAGAGCCACACGGTGGACTGTGGCACCCCCCCTGGACATCTGGCCCCGGCGGGAGCGTGTTTTAAATTGCCACCGCTGGGGGTGGGTCTTGGCGCTGGGGGGCAGACAGATGCCTCTGCTGAGGCCCTGCGGGCCCAGGGCACCTCCGCAAGGAGAGGGCCCGGAAGCCTGGCTGGGACCAGGGCCTCCTGCTTTGGGTTAGTTAGTGACTCAGTCGCTGGCAGCTGTAGAAGTGCGGCAGCTTTTGCCCTCAGGCGTGCAGGCGATCTGACCTTGGAGAAGCCAGCTCCGGCCACTTGCACGGTCCTCCCCTACTCCGCCCCTCACAGGCGTGCTTCTTGACTTCTGCCTTGAACCAGTTGAAGCGTCCGCCTGGTTGCGTCATTTACTTGTGTTAAAATCCTTAAAACGTTCATTTGGTGTGTGCGTGAGTCACAGGCCTCTCTTGTCTCTGACCAAGAGCTGCACACTGGCCAAGGCCCTCTCGGGCTCTTTCCTGCCTGTCCACAGCTCTGCTGCCCCAAGCTACCCCTCGGGGCAGTGGCCCCCACTCTGTCGTGCTCCCCCTGGGAATGGTAGGGGTCGGCTGGGCCCTCCTCCCCTCTGAGGTGCTGCTGACCTCTGTGTCCCCCAGCTGTACTGGACGCTGAGAAGACCCTTTTCTGTTGGCCTTGGGCTGCTTTCGGCTCCTGAGACGGGAACACTCGTCTCGGGGTGTCTCCTTCAGTGAAAGTCTCTCTATATTTAAATTCGATGTCGTTTTTATTTGATGTCCTCTGCCCTTGGTTTGCAGCTCTGACCCACGGTCGGGTGGGCAGGCACAGTGCGCCCCCAGACCCTGTCTTCCACACCGTGGGGCAGACGGTGGACACCGGCAGTCGTTTCCAGCTCACAGGTTTCTGATGCAAGTAGCAGAGCGGAGCGGCCTTTCCTGGAAGCTGTGCACTTGTTCCACCGATTTCCACCGGTCCCGCCCCAGTTTCTCCTGGGGTCCGGGCTCTGGGCAGAAGCCCATCCCCTGCCCAGTGGGATGGAGCTCAGACTTCCCCTCCCACCCTCCCCTGCAGGGACAGCTCCATGCTGCAGGAGGAGCTCCCGGCTTCTGGAGGTGGATACCCAACCCCCAGTCCTGGCACAGATGTGGGGCAGACCACGCCCACGCCAGTCCTATGGATGCCACAGCCAGGGCAGAAGTGGGCAGCCAGTTTCTAGGGCGACTGTGCACGGGACTCCGCCCCCAGCAGCCAGGGGTGCCCTAGCCTGCAGTTGTTTTGCGCAGGGACTGCTGCTCCCTCCCCATGTGGGCCAGTGGGTTCCGGATTTGGGCCGCTCCTCGGCTTCCGGGGGCTTCTCCGCATTCATCCGCCCAGAGCCGGCCGAGTCCTTCTCAGGGACACACGGGTGGGCGTGGACAAACACACTGCACGGTGACCCCAGGAAAAGGCTCCACATGAGTCATGGGGCAGGGCTGAGTCACCGCAGCCGGGAGCTGGGAGTTTACAGGACCAGGCCCTGGGTCTGGGCCCCAGACCTGCCAGCCAGATGGAGGGTGAGTAAATAGGAGAAGGTGAGTCAGGAGAGAGTGAAACCCAGGGGCACAGAGGCGGGGCCCACAAGCCCCACTGTGTGAGCTCACAGCCCTCACACAAGGGGCCCCGGATGTGGCAGCTGACAAGGCAAGGGGAGCTTGCTTATGAACCCTGAGGTGAAGGCCCCTTCCTCTTCCTTGCCTTAGAAGGCAAAGAGAACGGGACAGCAGGCAGAGGCTGGGAATACAAGGAGATCAGAGAGAATGCAAATTCCACCACATTGAATTCACAGAGGGAGGCCTGTGGTTCGTGCCTGTAATCCCAGCATGCTGGGAGGCTGAGGCAGGACGTAGCTCAGCATGGAGGGTCTGGGTTCAGTCCCCAGTCTCGTGCGCACCCACACACAAAAGATTTCAAGTTGGCTGTGGCTCTGTGGAAGCACACTTACCTAGCATGAGAAAGACCCTGGGTTCCACTCCCAGAGCCACAAAGCAAACAACAAAACCAAACAGTCTGGTTTGCCAGGAGACCTCTTCTTCCCATGCCGTGAAGTCAAGGGTCTTGTTCTCTCCTCACCTCTGTGGTGTGGTGGTTGTGGCCTCTCAGACCCCACCGAGTGGACAGAGGTGGGGTTCCCAGCACCCCGGGCAGCAGGGAGAAGGGACAGGTCTCCCCTGTGACCCGCAGAATGCAGGCCCAGGAGGAGGAGAAGGGACTCGGGACAGCCCCACGCTCCTGGCCACAGCTGGGTGCAGGAGACCAGCTTGAAACGGCACTGAGCAGGCTTTAGACATTATTGATTTGGCTTATGAATTTGGCTATTAAGATTATGAGTCCCTCCAAGGCCTAAGTGTGAATTGCTAACTGATCCTTCTGCTGCTGTCGGAGACAGACTTCCCTATGCCAGTGGTCACAATGGAGGGCTCAGTGATCGCTGAGGGTGTGACGTCTCTGATAGCAGACAACACTGCAGCTGAGGAAGTAGGACTCTCCAGCCATTCTCCAAGGTCAAATGTTAGCTAGATAGCACAGGCGGCTCGTTAGCTACGACCTGCAGATAGCCTGTGACCTGCAGATAGCACAGGCGGCGTGTTAGCTGTGAGCCAGCCATCAGGAGAATGCACAGTCACTGCCTTCCACAGCCTGGCTCATTGTGCATCGGTTCTGCCGCTCCCTGCCTCTGCCCTCAGCCCCTGGTGTGCTGGACAGTCATAGACACCGACCAATCCAGAGCCCCGGGTCGATTCCTGGCTCCCCAAGTGATAAACTCACTTGTTATTCTCTGTTCCTTGTTCTTTGTTATTCCTTCATCCCCTGCTGTCCCCTCATCAGGCGGCTGAGCATCCCCCAGTGGCTGATGGGGCTATCAGCTGAGACAGCTGGGGTGTTGTACTCATCTGCCAGGAGGCTGGAGCCGGCTACCGGCCGCCTGGCTCAGCCTCTGGGAGGGCTTCATGCCTGGCCCCTCACAGCAATGCTGCTAATGGTAAATTAGGTCTGGTCCTTCGAGGCTCCAACACCAGCTTCGCCTGTCCTCACGCTGGGATGGACAGGGGCTACCTGGATGCGTCACAGGGTTCAGGGAACAGCATGGCCTTCATGCTGTTGTCATTGTCACCACCAACAGTAGTGCCGTTGAGGCAGGGACACCGAGTCCTCTGTCCTCATACTCTGGGATGCAGGGAAACAGTCCCAAGTGGTGTGCTGTCTTACACACACACACACACGCGCGCGCACACACACAGATAAACTCTAGTGTTCAGCAGTGTTCACAAATCTTTTTCTAAACCAGAGCAAGGTGCTTACTAAGCAAAAATGGCTACTGGGTGTGGTACCGCATGCCTGAAATCCCAGCACTCAGGAGGCTGAGGCAGGAGGATTCCTTCAAGTGCAAGGCCAGCCTGGGCTACATAGTGAATTCAAGGCCAGCTTGAACTATATAGCAAGACCCTGTCTCAAAAAACAAAACAAGTTATGATACAAGCCCTAAAACTACCTTGTAATGGCTGGTATCTAAACGTCCCCTAAAACCTCATGTACTCATAGCTGGGGATTTTCAAAGATGGCTGGATTTAGGGTAGTGGTGGCAATCCTATGGCACAAGTGCTGCATCGGGCTATTTGTACCATTGAAAGCTCTAAAAGGTTCACCATCACTGGTCTAGGGTGTATGGTACTGAATCATGGGTGTGTGTGATACATGGAGCAGTTTACTGACTGTTTTAGCATAGTTCTGGGTATGGATAATGGGAAAGGCCACCCTAGGTGTGGGTGGCACCATCCAATAAGCTTGGACCCTAGATGAGATAAAAGGGAAAGGGAGGCTTGCTGCTTGCTGCCTCCTGCCTGCTCTACCATGGACTGTTTCTCCTCGGCGATGCCCCTCTGCCATACTGCTCTGCCTTAGAGCCAGCCAACTATGGACTGAAACTTCTACAAACTGTAGCTAAAATAAAACTCTTGGCTGGGGATTTAGCTCAGTTGTTCCTCCTGCCTCACAAGTGCAAGGACCCGAGTTTGATCCCTGGTACCCCCCCCCAATAAATCAATAAAACTCTTCTCTCAATTACCCAAAGACCATGTTAGAATGCATTTTTGTTTCAGACCATTTAAAACAAATGATTACAAAACAACTATAATTACAGGTAAATTACTACTGCAATTACTAGCAGTTTAAAAAGTTCTAGTTTTGAGAAAGTAATAAATCTACTTTCAAAGTGTATAATTCTATTAGATAAAGGGCTAGAAAAACTGAGGAAATAGAGACTGAAAGGATATTTGTAGAATGTGTAAATGACCTTATTCTCCCATGTAAATCTGTGAAGTAACATGTTTTATTTAATTACTAAATTTAATTTAAATACATTTCCTTGAAAAAAAAATAAACTTTTCCTCTTACAACTTGAGTGTTGGGTCTTTTGTTCCAGCAACAAGAAAATAACTAAGACACATCTCAACTCTATCTGCCGTAGCATCTGATCATGGCCAGGTCCCTCCATGAGGAATTCTGGAGCAGCCTGAGCTGAGGCTGCAGTCCTGGTGGCAGCGTGAGTCTCACAGACACAGATACACAGACCCGGGTCCCGGGCCTGCCTGACAGCACTGGATGAGCACAAGAGTCGTGCCCTTGTCAGA